CCCGTTCTCCCTTCCTTGGCGGGAGAGTGGCTCTTGGCGGGAGAATACATCACGTGACCCAAAGCCCCGCGATGTCATTACCTTTTGACGTGGACGTGGTTGGCCTCCAACCCTGTCACCCTGCGTCAAGGAGAGAATCCTTCTTGTTACTTGTAACAAAGAATACAGGATCCGAAGTATAGCAGCGTGTATATATAGTCCTATATCTACCGTTCTTCTTATAGCTTTAGTTATATATTATAATTAGTAATAGAGAGGGTTTTATATAAGAAAAAACGCGATTTAGCTAGCTATAAGATGTTAAAAGGGATTAGAGTATAGATAAAGAATAACAAGAGTTAAGAGATTAAATGTCCCTATTTGACTCAGACGAAAAGATCTTAAGCTGAGATAGTATTTTATAAGCCGATAGGCTAAACTACACTTATACATCCTGGCGAATGATTTACGGCTCTGCGTATATGCCAAGGTGCTGCAACGGATATCCGACTGTCGACCCGAACAGGCCTTCCGGGTTTCGTGGCAGGTCCGTGTGGGGGGGAAGATCGTCCACAAGAGTTAGGTTAGCCGACCATGGGATTCTGTTGTATTGCCACTAGCCCATACGTGTTACGTATTGAGGTCAGAGATAGTATGAAGCCAATAGGTCATTGTAGAGATGTAATTTGTAGAGTCTATGGAATCGATAAGTATCAATTTTCGTTACGTACACACATCTGGTGGTAACTCGCCATCTGGACAAAGTTCCGGGGACTCCAGCACGGCTTCCCGGAAGCAATTCTATCCGCCTGATGCCCACCAACAACTCAAAAGCATGCAACCTGGAGAACCTTAGGGCCTATTCGATTGTGTGCTTTGCGTTTACGTTTTTAATATCAGTTGGGTGGTAAAGCCTCGACAATAGGAAGCTGGCTGGCGTTGCGGTTAAGTTTACCCGGGTCTGAATGCCTGGTAGGAAGCAGATTATGTGATGCGGCTGGTCTGCCAGAACCAATATTGAAACCACCAGATTGAACAGTTAGGTGACTAACAACGCAGTTTTCGAATCTAGCTACAGGTCAAGAGGGGCGACGGTTAAATGACACTCCCGTGAGAATTATTTGCCCCCCCCCCCATAAGAACTATTTAGCACACCCACAAGACAGGGGTCTGTATTAGTGTAACGCTATCTGTACTATTCTATTAAGTGCTCTAATCTAGACCCCTTCCTCTATTTTACCTCTCTTTCTTAATTTATCCCTCTCTCTCCTCTCCTCTCCTCTCCCGCTTCTTTTACTTTTCTTTTTAATTCTATTTAAGAGATAATAGTTAAGTAAAGAGAGAGACGAAGAAGGAAAAAAGGCAGAAAAAAAAAGAGAAAAAAGAAAAAAAAAGAGAGGTAAGAAGAAAATGAGAGAGAGACGAATTCTCTCCTTTCCCTTTTTTTTTACCTTAATAATATAATTTTCGTAAGAGTGAACGCGCTAAGTAGGGGGCCCCTGCTTATGGGAGTGTCCTTTAACCGTCGCCGTCAAGAGGTACATCTAAGAATCGCGTTTTGTCCTTTCTTAATCAAATGGAAAAATAAGGGTGAAATAAGCACTAGATGCTTGGGGATTAATTTATTATAGTAGCGCTAACAAAACATGGCAAGGGTTGATGCCTTGAGGATGCGTGTTTTCACTGAACACACAATAGTGTTACTAAAAGCGTTCTCAAAACGCAGAATGTGGCTAAAAAAACGCTGAGCCAAATAGGCCTTGAGCTCCTCGAAAAAAACTACATATTCGCCATGCTATATCCGTCCTCACAGTATACCCAAATGGAGAACCTCCCGACTGCGCAGTAATTTCACGGCGAAGCACATCGAGTGGGTTTCTGTCAGAATCTAGCCTCATCTGACTCCCTTCGGGACTCTTTAGTGCCTATTGGCCTATAATAAGCCCCCTTTAGTCATATCTGACTTGGCACTGTAGATATGAACTTGATGAACACTATCTAAGTTCAGTAGCTGTTTGTCTATGGTGAATACAGCCTATTAGACCCTCCTTGTTATTATTGCCTCTTACCCATGCTATTACAATCCTACCCTCTGACAGTTTTGCTGTCAGAATAGGCTGAACATCGATCGCATGAGTTAATCCATCTCCATGGACACTACTAGATCCCAGAATTATCTCCTTCTTTGAAACTCAAACCCTGACATGCCTTTGAACAGATTTCCAAGACACTGTCAGAGACCGTGGAGACAACAGCTACTTTGGAACAACCTTGCAGCACTTGGCGAAACTGTGAAGAATCTACATGACCGCAGAGCTATTGGTTGTTCAGTTGATTCACGAAGGGCGTTACGCTCTAGAAACGCCCCATATGATGATGCCACCAACAACCTACCATCGCACGATTTAAGTCTCACTTATACAGCCATTCTGTGCAGTAGGATCACCACTACTTGCTATCACCTCAAAATGGAATGGGTCACAGGAGACTAATCGAGACTGGAGCGGAAGCGGGCTAACATTGGTGTATAACAATCTTTCGAAGTATGTTTGATTGCAGACTTTGTACTAGACCTCAAGAATAACTTCAGTCCTCATAACGCAAGCCTTTCTCTCGACCAGGATTCTAAGTCTCCAGCGCCCCTACATCCCTCATCAGCCTACATAGTCAACAGCCCAAACTTCACCACCCCCCTACCACGCCTTGCAACCACCGCAGGATCCCTGATCCAATCGACCCCCTCTCCGACCACAATTCACCTCAACATTCCCGCGGCAGCAAAGTTTCTCTCCCTCGCGGGAACCAGCATGGCAAGCGATTGCAAGAGTTATGCGAAATCTCTATTGTAAGAAATAGGGTGGAGCGCATCCCATGGCAACATCGAATAGGGTATCGTAAAGCTTTCTTGCATCGACTGACGATTTACTGATTTTGGCGAAAAAGTGTTTGCCTACAAGAGATGATGCTCGTAATACGAGGGATCCGTCGAATAACTGGTGTCGGTACGTCAACGGTGTTAACTAGATGAAGTGGTTTTGTGTAAGTTTCATGCTTGTTTGTAAGGGAATTTGGGGTTGATGAGAATTCAGTGCAAGCTACAAGTTGGTGGGCGATGGGGGTGGGCGATTGGCATTGTAAAGGGTGCAGAGTGTTGTCCTTTCGTCCGATATAGGGTGATTCATTGCTCAGCTCTTGGTGGAGAATGTCACTGACGGCGCAAGGCGGGTATTTGGCACTTCTGATCTCTCTTGATCTAGTTGTGCTTAAGAGGCTGGAGCATACCACGTGGTACTTGGTGTGATACTAATCTTTCTCTTTTAAAAGCGGATAGCAAATAGATCGTTACTAAGTCAAAAACACATCATGTTTTGAGAGGAAATCGAACTCTTCATACTGGGTACAGTTGATACACCAGCCTCAACTGAGTAGAAAAATAAATCTAACGTCACTCACTACGAAGCGAGACACACACCGTAACGAGACAAACCTCGTGTACCTCGATTCCAAATCATATTCATGACCGAACAACTTTAGCTTCTCCAAGTGTATTTTAAGAATAATGTTTCGTGCCTTCTTACGAACAGATCTTGCTAACAGGCATCTAAAATTACCCTCCTACTACTGTCTTTACGGTTAATCAAAACGGAGGCCATTCTGGCGCTTTGAACGCTGTCAAGTCTAATGCAGTATACTTTAGCATATTGAGGATCCAAAAGTCATTTATATGTACAATTCTAGGTATGGAATCTAATCATGGCGTTCAAGAGCTCTTATCAACCTTGTTGTGGTTGTGGCAAGCAAGGTAAAGCGATGTTGCCACCCTGGCTGGTACCTGAAACTACCCCGCACGAACATTGAGCCAGTACCCTAAATTACATAATGACTTCGTCAGCAGACTGCCGTTTGTTACTCGTTGACTGTGGCTTAGCGCATTAGCCTTCCAAAGCAAGTGCCCCACTCTAAATATAGCAGTGCTAAGCATTTGTTGCCAAAGGGAATCGACTGCAGCATTGAATATGCGGATGACTTGAATTATCGCAGTATACTCGCTAGCGAAACCGGCTTTACCCCGCAGCTGCAATTGCGGTATCCGATCAATCGTTAGGTGCCTGCTAAGCATGCGCGTTGATATATAAAGCAATATTGCTGCCTAGAAGTTCGCTTAGCTTATTACCGGTGAGGGCTCATCTAAGTCCTTATCCTCGTTGATTATTTATTCCTGATGAACCCAAGCCAAAGCAATTTTCTTTCATTTTAATATCGACTTCTCTATCGACCTTTTCACCACCTGCAAGACTCTTGAGTTTCACATTATACGTGGGCGCAAAAAGTGTTACGTGGAGTTTGAATATGTGTGTACTCCGATAAACCATAACACTTTGAACTTTTTTTCCCATACGATGGACATTTTCAGTCTTTCCCCTCACTCTTGTCCGGAATGTAAGGTGATTATAATCGATGGTACTGGTCCCAAAGTCACCCAGCGCTTTGAGTTTTCACATTGCAAAGTGAAAGAACTCAGCCAACGTTGCGAATTCTTCAATTGGACTTTGAATTCGTCAGAAGAGTGTCTATGTACAACAGACAAATTGAGGTTATCTATAGCAGGCGATTCGGAAGATCTCAAATATCTCAACGTAGAGTGGAGGGATGAAGATGATGAGCCCGTATCAGAAGACGATACAAAGCGACAGCTGTACATCTTCAGTATGAGAGGTAATTTGCCAACAGGCACATGCTATACTCGTGGCTAACAAGTGCAGATTATGCTGCTGCTCGTTATATTAAATCAAGGCCTCTTGAACCGTCGCCAGCGAGATCAGTTCGTCTAGGATGGTGTTTAGAACTTTACGAAGATTGCCTAAACCACGAAACATGCAAGACTGCCATGGAGAGGAATAAAAGCTACACAGCACCTACACGTCTTCTCGATGTGCGACAAAATTCAGAATTGCGTTTGTGTACAGTCCCTCAGGGAGAACATCCCCCCTATGCAGCATTGAGTTACTGTTGGGGTACTTCACAGCAACAGAAAGATGCCAGGACGACGAGAGAGAATGTTGACGATCGACAAGGTAGAATCGATATATCACAGCTACCACAATCGATAAGAGATGCAGTCAAAGTAACCCGGAGGCTAGAGTTGTCTTACCTTTGGGTAGATGCGTTCTGTATCGTTCAAAATGATCCTAAAGATGTGGAATTGGAAATGTCAAAAATGGCAGGCATTTATAGAGGAGCTACTATTACCATCTCAGCAGCCAGCGCCAATGACAGTACGGAGGGGTTTCTTAAGGATCGCGACCTCAAGAAAGCATATGGTAATCTTTTTCAGCTTCCTTATCACAACAAGCGTGCCGATGGTATGGTGGAAGGGTTGGTGTTACTCTCTGAGCACCCCGTTGCAGATACGCGTCAAGAAAATATCGACCAAAGAGCATGGACATTGCAGGAAGACATGCTTTCGCTCCGCCTTTTGCGATTCGGTTCAAAGCAGACAACTTGGCGATGCCTAACTTATCCTCAAACCAAAAAGATCGATGGAGGAGGTTGCCCAACCTTGGAAAATAAAGACTACGCTTTTTCTGTCAATGATCCTTACCAAAACACCGAAGTGCAGTTGAACATCTCGTCTTTTGGTCCATTGGGTGGGCCATGCGTAAAGGCAGACTGGTTAGAAACCGTAAGCGAGTATACACGTCGAAAACTCACCGAACCAAGCGACAGACTCCCTGCTTGCGCGGCGCTTGCTGAAAACTTTGCGGATATTATGAACTTCGATTCATCCCATTACCTTGCGGGATTATGGAAAGACGACATCTACGCGCAACTTTTATGGCATCGACTAGAAGAAAGAAAGGTGGGAAGCACATTCAGTCCCTCTTGGTCCTGGTCATCTATTAACGGACCTGTACAATTCTTCGAACGTAAGCTGCTGGAGTACGACTTTGAAGTCAATGCGGCAGCAAAATATATAGGCAGCTATAGGGACTGCATGTCCGGTAGTCACGACTACTCTAAAGTTGGATCGGGCCGCCTTGAGTTAAATGGTCGACTGCAAGAGGCACACTGGGATTCTCGCTCTCTTAGGCGAAGCAGTACCGATGCTAATGTCCTACCCTCCAGGATATATTGGGATGTATCTGATGCCATTAGTCCGCAAACTGTGTGGTGTTTTGAAATAATTGGGTCATATATTTCGTTGGGCCTAGTGCTTTTAAGAGAGAAGCAGACAAGATTCAAGCGTGTTGGCTACTTTGAATGCGATGGGGGAGACAACTCTCTGACCATGAAGTCCTTCTTTGATGAGACCAAGCCTCAGACTATTGCACTTTACTAGGTACTTGTACTTACCATTCATTTAATCGAGGTTATTGCATCCGTCGCGAAGACTTTCACTTGCGAACTATAACAATTGTGAGGCTGCGCTTAGGATGAAGCCAATTTTGCTAGTGACTGTAACGGCAACTAATCAATTGATTATATTAAACAATTCTGTTGTGTATCATAGGCGCCTCAGGAGCTCTCCAGGCTGATCCAACCTGGTCTTCAGCCTCGACTTCACCCTGCCTCCGGGTTTTGGTGGCTGGTCGCTCCACGTCTGCACCCTTACGCTTTCTTCCACGCTTTGCATTGCCCTTAGCTGCCTAAGCTGCTTCCTTCTGAGCACGCTTTGTTCGAGCTTCTTCAAGTTCGCTGTAACCCATAACCTTCGCCTTTCCTAAAATCTCTGCTTTGGTTGACCGGCGAACCTTGGCTTCGTCGTTAATCTTCATCAGAAATCGGATCTGGTCCCGCTGGAGTATCCCCTTGGAAAAGGCTAGATGAGCAGCCTTTGAGAACTTCTGTAAGTGCTTCTGCAGGCTCCGTTTACTGTTCTCGTCAAGGCCTCGAGCGTCTTGGTTGATTATAATATCCTGCAGTGATGCCAGTCCCTGCGTTGTCACGGGCGTCACAGGCGTAAGAGGCGATCTAACGGTATCATCTGGATTAGGCAAAGCTGCTGCTTTGTTCGTTTCGCCAAGAGTTGGTTCATCAGGCGGCTTCGGCATGCTTCGGAGCACCCTATCTGGGTTGAACGGGAACAAACCGCATGCAGAAAATCCAGACCTAATATTCTTTGGCGTGAATGCCTTGCTTCTTGCACGACTATAAAGTGAGGTAAAATGCTCTTTACCTATTGCGTTCACGCCGCCTCGCTCTAGTCGTTCGACCTCATCGCGATATGCTGCCTTGAGTGGAGCAAATACTGCGACGTCGCAGGGTTGAAGCTTGTGAGAAGTATGAGAAGGAAGGCGACACAGGATAATGTTGTTATCAAGGCAAAATTCAAGAACTTCAAGGGTTTCATGGGTGCCGAAGCCATCGCATATTAAAACCCGAGGCTTACCATTAGCTCGGTCCTTGCTTTCAGGATCGAATATGCGTTTAAGCCATTCTAGGGTGATGTAAGAATCGGTATATCCAGAGTCAGAGCATGCATACTGCCAACCAGGGGTAGGAAAAGTAGTCCAGTTACTGCGATGGGTGGTGGCCGGCCAGATAATCATCGGGTTCAGATACCTGCCGCCAGCGCTAATACATTCGATTGCAGTCACAGTTGTACGTTTGACTCGCGCACCCCTGTAGTCCCGCATGTCGCCCTTACCCATAAGCACTTTGACGGAGCCTAGCATAGATAGCATCACGCCAGTTTCGTCCATATTATATGTGTTCTCTGGCAGGACCGCCGGGTTCTGCAATACTGTCCCAATCACCTCAAACCAGTGTAAAGTCTTTGGGTATATGTTCTTCTCGTGTCGGTTCCAGTCAAGGGCTTTGACGCTTCTTGCTTGGATTTCTGGGTGGCGCTTTCTGAAAGCTATCGTCTAGTTCAGATGCGGGGGCTTGGGCGGTCTGGCTGACTGGGGTCGCTGAAGGGTGAGATGGTAAGCTAATAGCGGTATGAACTTGATTCGGACGGGGTGACTAAAGTTAGACATCTGCAAAATGAATTTAACTAGTCCTTCCTCTTCCCATGGAGTAAGATACTGCTGGCTTTGGGCTTTGTCTTCTAGCGAGGGTCGGCCGTGGAAACGATGATGAGCTGTAGAGTGAGAAACTCCTCTATGATCTGCAAGAGCGCGGAAAGAGAAGGGGACGCCCACAGGGACTCCTTCTGCTAATGCACGGCTTGCCTTGTCTATATCTGCCGGTTTATTCTAGGGGTTGTGACGATGGATAAATGGGTGAAGAAGACAGCTGACTCTCTTAGGCATGCCAGTTAGTGCCGCGAGGCAAAGGACACGATTGCCAAGATGTAGAACAAAGCGCCACATTTATTTTTAGCCAGCAATCTGTGCTAGGTCAAGTCTGTGGTAGTTGACTGATTATATAATAACGCTAACGCATTATGAATAACGGCAAATTGTTTCGTTACTACGACGGCACGGAGAAACTCCCGGCGTGTACCAATATGGCTCCAATCACTATTGGGCTGTGAATATATGATCTTCATGACTACTGCTTTCCCATGAGCCCCCCCAAGATGTTGCGCAATGTCTACGGTCGCCCTAGCGCTAGGATATATAGCTAGACCAGGCTTTAATGGCGTCAACGAAACGATCGACGGCGCTACCAAAACTGAGACAATCTTGTTACAAATTGCCATTCTGACTAAGTAAAGACTATTGAATCGTAGTAAAATATGCACAGCATTGTACTTGTGTGAGAAGAGAATATTTTGACTCCTACGTAGAATAGCGTCTCGTTACCATGTGTGTCTCGGCACGCAGTGAGTGACCTTAAGGATCGCACCTCGAACCATACATACACAATGCCTGCTGAGCGCGCAACCCCTGTTGGTAAGACAATTTCCACCAACTCATTACCCCAGAAATGATCACCTTACACTCGTAAGTCCGTACTTTGTTCCAGATATATCGACAACATTAGCATATTTCCCATAAGAAGCCTCGATTTCAAGACGAAGACGGATATTGATCACGGAAAGCGCCTGATGCAACATTAGCAAACAATGGTAAACCTTTCCATCCACCGTGCCATATCGATCTGCAAAACCCAATCAATAGCTCCATACATCAAAACCCAAATCGACTCAAATAAAAACTCTCGCATCACCACACTTAACAATACGAATGATTGCCTATTCTTCTTTTCACATACTCAACACACCGACCCTAGACCCCATACCTAAACTCCCTAACCTTCTTCTGATAATACCACGTCGCCAGCGCACCCGTAACCCCCAGCGCAATCGGCACCGGCGCGCGTCCCCCCGTCTTGATAATCCTGGGAACCGCCGAGCCCGCCAACATGACACTATTTCCCAGTGCAAGTTCCGTGCCGTAGTCTTGGTTTTGCTTGATGCGGTAGCCTAGGTCACGTGTTAACTTCTATATACTTGGAGCATTACAAAAAGGTTCTTGTTGCATGTAGCTAGAGTGACCAGTTTGGGTAAAGGGATTGGGAAATAGGGAGGTTGGGGGCGATGATGTACCTGCAAAAGCGTAACTAGCTCCCAATCCGATTCCCGCAATGAGGCTGGGTGTTGAGCGGGTTCGGAGATAGCCTGCTGTGCCTCCGACGGCGACTGCGGGTTATTAGTCAATTGCGCAACGCGACATATTCGGTTTTGACTTACGTAGGCCTGCGAGCGTAAAGGAAGGGTGTTCTGCCATTGTTCTGTTTCTTCAATGGATAGAGATGGATGGATACGTAGGTGGTTTTGGCGGGATGAGGAGGAAATATGTATGGGTGCCGGGATCGTGTCCGAGTGCGGGAAAGCGGCGGGATGCCGGAGTGCCAAGGATCCAGACGGCCATTTTTTTGCTTGCGGCAAGTTGGAGTATGACGGATTTTGGTGGTGTTTAACAATGTATCATGGGAAACTTTTGAAAGATGATTACGATTGGGTATCTTACTACTTTAAAATAAGACTGATGGGTATTATATGACAAATTCGTAGAATGAGGGTATGTCCTGCAAATATTATAACCGTACCGTCTGTTGCGCCAAATAAGAGGTAAATCCGCAATTGTGTATCACTTGCGTCTCGTAAAGAAAAAAACTCCCCGAAATAAACGCCATTTGAAGGAAAATCATTAAGTCAACCGACTTCGACAACTACGTTGAGTAATTTCGCCAGGAGCTCTGCACGCTCAATCCACAACAGAATGGTTCACGCTATACCTAACGGCTGGTGGTGCAAAAGCCGAATAGTCCGGTGGCATATCGTCCCTTACTGCAAAACTGGAGCTGCGGCTGGCTTCTGAGCTCGATGGAGGTGCAATGTTGCGTGGCGCCAATACATCGGCAGCTGATCGGAATGCGCTTTCCTCCACACTGCGCGCGCGGGCATTTTCGATACCTGTATCGCTGCCTTGAGCGCAAATTTGGATTGGGACCTTGAGGCTCAGACTCAAGCTGCCGTGGACTGAGAATTGCAAGGTGAGAGCGTAAACGCGTGAGATTAGGCAGGAGTGGAAGGTTGGGATGAAGTTGCGTGTCATGGGTAGGGTGACTGGAACCAGGACTTGAGTCGTATAAAAGACACCTTGATTGTAGACGCTCGACCCCGGAAGAATGCCGTTCGCAAAAGCTTCTTCGCACTCACTGTTTGTGGAGCAGTCGCTGATGCCCGAGTCGCGTCGCAGAAAGCTTGCTGGCGGCGGGTTAGATTCAGCACCGTGCTTTGTCCATTGAGCGGATGCAATGCAGAGAGTGGAGAGTGGCACGTATTCTGAGTAAAGGCCTTGGGATAGGTCGTATGCGAGAGCTGATCGTGTGGGCATGCATTTCCGTGCAGCCGAGGCGTAAAAGGTCGACACCTTGAGTTTTGTCGTCAATGAGCTCAGCTTAGGCGGAAGATTGGTCTCATCAGCTGGGTCGAAGCGGAGGATCAATTTGGCCATGGTCGTGATAAGTTTACCCTCTGTTGAACGGGCGCCTGGGATGACAAGAGGTGACGGTTGGACAGTTCTGGCCGATAGCTTTCCTAGCTTTCCTTTGAAGAGCCCCTTCTTTACAGTCCTTTCCTGTCTCTGTCTGTAGTCCGGACTGTTGTCTATGTTGAGAGGTGGCTGCTCGGGAAATGCGGGCTTGACGCGAACCTTTTTAATCTTTTCGGTAAGCACAGAAATGCCTTCGGATCCGCGAATGTGGGCAATCTTGACCTGTATGCTGTAGGTGATCTTGGACATATCTGGCGCTAAATCATCGAGCAACGTACTGCCGAAACCAGCAAGGTCGGCATCTCCGATACTGGGTGGGAGCTGTAGGTGTGCGTCGCGGATGTGGTCAGAGACAACGTCGTGTGAGCAGGCTCTTGGTAGCAATTGCGATGGGACGGTGAAGGTAAACGGGATCTGATATGCTCTGCCCGCCTCGAAGATTCTTGGATCTGGGAAGATGGATTTGTCTATAGGCTGTCTAAGAGTCAAGAACCGGTGCTTCGCCTCTGTCCGCCCCGTCATAGTCGGCGTAGACGTCATCCTATCCACGTATACTTGAGTGGTGCCTGGGGCTGTCAGCTGCGAAATGGTTCAGTCTGGAGATGCGATGCTCACGTACCAGTAAAACTGATGTCAATGTCCTCGAAGCGCGTGTCGTGCTGCGCAGTGATGGTTACAGTACCGTCAATAGTATCCATGGAGGAGTAGCTCATGACAAACTTGGATTGTTGGCCCCTGTCTGCGTGAAGACTGATATCGATGGTGGGCTGTCCAAGCATCGTCATGTTGCGTGCCTTGTAGCCGATCTGGTTGCCCAAAGTCTGCATTCTGTCTTGGTGGACGACTGCGGATGTGATTGAGGAAGCTGGCATGTTGAGGGTATGGCGCCCGCCTTGAAGCACGCCAGCCAAGATATCAAAAAGCCACTGTCAAAGGAACAAAGAAAGCCTCCCAGGAAACGGGTCGCAGGCTGGTGCGGAGAAGGTGGAAACTGGGGTAAGTGCAGGCAGACGATGATTTCAGGCAAGAATTAGACTTTGGGGTTGCATGTGAAGATAAGAAGAAGGAACGTAGCAATAATCTGGGGCCTGGCCAGGGGAGTCGGCTCAAGACGATCTTATACAGTTTGTGCAAATGCAGCATGGCTTGGCTTGACTCACCCCCAGAAGGGCGCATGCATGTGCTGGGTAGACTGACGTGCTCTGCCATGGGATACGCGGGGGAGTCACCCATCACCAACCCCGACAGCCTCTACTATTCCGATGGCGCTGCACGCTAGGCCCAAAAGGGGCCCGCAGGTTTGGCAATTTTCCACACGCCCATGGACAGAAGCGTGCTAAGTGCGCCGCCCTGGGCAACGGTCTGGGCAACATGTTGTGAATTTTGCTGCTGCGGACCACGGCGAGTGGATACGCAGTGACGCTGGGACGTTGCAAATTTTCGATGTTAAGCCGTTAAATGCTAAAAGGTAATTAGAGCACGTTTCAACGCGCACTCAACAATCGGAGGTGCCCGAAGCTGCTTTGCCAGAACAAAATCTTTGTCGCGGTGAGGGCTGGCCAGGCATGCAGGTCGATGCCTACATGGGGGGGTTGCTACTCAAGCGTAGGGCGTGTGGGCACGACATGTACAGGGGGGCGGGTCCATTAATCAGCACAACGTGCTCTGGTTGTAACCACTCAGCCCTTCGGAATACTCTACTTTGGCTATTCCGAACCGACTCATCATCCATCCACCGCGCACGCCTCGTCTTTTCCGGCGGACAATTGGCGCCTGGGGTTATGGACACTGACGATGCTTGGCACGTGGGCTGGTGGTTATTATGAGTGTCTTTTATTTCTCAGGGCTGGTTCAGCACGACATTCTGTGGTCAACCAAGGCCGATTCCGAAGCAGTGGCCCTACCTACTACTATGGGTAATTAGTGCCGAAGAGGGGAGAGGTGCAGCCGACGTCATGCCAAATCATGCGAGCGCAATCTACCATCACCAACGCGTACCTGACAGAAAGCGTGTTGCACGTGTACATACACTGACAGGCGCACGGCTGAAATGTGCGAATAGAAGGACGATTGAGGCCCACCGCTTACTGAACAAGCTGTCATACTACCTTCAGCCTTGACGGCACACTCAGGGCTCAACGTCGGCCTCTCAAACAAAACAAAGCAGAATGGCTACAGCCAGAAGCCCTGCCAGTGATCCATTCGCAGAGAACCTGCCTACCCCGCCCGCCTCTTCTGCAGCGCCGTCACAGCACCCCTCGCCACTGCCGCAGCCGCGGAAGCACCCCCTCAAGCCTGGCGGGCCCAGAGAGTCGGATTTGATCAGATACCTGGATCATGGCATCAACAGCATACAGAAGCGTGTGGACAACCGTATGACCAACCGCAAGCGCAAGCCCGAGCCTGGAGAAGAGCAGGGATATAGCGCATTCTGGGAGGTAGCACGCGACCTGGATGGCTTGGTAGACGTCGTGTGGGTGTCGGCATCTCGTAAGCAGCAACATGGTGCGGTCGGTGTGCCAGGTACTGACGTGCGCCACACGCAGCGAACCTCCAGATTCCCTATTTGCTCAATATTGCCGTTCTAACCGCTGAATTCCTCCCTTTGTTCACTTCAACAACGCGCTCCACCCAGGCCACCTTTCGCCTCGTCTCAAAGCTTGACTATGCCTTCTCTTCACTACTGACTGGTCACGACCTTGCTACAGGCGAGCTATTACCTGGCTTTGAAAATGGCCGAACAGTCACAACTACAGACAAGGTCCGCTTGAAGGGCATTGTAGATCGCACCCGCTTGACTGTCGTCCGTGTCATGAGTGGAGAAAGTGTCGTTGGGGACGATCAAGACGTGGGCGAGGCTATGGATACAGACAATGAGCGAGAAGCAGAGCCGCGGGGCCACGATGGAATTGTCACTTTTGAAGGCTTTGAAAACAATACTGACGACGAAGAAGAGGATGACGAGTGGGAGGAGCGTGGCATAGCCACTATTTATGAAAAGACAATAGGCGAATTGGGCGACGTCCTCGGTGGCCCCCCAATTGGTATCATCACAGACGATTGGGCTAGCAAAGGAGCAGAGCAGCAAAAAAGCGGCGGTGGCTTCGTAGAGTCTGAAATTGACTTTGACTAAGCTGATGTATGGCACTTCGATCGTTTTTTTCGTCTTCTGGGCTTGAGGCACGTCAGTGCAGGGGGTGATTGCTGGAGCTGGGCAATTTGAACATTTTCGCCATTCTACTCGGTTGTTTCTTGTCTCATCTCGTCTTATATTTTTAGTCCGCATGTTGTCTTGATTCCACGCACTTCCAGGCACTGTCATACTCCACTCTTTTTTCTTGTCCTTTTAGATAGTCAAAAGCCTTGCCCTGATGAAGACTTGACGATGCAGGAGCAGTGGCCTCTGAATATGGTTGCGGCCGGAAAATGTTTGTGTCGGGCTGGAAAAGTACATTCAAAGTTGACGAGACCAGCCGACCAGCAGTGAATGACAGGGAAGGAGCGTTTGAAGGTGCCTACCCGATCTGGAAGTCCACGATATAAGCCACGCGACAAACCCCGACCACGCTCAACCACGCCCGACACATCCCAGATGGTATACGCGTGCGCATTTCCCGTTGTGAGAAATCTTTCCATTGCCTAACACAATTATCCATGCTGTCTATTGCGCCATATTCTGATACGCAAGATATTCTATCGCCGCCCCACAAACATGCCTACCTACCTGGCACGCGGCGTGTCGGCACGCCTAGGCACCTTGCCACTTGCCGGCACCATTTCTGAGCAGATTATACTAAGAAAGGGCGAGGCAGCCAAGCAGCAGTCAGAGGCGGCTGAGAAACAGCTGCAGAACAGCAGGCTGCTCAAGGAAGTATCCATACCTTTCCAGGGTGACGAACAACAATACCGTCTAAACTGGCTAGGAAATGCGCCCTTTCTACAGGTGCAAGCTGGCTGGGACGCTTTCGACGAAGAGTGCGCAGAGATAACAGGGGCGACTACGGGTACCTGACTACACCTCATAACAATACCAAAGCTAATCTTTACTTCGTAGGCATTCCGTCCTCTCAAGAACCCAAAGCACTTGTTCTCCATGTCAATCTTTCAGACAGAACATACATAACCGGTCTCCGCGATCACAAAACATCCCTCAAGATCGAAGTCTTCTTCAACGGGCAGCTGAATAGTTGCTGGTTTATGGCTACGCACGACGTCAGGACTGGCGTCAAAGGACACCATCAGATCTTTGCTGGCACTAGGGTCGATTTTACTGCTGAGCGGCCATGGGTGATCTTCCCATCTGGAATAGAGCTAGGAACGAGCCTTGAAACGTATCACAAGCCTATCTCAGCATCGCACCGATGGCAGGATATTTGCCACGCCTTTAAAAAAGAAGCAAATGAGAGAGGTGCTAACGAACAAGGGGAAATTCCTCCAACCGCCACATTTCTAGAGGCGCTTGCAGCTATGCAAATGCCAGATGAAGTCCGGAATATGCAGAAGCCAGGAGGAAAGGTTTTCGGTACAATCGACGTGATCATCACCGCCGGAGAGGGCAGGAAACTCACGAGTGGTGTAGGCTACCTAACGGCGCCGAAACGGATGTTCGACGAGAACTTTCCACTCGTTAAGCAAATCGATAGCGCTGCCGCAGGTGTACAAACAGTTGAGACTCGACAAACTGAAAGCGACGACGAGCTCAACAGCACCCAGCCTGGTCATAATGATTTCGACGCGAATACCGAAGGCGAATGCACCCAAGGATATAGCTTGTCAACACAGGAAAAGTCGTTGAGTGCAGATAGATTTGGCATACCAACTGCTCCTGAGCTTGGTTCATGGAGTGGAATACCAGACAACTTACCGCACATCCAAGGACAGAGTATATCGAGCGATCTGAGCGATCAACCATGTCAACCGAATACCACACCGTATTTTGGTCCGCTCCAACATCAGCCCTTCAGTTTTCCCGACTCAAACCAACCTCTCTTGATGGGTCCTATTCAAGATTTTAGCATCATGTCCAATCGATTTAAACATAGTGCATCTGCACCACCGTATCTCTTACCGGACCAGCCTTTTCGGGGCTTCAACGATGGCACATATCCGCTTCTACACAGAAACCTCACAGAAGCTGTCCATGAGTCTCCAGGAGCGCCTCGAAATGTCAATCGTCTCCTTTTCTCATCGCAACAAGTTCCTGACCTTGGCGAGCAAGGAGCTATCGAATTACCATACGTGCCACTTCCTCCACCGAACAGCTACACAGGATGGCCAGCGCCACCCATAGGGCTGTACTCTGTACCTACGAAGCCAAAACGAAGCATGTCCCCACGGAAGGGCACTCTTTCTGCGAGGGTGAAGAAAGATGGCCAGGATATTCTGCTTACGAGGTCGGTGATTCTGGGACAGAATAAGACGGTCCTAGTTGACCACAAATGGGATCCACCAAAACGCATCACAGAAAGATCGGCAAGGCCATTATGTCTCGATCCTCGACTCGGCCGTGCGGAGAGCACGAACGAATGCCTTGAATCATCGAAGAACAAGGATACGCCTGCCAGCATCTGCAAACCAGAGAAAATTGCGGACAACAAGAACACGCCAGCGCCCACATCATCCGAGAATTGCAGCATGGATACGTCCCTTAAAGGAACTCCCCTCATATGCCAGTCTCAAGATGAGGTGATCCTGGGAGAGAATGAGCCAACTGATCTTTGCCGTAAGCCTGGCACATTGCAGTTGAACGATGCTCGTCTCTCCACCCAATCGGAGAAGGACTTTGTGCTTTCTACAAAGTACAATTTTGATCGTCGCGCTTCACTAGGCAGTAGCATGTTTGCAGTTCAAAGTCCCGAAATGAACCCTCCTTTGTTTGTGAGACCAGAAGAGATGTTGCGCGAAGCATCTCCTCTCTCTAGCCAGCATACCAACCCTAATATTGGTCTAGAGTCTATGGAGTACACGCTTCAGTCAGGAGAGACTAACCCGATTACCCCAGTGCCTATTCGACGGGCGGATAGCTCGAACGAGCCCATAATCCTACCGAGTCTCGACCGTTCTCACCATGCGATGTCTCCAGATATCTTGAATTCTGCGGCCAAGACAAATCCGTCGTCAAAGGGCAAGAAGCGTAAAGCCTCTGATGACGCTGCCATCAAGCGGTCACGCCACCGCACTTGCTTGAAGCCAGACGGCAACCCCTCGCTAAATCAGAACTGTGTTATTGCATACGCAGAAAACAAGAACGAGGAAAATGAGCAAGGCGTTTTCAGGCAAGTCCGGATGGAAAGATGCGGGGTATTCCAGGAAGACTATGTCGTCTTTGCGGCACGTTTCTTTGTAGGAGAAAAGGCGAGTATGGACAAAGAGTAAGGGACGTGTCACGGCAGAGAAGGGTCATTGGAGATTATATGTAAATGTATGGACAGAAAAGACGACACGAATGGCGTCAAGGAGCTAATAATGGCATGTATGAGGTTTCATAATGGAGATTTTGCTGCCCTATCAAGGGGGGAGGGAGACGGATGCATTTTTGCTGTTTTTCTACACGCCAATCGTGATATCCCAAGTGCGTCGGTAGTCCAAGAATAGTCGCGCTTGTGTAAAAGTAGGTACACGAACACAGAAGCCAGGATACCCAGGATAATGCAGCATTGCGCAATGGAGCCTCTGTTATCGTGAAGCAGCGGGTCAGGGATACAAGGGGTGTCGCGTGATGACGCACGCAATACTTAACTACTATCAGCTGTCAACTAGTAGTGCATGCGCTGTCCGTCCCTCTCCCCCGCCCCTCCCCCCTCCCCCTTCTTCGGTTCCGACTATCTCTTTGTTATCTATAAAACTGCAGCGCGTTGCGGCGCGGCGCATGTCCACATGTACATGTACATGTACATGTGTAGTGTGACCGAGTCGGTCAGTGGTAACCAGGTCCTATCTTTTGTGCGGTCAGTTTGTGCAACACATGCAACCCAAGCTGGCGCGTCACAGCCACGAAGAGCTGTCGGCCCTTTCCAGCTCGCAACCCCGCATCACAAGAACAAGGTGATTTACTCTGGTTGGCCAATCTTGATAGAGCTGCAACCCCTGACTGGGGAAAACGAACGCCTTGGAGGCACTAAATTACAGGTCAGTTCCGGCCAAGCCGTGTTGTCAGTATCGGCGTGCAGAGATTAGACTTGGTTTTTTTGTCAGATGAGGTTGTCGCTGAGGCAGTGCTTTCTCTCTTTCTCTCTCTCTCTTTCTCTCTCACACATCTTCTTACTCCCTCATCACGCATCGCCTTTGTCAGGGTTGCGCGCTGGGTTATGAATACAGTTGCTGAATTTGCTGCGCCAAAGGTACTCTAGCCATACAGGACGGTGTTAGAAGGGGGCACGACATACTACTCCTGGTCGATAAGTGCGAGACGGATGATATGCACGAGGCCCGAACAGTCAAGGTCGGATATTCAGCTGCATAGTCGAACCCAGCGCCCGTACAAGTCGTACTCCGGATTATTGGCATTGCCTTCTTTATTTTTTTTTGTTTTTTGTTTTTCTTAAAAAAAAAAAAAGCTTGTGTAAAATCCTGGATAGCGCGGAATATTATGTCGAGCAATAGCACAGAGACGAAGGAGCCGTCAGGTCCAAGAGGTGGCACGCTCGTTATCGCCATCATTGTGCCTTCGGTTCTGATTATTCTGCTGGTTGTCCTCATCATTGTGTCAGTCTCTCTCTCTCTCGTCCGCGCACTGCATGTCAAAGTTGCACGTCTGAGCTAACAAGTAGCAATCGGCGCAGAGGGTTTCTCCTTCCACGACTGGCCCGCGAAGAACGGCGCGTGCGCGAGAACGGGTGGAAGACGCGCAAAGAAGAGCTGGAAAGTCGGGTCAAGGCGCAGTGTTTTTCTGAGTGGGTCACCGGCCAAAAGGAAAAAGGTTCTGGTGCGCCGCAAATGTCAGATGCGCTATGGTAAGTTTATTTTTTTTTTTTTAAAATTTGCTGGCGACAATGGCGCATCATGAGCTGATTTTTGCTGTAGCGCTATTTGTCTGGACGACTTCGCCGACGATTCACAGGTGCGAGGACTGGAATGCGCGCATGCGTTCCACTCACACTGCCTGGACGAATGGTATACAAAGTACAATGAGTACTGTCCGCTGTGCCATGGACCGATAATCCCCGGGGCTCGGCTAGCGAAGAAGAAAGCGCGCGAAGTAGGCGAGCCGACGATTCCGGTGATTCTCATGGTCTGAGAGAAGACGACTTGAAGGCAGCTTGATGCTAGGCAGAGCGTCAATGTGGAGTCGCGTACATACTACACTACACTACACTACACAATAATAGCCTGTAGCCGCAAGTGGACGCGACTAAAAACAGACATGGGGCACGCCACACAGGCCGCTCTAGTCGCTCGGGATGGACGGGAGATCTCCAACGGGGCAGGTAGATTTTATCCTGATCAACGGGCTGCGAGCAAGTGGGTCAAGCCAAAGGGCAGCCAGGACCGGGGCAAATGTTGAGCGCCAATGAGACAATGGTGTCCGTGGCAGCGTACTCTATCCATGACGACGGTCGACATGTATTATGTATACACATATGGACGACAAGTGACCAAGGAGTAGTAGTGGTGGTGGTGGTGGTGGCGGTGCTAGTAGACATACTCTACATGTGTACACACTACTTAGTACCAGGCCCGGCGCGGTAGCGTAGGTGGGTGGATTAGTGTATACGGCACATGAACGGCTCCCGCTGCCGCCGGTAGTACTTAAGTGGTAGCAGTAGCATGGCCTTTACTGCCGCTCTAGACCTTGCACGGTCCAATACCGCACATGCTTAGGATAGAGTACTTACTTCCCCAAGTATAGCCAGTATGCCGAGAATGGTGCGAGAGAGGCCGCTGAGTTGTGGGCTCGAGCCGAGGAACCACAGAGGGCGTACCGGGGAAGACGCATTGGGCAGTGGGCGGGGGGGCTCAGCCAAATGTCACGCCACATTTCTGGTGGTCTGATCTTCAACCGCCATCCAGGCCCGGCCAGTCCCTCGCAGCCCAGCACCAGCTCAGCACCAGCTGCACTGTCTTGTGCACTGCTCTGCTGCTGAGACGCCCGTTTGAGCCTTCTGATCCCGACGTCCTTTTCGCTTTCCCCTTGTCGTCGTCGACCGACACACGTCCACGCCCTGCAACTCCCGATTCCCCAGCCCGACTCCCCCCTGGTCGCACCACCTACGCAGTAGATGCTCTACCACGGGCCTGCAAACCACCACCTGCAACCACTGCCAAGTCTTTGTGTTTGGTCTTACTACTCACCATCCCGGACACCTGCTCCCCTCCTCGGGCTCAATCTCGGGTTTCCCTTCTTCACACTGCTCAAGCCCACCTGCCCTTCTTCCTCTTCCACCCATCTCCCCAAGAGCCGTGCAGCTGTTTCTCCCATTCCTAGGCCTCGACCACAAAACTAAAGGGAGTAGCCGCGCTTATATCCTCGTCCCCCACCTGGTCCTGATCCTGCACCTTGCTGGCTAGTCTCATCTGGCGGCTTGGCCATAGCACCCTCGAGCCATTGTATCTCCTGATCAACGCGTGAGCTCTTCCGTGCCACCCTCCACACTCCGACAATCACCATGGCTCTCAATTGGGACGCATTTCTCAATACTGACGGTTTCAACCTGCCGAACAACCAATGGTCCGATCCTTTACCACCGACTGCTGCCCCTCGCGCCTCTCAAATGCCAAAGTCTACCACCACCGACACGTCAGGCTCTTCACCTGAGGACCTCAACAACTTTGACCCTCTGATCGGTGCTTCATCAGCCGATCCCTACTTTGACGACTCGCTTTTCCTGTCCAACGACTACTTCCTCGGCGATCTCGACGTCCTCAAGCCCTTTGGCAACACTGCTGGGGGCAAGTCGACAACGGAGTCATCTCCTGAGCCCACGACAAGTGGTAATAACCCCGCAGCACAGGCACCCGTGTTGCTGGCGAACGGGCTAGACCAATCATCCCACATGTCGGCCGCCCAAAGGCTGGCACTCCAACGTGCCAACACGTTTCCTAACCCCGCATACGAGTCCATGTTCCCCAATAGCATTGACTCGGGCTTTGTCGAAGACCTCACCTTTCCAGATGGGCCCGAGGGCCCATCAGTTGCCGCAAAGCCGGCCGTGGAAAGAAATCAACCCTCGACATCGACCAACACTACGTCGAAGCGAACCAAGAACAAGCCAGATATCCTCTCTGCTTGCTGGACCTCACCCTTGTGTCCTAACCATGATCAAGATGGACCACCACCAAATCCATCAACATGTGGCGGCGGATGTGCACCCTTCTTGTTTGCAGACCAAGACAACCTACCAAGCATCAGTGATTTACTTGCTGAGCCTCAAGAAGTCATGGCCGAAGATGGCATAGTAGAGATTCAGCCTAGGCCCAAGAAGCGATCCGAGAGTGATGCATCGGCTAATGGCTTCTCTACTCGACAATTCGAGAGCAAAGAGACGACTTCATCACCAACTGAAGATCGCCACAGGACCAAGAGCGAGACTACAGAGGATAATTCCACAAAAGAGTCACCTCAAGGTGACGACGGAAAGCCAAAGTCTCGTCGGCGACTACCACACAACCAGGTCGAGCGCAAGTACCGCGAATCACTCAACACGCAGCTCGATTCTCTAAAGAGAGTTGTACCTTCACTACAACAGAACCCCCGGGGGTGCGATAGCGCTGACATTGAAGACCTACCCGCCCCTTCAAAGCCCAGCAAAGCCGTCATCCTGGCTTCAGCAACCGCCTACATCAAGCAAATGGAAAGAGAGAAGAAGAGCCTCGCTGACGAGAACCAACTTCTCCGCACAAGAGTGAAGGCTCTACAAGCCCTTGTTAAATGTGACGACTGCAGTTTGATGCAGTATGTCATGGACCTGAAGATTAAGCAAGGGGCTTAGAAAGGACCTCGTCTGTTGTTTTTCTCCACCCAACTCACCCACTCACTCGAACAAATTCTGAGAAACCGGTATTTTTTTGTAAAATCAGCATGGGATTAATGGTGTGTTTTTTTTGAAGATTCCTTCCAATCTCAAAATCGTAACCTAGATTTCTCCTTGTTCTCACGAGTTTCGAACCAACACATGGGGTGGGAGATAAGATAGCTATAATTTGGAGGTTGTGGTGGACTTCGTGCCTTCTCTTTTGGGCAACACAACTCCTCCCGGTTTTGCCGCAATATCTTTTTCTACCTCTCTTTTCTCTCTTTTCATGGATGAACTGCACAGATGCTGCTATCGTGTAACGATTATGGCGTTCGAAAGGGTTCCTGGGGGAATTAAAAAGCGCGCGCTTTGGCGATGACGCTCATGGCGTTTTTTTTGTGGGAGGGAAGGTTTTCCTTTGGAAGAGGTGTAGAGAGAGTAGCTTCAACAGAAATATATGATCGTACGCCTATCTTTGGGATTTTCTTTTCAACGTGGTGTCAATAAATGGATGAGTGTTTGAAAGTTTTTTCTTTCTTTCATTGATCTCATTACACTGGCTCGTTTACCCCCCCCCCCCCCAAACATTACTATTACTTTATTCCGACATTTTCCAAACACTAAAAAAAAACCCGATCAAAACGCCTATCAATATATCCCACACCGCTCTTCCTAAGCCTCTACATCATCCACCCCCTCCACCGCTACTCTGGGTCTCACGTACCCATCCATTTCTACACACCTTCAGTCAGCCCATCCCTTTGTCCAACCCGCCAGCAAGAAAAAGAGACAAACTTACGCATACTACACTGCACATAGCCCACCGGCCAAACCGGACCATCCCATCCATCCCACCCTTGCTCGTACGACGTTATCGCCGCCTTTTCCATCTCAAACGCTGCTTCTTCGGCGGTGAGGAGCGTGGGGGTTGCGAGCGGGGTCGACATGGTGGTGGGTGAAGGGGAGGAGAGGCAAGGGTAAGGGTTGTATAGCATGTGTTTGAAAATAGAATCAGTTGGTGATGTTTATTCGATCTTCTCCCGATGGAAGAATGCTGATTTTCAGTAAAGGGGGGTTATGGGAGAATCCCAAAGGATGTTTGGATTTTATAAGTAGCAGTAGGAGGAGGAGGAGGTGTGTAAGTATATAGAGGCAAAGAAAAAAAAAGTGGTGAGATCGGATACTAAGTCAGTTCGTGTGTCTCGATGCGTAGTCCATACGCGAAAGAAAAAATCAGAAAAGTATCTCCAGATACTTTTGTTGGTTTTTTTTTTCCTCCTCCTCTTCTTCTTCTTCCCACTCTGCAGGCCCCTGGGATTCGCCCCTTTTTCCGTCTTCCGCGTTACCCTGCGCATGTGCATAGTAAGCTGCGTCGGGAGGGCCCGGTGTGGGTGGCGCGGGGGGTAGCGGCGGGTGGAGAGATATGTGGCGTGATATGGGGGAGATGGTTTTCGGAAGTATCCGGTCGCGCCACCACGTGTCTGGATTCGGGTGCGGCTTCTGGATTTGTGTGGCGGCGCATTGGTTTAATCTAGGTCAACACGTGTGTACTCTGGTTGAGTGTTTTTTTTTGGGAATGTGGGGTGTGAGAGGGTATCACACCATGGTGCTGTCGTGGTGTTGGTTGCGTTTTGTGGATGTGGAGGTGGTGGTGGGTTATATATGACGCCCATGGGAGTGCGGGAAGTTTATTATTTCCATCTACAAACCACTGCTATTTGTATCAAAGACGTCGATTAAGAAAGTCACATACACTTTTACCTTTACTGCGAGCGCCGCGATCAAACCGGACTGCAACGCCAAAACACACATACGAACCATCCAACAAAAACCGGGTCCACCACAACAACATACATCACGCATGTCGTTCTTCCCAATCATACCTTCAGTATCGCTCTACAGCTCCATCCTCGCTCCCTCACCAGCACACCATCACTACCACGAGCAAATCGCCGCCCACCACGCCACCCACATGGACCACCACGCCCTCACATCCTTCCTCTCCCACCTCCTCGCCCCAGTCTCACACAACCAATGCACATCCTCAGCGCCCTGCTCAACACCCCCACCGCTCAGCGAGTCTTGCCCACCGCAAAAGACATGTAAAGAACCCCACATAATCCGCCTCGCCGAAGAAGAAGAACTCGCGCGCCTCCAACACGGCGAGCAAGACGGCACGCCATTGTGCCGCGAAGGCGACATCGAAGTGTGGCATCAGCAACCGCATCCGCATCCGCATCAGAACGAGGGAAGGAGGGATTCGATGGAGGCGGCGAAGAAGAGTCGGAGGGGGAGTTTGGAGTGGTTGGCGGGTGCTATTAGGGAGAGGAGGGTCCACGTGTAGAAGCGAGAATTCATTACGCTATCCTTTGTTTTTTGTTTTTTTGGGATATGGGTGTGAGGGAGGTGAGATGGGGGTTTTGGGAGGCAAGGAGATGAAGGAAAGATAGAGAGAGAGAGAGAGAGAGAGAGAGAGAGAGAGAAGAGTGTGGAATAGAAGGAGGTTTGGTTTGAGATGGATAAGGGAAGATATACCCAGATGAGAAAGTTAAGGCAAGAAAAGGGAGAAAAGGAGAGGGGGGGGAGGGGGGAGTTTTGTTCTTCGAGAGCTTGTTCAAGGTAGCTTGAGTGAAATGAGTTCAATGGGAAATTTTCATGTTCAATCTCAGGTCAAAACTTCTACAAATGGCTTTTTTTTTGGTAAAATTCTATGGCAAAAACAAAAAAAAATGGGATTTGAAAAGTTCAGTATGATTGTGTACCCTGATTATTGTTATTTTTTTTTGATTCAGAGGCAGTGAGTAACGGGAGGTAGTATTAAGTCGCTTGCATAGTACGTGGCAAGTGCGATTTTTTTTATATACTGGGGTTTTTTTTATGCATCGAGAAGCGCAGATAATGATGGAGTGGACGCGAAGGTGAGAGGTTGAGGGATGGCAATACTGGGTACAAGGTTGGATAGTGTGCAAATTGCATGGGTATACAAACTTTTGTGGATCATGAAACCGCACAGATAGGGTTCACAAATGTGACGAATGACTTGGGATATCTTTGGTGTTGAGATATGGGTGCACAAGCGATGGTCATTTGATGATATTGTAATCTTGGAAGTGGGAAGAGGGGACCATCGAGCAGGTGGCCTGGTTTTGTGAGGCCTGGTTCCATAGTTCCACGTATGCATTTTTTTGATCCAAGAAATTGATGGCTCCAAAAGGGGGAAAGGTTCTATGTATTATTGATACTTCGCATAGAGCACCGCGAATCGGTGCTCAAAGTCCAGCGATGACGATTGACCATTGTACACCAATGCTTCTTCTGCTCGAAACTTGGATCGTTTGTCCTCTAATCCCCTAGCAAGCGCAATATACCCTGGACTCCCCAACATGCAAACCTATTGCGAGAAATACACCGAGCGGAGCAATCCATCACTTCATGACGATAAGTAATCTCTTAGACTTACAACGTGCCACCGACTAGCTCCTTGGCAGCAAATATGTCACTGGCGACCGCTGATTGGCCGACTATTCTCTAGAACCCATGCTTAAAAGACTTCGAATACACAAACGGTCCACCGCATGCACCAACGTCGCAAACCACCATGAACACAACAGAACAAGGTGCATACCAGCATGGCGAGAGCGCGGGGATAAGAGATGGAGAAGATGTTGAGAAAGCTGGAGGTGCGCAGGCTATCGCAGGTAAGCATGGCAGTTTAGTTGATCCTACGAACTAGAACCTTATTTTTATCAACAGGACACGATGGTGAACAAAGGGACCTTCCGCCATTGAAGGCGCTTTCCTTTCTGGACCGGTTCCTCGTCGTCTGGATTGTACTTGCTATGGGAATTGGGATTGCGCTTGGAAATACAGTCGACTCTGTAGGACCTGCGCTGCAAAAAGGCGAATTCGTGGGTGTGAGCATACCCATAGGTATGTGTAACCTACAAAAGCGAGTCGGGTCGACTTAACGCTAATGTATGCACAGCGATTGGACTGCTTGTCATGATGTACCCAATCCTTTGCAAGGTCCGCTACGAAACACTGCATCTGCTTTTCAACTCCAAGGAACTCTGGATCCAAATCGCAGTCTCGTTTGTCTTGAACTGGATCATCGCCCCGCTATTCATGGTTGGCCTTGCCTGGGCGTTTCTGCCAGACCGCCAGGATCTGCGCGAGGGACTCATCTTTGTGGGCATCGCGAGGTGCATTGCCATGGTCCTCATCTGGACTGATCTCGCACAGGGTGACGGCGACTACTGCGCGGTTCTTGTCGCCTTCAACTCGATACTGCAAATTATCCTTTTTGCGCCCTTTGCCGTATTCTACATCCAGGTCGTCAGCCACGGCGAAAAGACGGCCGTCTCATACCAAGGCGTTGCGAAAAGTGTCGGGGTGTTCCTTGGTATACCCCTCGGAGCAGCGGTCGTCACTCGGCTGGCCTTAAGAACCCTACTTGGAGAAGCACGATACCAACGGCGCTTCATCCGATACATTGCACCGTTCTCCCTCATTGGCTTGATTTACACCATCATCGTCCTCTTTGCAAGCCAGGGCGCGCATGTTGTCCGACAGATCACCGACGTTCTTCGTGTCTGCGCACCGCTGCTCGTCTACTTCCTCGTCATCTTCACAAGCACAGTTTGGTTCTGCTGGAAGATGGGTTTTGGGTACAAGGTTAGCTGTACACAAAGTTTTACTGCTGCAAGCAATAACTTTGAACTCGCTATTGCAGTAGTGGTAGCCGTGTATGGCGCTGGCAGTGGACAAGCTCTGGCAAGTACCGTCGGACCTCTAATTGAAGTCCCTGTCCTTGTACTGCTTGTGTACGTCTTGAAGTGGATCCGGGCGAGATGGCAATGGGCCTAGAAGGCGTGGCATTGTCCTATCAAATGCATTTCGGTCAGCATGAGATTAGCTTCGGACCCAAGGCCACGACTCGAGCCATAACTGGAAACCGAAATGCAGGTATGAGAGCGGATCGTCCGAAAATGGTCTTGGTCCGACAGGTGCCTGCTTTCAAGGGCAGCGACATCTCGTCATGGACTCCTCGCGAGTCCGTGACGGATATGACCCGGAAAGGCCTTACTGCGGTTGCAGCCAGTCATATCTGGCAAGGAATGGCTGTGACAGGATGGCAGAGTAGCGCGAACCATGTTTAAAGGTTCACGGTGGATGCCAAGCGCTCTTAAGAGTTGCGCTATTCTCTCGAAGCCGTAGTGTACCACGACTCAGTGTTTAGTTTGTTGCAAATCATAATTTCGGGGCAAAAACAAAGAGCGTACTTAGTGAATATGTGACTTGCAAACACAGAGCAGAGCCGGTTGTCTAGTGCGCACGGAGAAGACACCTTCCTCACTTCCAGTGCTGTCGCTTAACAAACACCAGAGCCCTAGTCGCATGTAATTTTGCGACCGATCTTAGCACATGACCAGCGCGCGCAAGCAAGGGTACGACTTCCGTGCAAGACCCCACAAGAAGGGACTTTCCACCGACACGGACCATGCGGCTTACCACACCGAAGCCACAGAAGAGGGTAAATTCAGAACCGATGGGCAGGCGGTGAGGACCAGACGCGATCTTATCAACTTGACAGTGATCAACCGGTGGCTCATACAGCAATAGGGCCCATAGATCGTGCAGGATTCTGCCCACCCCGTACCCGACTGAATGTAAGTAAGTACAAGGCTGACGACAGGCAGTCTCCAGCGGGGTCAAATGTGCGTATTCTAGTCATTGAACGGCGTATCGGCGGCGCCGCAAGATAAACTCTACCCAAAAGCGCTTGTTCCCCTGATGACACATGGCTGCTCCGTCCGAGATGCCGATTCGCCGTCTGCGGGGCTCGATCTTGACAATGCCGTGGTAGTTTGACTGGACGTCATTGCAGTCGACTCATCTGGTATGTGTGTAGCGAGTTTGCTGCCCCAATACGAGCTTGATAGACAATACCCTTTACAAATCAGCTCATTAGCCTTGTAAATTGGGCGATAGGCGTGACATGGCGTAATCTTTTTTATCTGCTTTGGCAGAAGAATGATGCTGATGGGTTGCCTTACGGGCACAAAGCTGAAAAGCTCCAACTCCATGTCAATGCGTTTGGTAGTTTGTGCCCCACAGTTCTACTACTTGCATACATACTATATACTACTCCGTACACACATGCGTACATGGGCAGTTGCACAAGTGGAATGCGCATGTCGTGCACGCGCATGCCGAACGACTTTTGTACCGTAGCAGAGGGCCGATTTTGTCAAGTTGTTACGTGGTGGCAGGCTTGGCGATAGCTGTGAAGGTACGGTTGCAAGTAACCGTAGCACGGGGTGGATCGCTTTTGCAGCAATCCCTGCACACCCTGAGGCCACACCTGTTCGGAGATTTGGTGGCTCTGTAAAATGCTGGACATGACTCCCAGGACCTAAACCTAGCCATTCGTGGTATATCTCAAGACAGTAAATGCCATGTACTGGGTTCATGGCTACTGCACGTCTATGTACGTGTAATTCGGTGGCTGAGTATGCTCCACACAGCCGTGCCGTGATGCAGCAGCGTGAGCAGCATATGCATGTGTTGGCTTGCAGTCGTCGTGGTAATTGCACTCTCAAAGCGGAGTGTCCGTAGGGCGCAGGCTTGGTGTGGCGCCTGGCATTCATGACGCACCAGCGGTGCTTTTGGCAAGGGCAAGTGCTGTGTGCGGCGTCAAGTCGACAGTCGATGAAGCAAGCATCTGCTTACTCAGACTCGAGCTTGGGGGATGCATATGTTGCTGCAGCGGAAACTTTGGACAAGCGGTCCGCAACGTCGAAGGGGGAAGCCGCAGTAAGCGCGTGAGCATGTAGGCGGCGGCCGAGAATGGTTCCGTGTGTAGACAAAGATTAGACATGACGTAGAGAAGGACCGCATTTGGGCAGGTGTTTGCGAGGTGGAGAGACGCTGTCTCCATGGGCGTGTTTGTTTCGTCGATGGTGATAGCCGAGTCATGGCGTGGTCAGCGACGAGCGCACACGTCGCTCTTAACGGCGGGCAATATAGCTGGAACACGTCTGTAAAAGGCTGAAACTGGAGCTGGAGCTGGCCAGGAGGCGTACAGGGCCTCGGCTACCATGCCCTCGTTCCCGTCTCAGGAGTGTCAGATGTGTGCGCCCCGCATGCACTCTCGAGTGCAGTCGACGAATGCTGTGGCTCCAAACAGCGCCTTGCAGCGGAGACCCACGTGCCTGGTGCCAATGGGGACAGGCATCCGCGGCGGCGTTGACTGTCAAACAGGCACCATGGGTTCAGCTGGCTGGCACGGCAGATGGCATAGCCACTGCTGCCCGTCTGTTGTTTCGAGAAGGGCGGACGGGCAGTTCTGGAGCCAGCAGTGGTGGTGTTCATGCACTTGGGCCGGCCGGCGGCGCGCCAGTCGCACTTTGCCCTCCCAGCCTTGTGGAGCACCCGGTACAGCGGTTCGACCAGGCTAGCAACGACCGTGTTTCAATCTGGCCTTGCTCGGCTTGCGGACTGCCTGTGTGCCTGTGTGCCTGTGTGCCTGTCCTGTGCCTGTCCTGTGCCTGTCCTGTGCCTGTCCTGTGCCTGTCCTGTGCCTGTCCTGTGCCTGCGTGCTCGCGCTCATACTCGTCAGTCTGGCGCTCCCCGCAATCTTGTCGCCCGACATCACCTCAGCCCGAAGTCTTGCTCTCTAATCTTACAGCCATCCCTTGCAACGTTGCATTGGCCTGGCACAATGCTGCTGTTCGGTCGGTAGCTGAAACGGCTCCCTTCTGTTCCATCTACGGGGACGGTCGCACCTCGCTACCGTCGCCGCCCCCGCAGGACCTGGATCGTCGTCGCTGACCAACAAGCACAAAAACAATTAACAATATGCTGCACTCATGCTGCGACTACTGTTGCTGGCTTCCCACGGCGGCTGGGCGTAGCAGCACATGTACGTCGAGAGAGTGGAGTGGGTCGCTACCCCCTGCAGAGACTTGTTGACCCTCAATTGCGCTTGACCATGCCACTGGATACCTGGGCGCATGGCCGCCGTCTAGCTGCTCGTAGTATCCAGTTCGTCGCCGTCGAAAAAAAATCTCTCCATGCGGCGCAGCTGAGGGGGACGGCAGCTAAGAGCCAGTAACATGTATGATCCTAGGCGAACCGCCCTTCTGGGAGCGCAGTCGACTCTAGCACCACCCATCGGCGCATCGACTATGACCCGTGTCGCCGATTGCATGAGCATAGCTTGGCCAATCCCACACACGGGGCTTTTGGTACTAAATTTGTCAGCCAAGCAGAATGCTCAGCTTGGGTGCATCGACAAAGGAACGTCGATATGTTGCTGTTTGGGTGCAAAGGCGATGCTGCTTACCATACCGTGCGGCAGAGATCTGCGCCTGTGCCCATGACATCGGTCGCTAGCGAGGTCTCGTCATCTCTACTTACACAAGCAGGCCAGGACGCCCATGCTAACCGCGCCCGCGACGGCCCACCTGCTGTATAAGCTTGGCAGAGTAAGAGTGTATGTTGGTGCCTTATCCGCCTAGCCGTAGAATCATACATGCAAACATTGGATGTTGTACATACTCGCAGAGCAAAGCTTGTACGTTGCTTGTTGACCCAAAAGGTGGGACTCCAACGGCAGACAAACCCCCCCCCCTTGTGTAACCCTTCCTGTACCGAATGACGACACGGGCAGCGGAACGGCGCGCGGCGCTGCAACAGAAAAGTGCACCCATGAAGCGGTCGTGGCCGTGCATGGCAATGCGTGCCTTGGGCAGGCACCTGTTGACCAGGGACTTTTGTGCGTAATGAGGCCGGGTCGAGGGAGCTAGCGGGCGTGGCACAGTTGGTCCGGCGGGCGCATACATGAGGACCGGAAAACGCGCCTGAAGGAGAGAGGGCATAGAGTTGCGTATAGCGCGCCTCAGGATGCAGAGGACTAGACCAGGCAGAAGTGGCATCTCGCGTAAGCAACATGGTGATTGAGGTGCTGCTGGGGACCGCGGAGATTATCCTTTCCGCGCCGTATGAGCCGGGCTACTAGTCATGCCGGGCTTTGTTGCGAAAGCGTCACTTGTGCCGAGTATGTAGTATACCAGAGTAGTGATGGGAATACGGGGGCAGAGCGTGCCGGACGGCCATAAAGGGGAGGGGATGGGATGGGGGTGGAGTGGGCGCCGGACGGCAAGAGCGGTCGGGGCAAGCAGCACAGTATGATTCGCGCCAGATGGTGCCATGGCTACCAGGAAGGACCCAAAGGGGCAGACGACAAGCACGCAGAAGCAACAGGACATGGAGCTGGCGTGCAGCACACACACATGGTAAATGCAAGAAGGCACGGCGAATCTGGCGGCGGCCCATTCGCTGGAGTGGAGCATGGCACGGGATTCCGCGCAGCAGTCTTACCGCTGCAGTGGGCGTGCAAGGCCAATGCGAGGCAGGGCGGGCGCAGCATAGAAGGGCCGCCGCCTGTGCAGACAGACAAGCAGGCTGGCGGGCTGGCGGTGGTGTGTAGTGTATGCGTGGGTGTGGGTGTGGAGGCCCATGGCTGGCGGAGAGGGGCGGGCAGCAGGGCACAGTAGTAAGTAGCAGTAACAGCGTGGTGGACGACGAGACGCGTCGCGTGGCTCCTTCGCGGTGCTTGGGAGGGGGGGAGCGAGTGCAGCAGGGGGATGGGATGGTCCTGTGTCATGCGCGCCCATTGACTGCATCTGACGACGGCGGCACCGCTACTCTAGAATACTACGTAGAAGGTGGCAGAGGACTAGGCGGGATAGCAGCAGCAAGTAGGTAGGCGTGGGTGTGGGCGTGGGCGTAGTACTTGGTAGCCGTCGTCGTCGTAGTTGCGGTGGAGCATTGGTGGCAGGCTGGTGCTCGTCAACCCTCCAGCACACGCCCGGCTGGGGAGGGCTCACAGGGCCACAGTGTCAGTGCACGGGTCCACTTCCGAAGCGCGAGATCCCGCCACTATGGTAGCCGGAAAAGGCTATCCTCTGTTGGGTCCAGCTCCGAGCGTGTAGCGGGCTGCGTGCTGTCGTAGTGCCATGGACAGGCCACCTAATTAATAGCTGGCCTGTTAATGGCCTACGGCGCGGATGGGTCCCAGAGGTGCAAAGATGCAGATGGGTGGGCCCGCCTTCGGACTGCCTCTTGCATTCATGCCGGCACGCCTGCGTCTGGTCGACCAGCCCCAGCGTCAGCGCCCGTTTCGCTTTTAAATACAGTCCCCATCGCACCTCGCTCTCGCCCTAGAGATTGAGCCTGAGATCCCGGCCTCTGACCCTCCCAACCTGCCTGTCGACACGACCTTGACGACATCGACCACGACCGCCTTGACGACATCGACGCCCACGCCCACGACTCAGCCAGCCAGCCCGCCTAAACCCACGGCGCTCCCTTTCCCTTCTCTCGCCTGTCCACTCCACCACCTTCCTACTCATTGCGCTTCCCCCCTCCTCTCTGCTCTGATTGCCCGTCTGCAGCACCACCCCGCCGTCGGCAGCGACACGTGCAGCGAGAAGTGGCCTCTTGTCCCATGATCAGCGCGGACACGGCGACCAAACGAGAAACCGCCCTAATTCCTGCAGCAATATACCGGCAGCCACCACCCTTCTAGCCAGTCCTCCCACCAACCCCAGCTCCCCTCGCCCCTGAGGCTGCTCAGCGACCGCCGTTCGCTCCAATGATCACGATGACATCGAATGGGTGAGTGTACCGCCTTCTCCCCGCTCCGTGTAACCCTCCTCAATTTCCCGGCGGCAATGCGCCCTGCACTGGCCTGGGCCAAGCTACCCTGCCAGACGGCTAACCCGTGCTTTCCCCCCCACCACAGATTGCCCGTGCCCGCTCAGAACAGCAACTACATGGAAAATGGCCGCTGGTATCATGGTTTCCGGAGAGGGCTCTACATGTACCCGTGCGACGAGGTAGGCACCCACCAAACAAACTCCCCCACCACCACTATCACCACCACCGCCGCCTACCCTACCCGCTTGCCTTACGCTGACGCGACACCACAGCCAGAAAAGGATCGTATGGACATCTACCACCAGTTTTTCGCCGTAGCACGGAGAGGCCAGTTGCATCAGGCTCCCGTCCCCTCAGAGCCACATCTGCAGCCCCGCATCCTCGACGTAGGCTGTGGGACGGGCATCTGGGCAATTGACATGGCCGAGTAAGTTTTGGGTTCCGCAGCCTGCAATTTGCGTCCCGCAAGGCTAACCACGACGGTAACAGCAAGTACCTAAACGCCGAGGTGCGCCCAATCTAGATCCAACGCATTGCTGCCAGACAGCTGACGTGACTGCTGCAGGTCCTAGGATTAGATCTGGTCAACATCCAGCCCGAGAAGTACGTTCCGCCACAAACATGCTGCTTGCTTCCGAACCCGACACTGACGAATCCCCCTAGAATCCCTCCGAACCTGCGGTTCCGTGTACCACGCGATTACGAGAGCCCCTGGACGCTGGGCGAGGATTCGTGGGATCTGATCCATCTGCGAATGGCCTGCGGCAGCGTCGAGAGCTGGCCAGAACTGTACCAAAAAATCTACACGTATGCACCATTGTCGCGTTGCTTGCGGCTTCGTTTTCTTCACACATGCTGACGGGCGTCCAGTCACCTCAAACCAGGCACGGGCTGGATAGAACACATTGAAATCGACATGGAGCCCCGCTGCGACGACTACACGCTCCCTCCCGACAGCATGCTCCGCAAGTGGTATGGTTGGTTGGCCGATGCCACGCAACGAGCTTTCCGCCCCATCGCATACGAACATCGCACTCGGCAGCTCCTGCAGGCCGCCGGCTTCATTGATATCCAGGAGACTGTGATTCGCGTGCCCTACAACACATGGCCCAATGATCCGCACCAGAAGGATATTGGCAGGTGGTACAACCTGGGCTTGACCGAGGGCCTGGAGGCGCTAACCTTTGCACCTCTGACCAGAGTCTACAATTGGGACCTCAATGCTCACGTACGGCCAATCGTCGAGAGCGTGCGCAGGGAACTCTGCAACCGGAAAATCCATGCGTACAACAACATGTAAGTAGCACGCCCGCTCCCGTCGCACCAATTGTTTGATGTTACTGGGCCTATGCTGATAGCTTGCTTTGCAGCCACATTTGGACTGCCCGTCGCCCTCAGCAATAGAAGCGGGTACGACGCTTGCAGCGTTGCGTTGAGACGGATGGTGTGGCCAGCGGTGTGTGTGTGTATGTGTATGTGTGTGTGCGTGCCTAGAAGTGTGCACCTTTTGGCGCCACCACCACCCACGCCAGGCAGCACCGACTAGTCTGGAGCCAAAGCCCCGGAAGTTCTACGCAACGCCTCGACGCACCCACGCCCCGTTACGCCTAGATGTTATTGTTTTCTTCTTTTGGCGCTTTCTGGATGTTGTGCATTCGGCAAAACATTCTTCGCTTCCATTTGGCCGAGGGAACCTCAAGGCCGGGCCGACGAAGCCGTTTGAGCGAGCCGGTAAACATGGGGCAGTTTTCCGCCCTCATGGTTTACCATGTCACATTGTTACGAACTGTGCAGTTTGCCTGCATGACGTCTTTTTGCTATCTACCTCCCCATGATGCATGATGCGCATGGGAAAAACTGGAGTTTGTTCACCTTTTTCCTCTATATTTTTTTTTCTGTTTCCTTTTCTTTTGGCGGCGACTACCCGAGTCTGGCGTTACGGCATGTTTAAGAATATGATACCTCGGTTTGCTTATGACCCAAAATTCATGTCGTAGTAGTGTATTTGTCGAGCTTGGGCCGGCAGTCTGAAGGTTTCTAGCGTGGGTGTGTTTGGCATGCCTGGCGGCAAAGTGGCTCGGCATGACGGTATAGGCGGATGTTGGGCCGACGCCGGTTTCAACGTTTGGGGCCCTTTTTTTTTATGGTTCTTCAGCTCGTTGACGAGCATAGTCGTGTTTTTGTTAGTGGGCGACGGGGATGAGGGATGTTTCCGACTTTGGACACGGATCAGGCAGTATACAAAATAGATATATAAGTATATATTGATAATAGCTGGCCATGTCGCGGGGTCGAGTTTGTTCTAGAGTGAGTTTGACAGTGGGCTGGCGTGTGCATGGGCAGAGATGATTTGGGACCCAGGGTAGCGCGGAGGTGGACCTAGGCGTGGTGTGCATGTGCCTGCCACGCGTCGTTACCGAGTGGATGGATGTTTCAGGAGCCAAAAGGCAGCCATGGCATGAGGGCTCGAGGTAAGTTGGGCGCGTAGGGTTTCAAGTGTCGCAGCGGTGCCGTGGTGGGCAGAGGCCAGGATGGCGGACCGATGCCATGGCATGGAGAGTGCAAGCGAGCTGCATGACGGCAAACAGGTGTCTGCTGGGCAATGCTGCACGATGGAACTGACATGCAAGCAAGATCTCCGAGACGGGACTGACTCTTGCACCAACAGCCAGCGCCAAGGGGAGCAGGTTTATCGAGGGCAAGGGCTGTGAGTACGTGTATTGTAAGTTTGCAGAGTATATATTATGTACTAGGTGGACGTAGTATAGGGCAGAGGGGTGGTGAAATTGTTTTGGCGATCCGGCACTGTGGGTCGGACGAGGCTTCTCCCGTCGCCCGCGCCTCCCCTCCCGCGCGAACGAAGGAACAGACACAGACGCAGACGCAGACACAGACACAGACACGCTGACTGTTTTAAGAAGAAGAAAAAATTAAGGTCGTGCAGGAATGCGTGGCGTGTTTCGCGCGCGCCTCTTTAGGTTGGCAACGCACATGCAGACATATACACAGACACAGATACAGATACAGACACCAACGCCGACACACACGCACACATGCGCGCACTCACGCGCACCTACACAGCCCTCTCCGTCCCTGGTTGCAATGGCGTTGGCAGACAGTGGCATTCACTCTGAGCTGCAATGATGCGTCACGCCCGCCATAGTTGCTGCTAGCAGAGTAGGTACGGGTGACATGGAGAGGTCACGCATGGCATGGGCGTGGATTGCCCCACCAGCAGCCCGCCAGCAGCCCGCCAACGATTAGCCGGGCCTTCTTCGGACATCCCCCCAGCCTGTAGAGTCAACACCGAGCCAGCGATCGTCGAGCCCTTGTATTCTGTGTGGGCGACGCATTGGCGACTGGGCCGGGAGACATCGGCAGACCATCCCCACGGAGACGGCATGCCCACCTTCTGACCGCCACTCTGCCATGCTGGGCCTCCGCCTCCGACTCTCGTTGCTTTTGCGCAGAACCGTGCCCTAAACACCTCGAATCACACAAACTCGATGCTCCCACCCTCCTACACCACCGGTGTGACTTGCCAGCACACAAAATGCCCATGTCTGCTGGCTGCCACTCACCACGGCCTCCAGCCCACCCCCCTCAGCTCCCTCTCGTACCAGCCCAGAGGTTCGGCCGTCGACCAGCCCACCCCACGGTGCCACTGCCCTGCCTGTCCAGCCGCTCTTGCCTTACCACCCTGTCGGATAAACTTTGTCCACGCGCATCGCATCATCGCGTCTTTCCAAATACTTTCTCCAACCCAAGGAGACTACTGCAACGACGTATCAAAGCCCACCGCTTGTCTTAGCAACTATACTTTTGGCCGCTCCTACCGCGCAACCACACAACACGCCTTGTAGCCGCCTGGTAAGTTTGCTCTTGTCTTCGTTCCTTACCCCCCGCGCGCGCGCGCCCAAATGATGACAAAGCTGGGGCCAGAAGAGCTCCTCTCCCCAGCTGCCCTCTGCACCTGGGGATTGCAGGAACCATGCTTTCAAACCCAGCAACTTTACATCTTCTCAACTTACCTGATACCATACCCCGCTGCACTACTCGTTTCTGGCATACTGTCATACATGACAAAGAACTTACCATCACTTAGTCAGGACCCGCTTTCGCCTCCAAACGACCGGCGCTACCAACAAGGCCATGGCAGTGGTGCTATCCGGGCTTGGAAGCTGGGGGGCATTTGTCCAAAACTAGTCATGGAACAGGCCTTCGGACCCCTTCTTCCATAATCATCACCTAACCCGTTCTTGAACTAGGGAGTCCCATGGACATGTTGAACATGTCTGGCAAAGGTCCGCTTTGGCGATCACTCTTTGGTCGGCCCTACTCTCATGCCACTGAGGTACGTATGTATTACCCTCTCCCTTTTCCTCTGTCCAAGACGGCCTATTTCTAGCTCCGGGAATAGTACGTGTCCACCCATCAAGTCTACGGTAGATCCCGGGGTTTCATCCATGAAAAATCGCCTGTCTAGCGTTTTAGTAGTGCTTGTGAGCCGGTCCCATATGGTTCGTCTTCTACGGGACCTAGTGTTGTGCATCTTCTAGTCTATTCTTCTAGCGTGTCTAGCCGAATTCCTTCGGTATGCAACGCTCTCTTGCCACCCACTAGTCTCTGGCATATTCGCTATCGTGGTCATGACTTGTTGGTCATGTTGATTTGTTGATTAGTATACTCGCCGGATTTGGTTTCCTTTGCAAAGTGCGAGTAAAGTCCTTAGCGTTGCTTTAGACTGCCTGTCGACACTAGCGCATAATGATGATATCACGAAGCTGGTTTGCTACAGAGGAGTGTATTTGTCCATGACAGGTGCGGCATGTTCTTAGTTGCCAAGCTGGAAAGCAAGTGAAGGTGCCTTCCACTCTACTTCACTGCCCACACTCTAATTTACTAGATATTAGTCCTATGTATGTGTGTGAAAGCTCTATCGTACGATTGTGGTTTGCCCATGTTCATTCCTGTGCTGTTTCTGGAAGCCATGTACCTGCGTGAATGATATCGTGAGATGCCGCCATCGCAACTACTTGCCCACAGCAAAGCAGCAGCTTCCCTTGCTGCCATCTGCCTCACGCATCATGCTTCAGGCAAGAGCATCTCGACAGCAATCGGACTACTTCTACCCAGCCAACTTTCTCCATCTCTCTAAATCCCCACTATCCGCATTATCGTCCCATCATCATACCACACCTCTACCCTGTCTACTAATATTACTGTTCACTAGTCTTAAAGCCATCATGGTGGCCTCACCAGTGCAACCTGTCATCGCAGAACTGGAAGAACCTAGCTCTAAGCGCTCCATTGCAAAGCTGCTAACGCATCTTCTGCACCTCATATCCAGCATCATCGTCTTCAGCATTGTCATGCATTACTACCGTACAATTCCGATTACGTGGCTCAAAGAGTTCTGGGCTATACTGGTAAGATATCTCCATCCTCACTTCTCAATCCTTCTTCTCCCTTACCCTTCCCCATTGCCCTCTCTACCTCTTCCTCCCGTCATTTCCACCTCGGCCCTTGGCCTCTCAAGCTAACCTCTAAACAACAGGCCTGTATCGACATCGTCATATGCATCCTCGTCCTCTACTATACCTTCGTCAGATCCTCGATACCCCATCTCGGCACCTTGATGTTCGTCCTGGCAAACTTGTGGCTCCTAGCCCTCACGCTTTCTACCATCGATTATTCTCACACTGTGTGTGGCCAGCCTAAAGAATCGGTGTGGGTTACTTGTCCGATCAAGAGGGTACATATGGCGTTTGAGACACTTGCTTTGTGAGTGCATCTGCATGTTTGATTGTGCTGTGATATGGGTGAGTGAGTATAAGGCTGACGTGCGGGTAGCTTGCTGAGTTTTTTGACTATGATGGTGGAGTTTAGGAGGTGGGTGGTGCCATATACTAGGAGGTGGGGGTCGAAGAAGGTTATTGATGGGACTGAGAAGTGGGTGAGGGATCCGGTGGTTACACCGAGGACGTCCTATACGGCTGTTTGAGAATGTCGTGATTGTGGACTAAAGGGCAGGTGGTTAAGGAGGACCTGGGTATGATGTTGAGATGGAGTTAAAACGATGACATGACACGAGTCAATGGATATCGTAGGGTGGTGCGATGATTTTTTGTTACTTTCTTCTTTTCGCCTTGTTTCACCGTGGATAGAGAGGCTGGACCTTTCATGTCGCCAACCAAACCGTTAGTGTTGGCTCATTCTCATAGATTGTATTGACTAGATTCTGATTCTCATGTTTCTTCCTCTTCTATTATGTGTTCGTCTGTGGTGCTGGGTGCTAAGCTGAACATGGTCATTATTGCTTGTAGATATACGTTTGATACCTTCAACAACCACATTGATAACTCCATTTTCCACAACCTTACCCTTGGCCAGTAAATCCCCCTCAAATCCACCCTCTCTCCAAAAACTTTGTCGGAATCTCCACCGTCTTCGCCCGCATATACTCCATGGCATCTATCTTTGGTCAGCTTTTTACCACCCCTCTCTCAAATCACACACAAAAAAACAAAACTCACTCTTCCCCAAGGTATCAATCTCGGAACTAGCATTATACCCTCGATCCAACTGCTCATGCAACAAAAAATGCACCGCCCAAATCCCCTCAATCTCAAACCGATCAATCCTCCCTCCCTTATACTCTTCGGGCCCCAACAACGCCTTCACCCGCTCGACTGTCATGAAACTGCGCAACCAATCCCACTCATCCTCATACCTCACAAAAAACCCACAATTACAATCCGCAGCCTTGTCCCCCGAGCGCCCCGCCACAATCGCCCCTAGCGGCGCCTGGGTCGTCGGACCAAAAGCCGCAAGGTCAACCGGATCAGAAGTCTCATACGAATCCTGCTGTCGCGAATACTCCCTCGTAACCCGCGGCGCCTCGAGTTCCTTCACTTCCTTCTCCCCGTACAAACTATGCACGCGCAACGGCAGATGCGTCTGCGGCAGCAACGCAACCCAATACTCATAGTACGGTTTCGGCACTACCTGGCGTAGGTCGTTTGTGAGCGAGAGGCCTGGGGCGCATTGAAGGAAGACTTCGAGACACCATCGGTTGAATGCGTCGGGGACGTCTGGGCGCACGAGGTCCGCGTCACGGGTTTGAGCGAAGATGCGGAAGTCGACGGTGGAGGCGTCGAGGGAAGAGGGGTTGGAGGGGGAGGAGCCGATGGCGTGGAAGCGGAGGGTTGTGAAGCGGGATGTGTTTTTGCCCATTGCTTTTTTTTGTGTAAACATACGTTAGTATGGGTGGAGTGAAGGGGGGGGGGGGGGGGGAGAGGGAGAAGAGGGGAAGGGGAGAAAAAAAATTACCATATCGAATCTGATCCTCAGTCACTTTGCATTTCTCAGCAATGTCCAGACCAGCCATGTACATGTGCCATTCGCACTGCCAGCCTGCCGGGGCGGTAATACCGATTTTCGTGGTTGGAGGCGGGGGGAGGCCTTGCACGCCTGTGACGCGGACGACGTCTTCGGAGACTTGGTGCATGCGGATGTGGGTGAGGTTGGCGGTGACGTCGCAGTTGTAGTAGAGGGGGCCTTGGATTTCGTAGAGGAGTTGCGAGGTGCATGTTCCGATTGTTACGCAGCCTTTTTTTTCGTTGTTAGTTACATGAGATATACTTTGTAGGGATAGGGGGGAATAGGGTAAGGTTTACCGCCGCTGTCTTTCTCTTTTGCAATGTTGAAAGTGCCATCGTATTCGACCTCGGCGATTGGGAAACCCATGTTTACATGCTTCCCCGTCTTGATAAGGTCTTTGAACATGGAGTAGTACCCCCCGCAAACGTAGCTCGAGCACTCGATTAAATGCCCTGCTACCAGTGCTCCGGCGAGTTCATCGAATTGATCGTTTCGCCAGTCGTGCCACCATCTGTTTTCTCTCAGCTTCTCTCCCGTTCTCCCCGTATATAAAACCAACCCAAAAAGAAAGGAGAAAGAAAGAGAATATGAGGACTTACGCAGCAGCCCCAACAACCGGCGCAGCATCCGCCACCCGTCCCGCAATAACAATATCCGCGCCCCCCCTCAACGCCTCCGCAATACACAACCCCCCCAGATACGCCTGCGCACAAACAGGTTCCATACCCCACTCCTCCAGCTTCTTCCCATGCATCAAACTCTCAAACTGCTCGCCATCTTTGATCAGACTTTGCACCTGCTCCGTCACATCATCGCCTTCTATCCACGCGACTTTCAAATGGCTCGCACCGTGTTTTTCGAGAAGATCAACAACGACTTCAGCGAGCAGCTGGGTATCAGATGCGCCGGCGTTGACGGCGAGTTTGGTCTTGTTGCGCACGAGATGCGGGATTGCGGGCTCGAAGCATTGGAGGAAGGTATCTGCGTACATTGCTGTTTTCATGCGGTCTTGGAGCGTTTGGGATCCGTTTGTCGTGGTGGTCGTGGTGCTGGGTTTTGATGATTTTTGGTTTTTGACTTTGCCGCTGCCGTGCAGGGTCATTGTCATTTCCGAGAGCCAGTCGCCTGTGTATACTGTTAGTTTATGGGTTTTCTGTAGGATTTGTTCTTAGCGGGTTATGATACCCATTACTACGTCGACGTCGGGGTCGCTGGCCATACGCGTTATGGCGGTTGAGCGGTCGGTGAAGCCGCCGGAGCAGCCTGCGATGCGTATGGCGCGTTTACGGGTCGTTGAGGGAGACATTTTCAGGCGCTTTGGGTTTGGGGGTATGGGTTCTACGGAATAGGCTAGTTCGGTCATGAGGGAGATAAGTTTGGTGGGAAGAGTCTGGTAGATTAGGATGGTGTGCTTTCAATAATTATATACCGGATCCTTTCATGTACACAAGGCAACCCATGCCCGTCTTAGGAGCTATTACGTTTGAGCTTGGCCAATGGCGACCTTTTTACTCGCAGAGATTATGATGTCTCATTGCCGTGTCCTGGGATGCATTACGGATAATAATTCACGATGGAAGACGATTTCCCGACTGCGGCGGCGGGGTTGCGGGGAAGACGGGGAATGTTGCACGACCTTCGAAGTGTGAGACTGGTTCTTCTGCAGTGTTTCTTTAATATCCTAAGATTTGTATACCAGGTAGAGAATGCGGTGGGGATCTATTTCTTTCTTTGAGTCTAATCTAGTCATGAAGCAACATCATACCAGTGGGAGTGCAAGAGGAAAGCGAACTGCACACGGAGTTGAAGATGGTCAGAACCTGAGATGTAAACATGACTCGTGCTCTCGTTCATTGAAGGCTGGCATGAATCGATAACATCGCATCACCACTAGCGCAGACCCTTCGGTTCGTACCACCTGAACGTCCGGGGCCCGGGGTAATACGCGGGGGTCTTAGGTAAGTGTTCTTTTAACATGCTTTTGCGGCTGTATGACCAACACTGAACCATCTACTAGCGTATCTTTCTATTTATTTTCGTCAGCTACAGTGTCATGTTCGTCTTACAAGTTGGCTTTGATTCTCATGTCGCCTTTGTCTTTTTTTCTACACGGCTAACATAAGAGCTCAAGATAATCATCTTTGCTATTCATCTTGCCAGATGAACTGTAGTTGTCGGGTTTCAACCCTGTCATCAAGCTAAGCTAAAGGGAGGTTGTTGCATGGATTTCAGAGGTAAATATTCCGTATCTTAGATATTGTTGCGATCGGAGTCAAGCGCCGTACTTTTTCTTACTCTAAGTTCGGAATAGCACTTCTCAAAAGCCCAAGCCCAGTTCTTGCCTAGAGAGCAGAGTGAGTGTGTAGCTCAAGAGGGGGATGAGCTTGGCCCTGAAAAGATGGCCCCTTTCTAGCCCAGATATATTCAGCTACCTGCCATCTTTCGAAGTCTTGCCGGATGATAATGGAGAAGATGGTGAGCAGTTGAGAAAATCAACTTTTGGTATGCACTGAGAAAGATGAGAACCAAAGGCTGTGGACGAGAGTATTTTCATGGTAAGTCATTTGACAGTTACCGCTGGACCGTAGGGATACATGGCAGTTCCAGCCCCCAATATATCTAGAAGATCGGCCAATAGCAGGCCGGATCGAGCCTGCTTGCAGCCATACTGCTGGACGACTGCACCTCAGCCTGTTGAGCCTGACAAAGCCGCCATGAGGCTGAGCAGTAGGCAACATCTGCCAGCGCGGCAGTGTCAGGCCTTGTCAACCATCACTCTCCCTTCATACTCCCCCGTAATAACCGCTTCGAATGGCCCAGCTTCCCCGGCTGTCTCACGAGAAATACACTGTAGGATGGGTATGCGCACTCCCGGTCGAGCTGGCAGCGGCAGAGGAAATGCTGGACGAAGTGCACGAAGACCATGAGCGCGACGACAACGATGAAAACATATACTCTCTAGGATCGATTGTTGGGCACAACGTCGCGATTGTGTGTCTACCGGCAGGGCGTATTGGCAATAATCCTGCGGCAGTCGTGGTGACACAGATGAAGGCTACATTCAAGGGAATTCGATTCGGGCTGATGGTCGGCATTGGTGGAGGGGTACCCAGTACGGCGGCAGACATCCGCCTTGGGGATGTGGTGGTCAGCCAACCTAATAAGACGTTCGGCGGAGTAGTGCAGTACGACGCTGGTAAGGCGACGGCGAGCGGGTTCGAGCGGACGGGGTCGCTCAACGCGCCACCGCAGATCCTCCTCAACGCGGTCACGAAGGTGCGAGCGAATGAATTCCTAGGTAAGAGTAGGATGTTGGAGCACATGAGCAAGCTGGAGCGTAATATACCCAAGTTCCAGCGCAGCAAGGCAGGACCCGACATCTTGTTTGACGTGGGGTACGACCACGAGGGTGGGCAGACATGGGAAGGATGCAAGACAGATCACCACAAAGTTCGGGAGGCACGCGACGAGGAGGTAGTGTCTCATTACGGGACGATCGCGTCAGGGAACCAGGTGATAAAGAATGCGGTGGAGCGAGACAAGATTAGCGCAGAGCTCGGCGGGGTGCTCTGCTTTGAGATGGAGGCGGCGGGCTTAATGAACAGCTTCCCCTGCCTTGTTATTCGTGGCATCTGCGACTATGCGGACTCGCATAAGAATAAAACATGGCAGCCGTACGCGGCGGGAATCGCGGCAGCGTATGCAAAAGATGTACTATCCGCGATCCCTCTAGCTGCCGTGGCGAAGACTCGGACAGCGGAAGAGGCGATTCAGAGCGCACAGAGTTGGTATAGCCATTTGTTGCCTATATTTCAGCGTGGCTAATAGTGAGACAGAGAAGGCAATCTACTCCATTCCGTTCCTCCCTAACAAGTCCTTCGTTGGGCGAAAGACTGAGCTCGACAAGTTGACGCAGAAACTCATAGTCAACAGAGTGTGCTACAAGATGTCGATTGCTGGACTAGGTGGCACGGGCAAGACACAGGTGGCACTCCAGTTGGCGTACATGGTGAAAGAGCGCTGGTCCGAGGTGTCCATTTTCTGGATGCCTGCGCTGAGCATGGAGACCTTTGAGCAGGCGTGCACTGAAGTAGTACGACTGCTTGGCGTACCTAACGTGGCCGATGGCGAGGACGATGTGAAAGAGCAGTTCAAGCGGTATCTGGGCACGGCGCAGGCAGGGAAGTGGCTGTTGATCGTTGACAACGCTGATGATGCAGACATTGTTTTCGGCAGTGCTCAATCGAAGGGCATTGTCGACTACTTGCCACAGAACGAAGAGGGCGTGACCTTGTTCACCACACGCACGCTAGACGTAGCAGGGAAGCTGACAGGCAGTGATATGTTAGAACTTGGCGCGATGAACCGACAAGACGCAACTGCCTTTTTGACCAAATCGCTGATCAGCAAGGAGCTCCTTAGCGATAGTGTCGCTACGACAGACTTGTTGGACGAGCTGGTGTACCTGCCTTTGGCCATCGCACAGGCAGCTGCTTATCTTAACAGGAATGGGGTATCTATCAGAGAGTACTTGCGGCTGCTACACAGTACAGAGCTAGACCTTGTTAAGCTCATGAGCAGAGAGTTCCGTAATGACGCCCAGTACAAAGGCACCGCAAACGCAGTAGCTACAACATGGGTAGTATCGTTTAGTCAGATCCGTGCACGCGATAAGGTAGCTGTGAAGCTGCTGTATTTCATGTCGTGCATCGAGTGGAAAGCGATACCGCGGTCTATTCTGCCGAGAGCGCGGTCCAGGGTGCGGATGGCAGACGCTATTGGCACGCTCTGTGCATACTCTTTTCTCAAAAAACGAGAGAATGAAGACGAGTATGACATCCATCGACTAGTACATCTAGCGACCCGAATTTGGGTCAGGCAGTACAGCGACACGAGAAGGGTGATGGAGAAGGGTATCAGACATTTAGCCCGCATCTTCCCCTCGGACGACTATGCAAACCGGACAAAATGGAGGGCATATCTGCCACATGCGCTGCGGCTGCTCGAGAACAGCCAAGTCTCTTCGATGCAAGACAAGTCGGAGCTGTGTCTCTTAGTAGGACACTGTCTGTATGTTGACGGGAGGATTCAAGAAGCAGTGAGATGGTTTGGACAGTCGTGTGAACACAGGAAGACACTCAAAAAGCGCGATCCGAAGCGACTAGCATCGGAGCACGCGCTCGCAGAAGCATATCACGCCAATGGACAGGTCAAGGAAGCAATCAAGCTACTAGAACATATTGTGAGGATAGAAGTAACCGCAGAAGACCATCCTGATCGGCTAGCGTCGCAGCAAACACTCGCAGGAGCGTACCTTACCAACGGACAGACTAAGAAAGCGATTAGGCTGCTAGAACATGTTGTAAGAACAGGAGTGCTAGCAGAAGACCATCCTGATCGACTATCGTCGCAGCATGAGCTCGCACGAGCATACCATATCAATGGACAGATCAAGAAAGCAGTTGAGCTGCTGGAACACGTCGTCGGCATATGTACAGAAGTGCTCGCAAAAGACCATCCTGATCGACTAGGGTCGCAGCATGAGCTTGCAGCAGCGTACAACACTAATGGACAGGTCAAGGAGGCAGTCAAACTCCTAGAATATGTGGTTAGAAAAAAACAGAGGATCTACAGATCTGATCATCCCGATCGGCTATCGTCGCAGCATGAGCTCGCACGAGCATACCACGCCAATGGACAGGTCAAGGAAGCCGTCAAGTTGCTGGAATATGTAGTTGGAATGGAACGGGAAGTCCGTAGGCCTGATCATCCCGATCGACTCCTATCTGAGAGGGTCCTGAAATCTTGGCAACTTGAGTTGCATCCGACCTGATGTTGAATGAATCTGTCATTTTCCTTGATAGTTGTTGTATTAGCTATTACGGGCTATAGTAGCTGGATGCAGTAATTTTTGTCTTCAAAAGAGTGCAGTAGTCAATTGAGAAAGCTTCTTCAGCGCTAAAACTTGAAAACTCTTTACTAATAATCAGAATATTAGAAGAAACCCTTTTTCAATCCTAGAGTACTCTTCAAGATATAGGAATTACTTGTCATTCGAGAGCGGGAGAGATTTAAAACCCCTGACCTCGCGGACTGCTTAGCATCTTGGTAAAAGAATATTGGTATCCCGAAGAAAACCCACTGCGCCACCCGTCCGTAGTCGTCATCTTCGTTACATTCTTCCGCTTACATGTTTTGTACCTTGACCGCGCGTTTACAATATTGAAAGAAAATGTGTTCCATGATCTATGAGTCATTTCTTATATTCGTCGATTGAGCACCAAGACACTACGTATCATCATTAGAACTTGGCATCGTAAAAAAAAGATACAAGCAGTCTACTTGAGGACATTCCCGAAAACCCCGCTCCAACTAAACCACACTATTAGGTATTTAGTGACCATAGATAATTTATGCCATATTATGCATCCATTTCGGGACTACTGGCGCAGCTCAAGATAAGAGCATGCGAAAAAAGAGCCCGTACATGTATTTGCGCCTATACTCCTTTTGTGTACACCGCGTGCACATGCATTCTATTCCTCACTCGTAATGTTACGTTTCCCCTTCGGCCATGAAAATTACAATTTTTGAAACATAAAGTTATCGTGCTTCTAATGGAAAGGGCATGGTGGGTGTTGTACTTCCCACTGAGGTAAAGCCAATAGTGGGCTTTGCCGTCGAAGCTGATGTTGCTTGAGTGTTTGTCGATGGTTTTTTTCGGAACAGGTGTCCTGGATCCGGATTCAGGGCCTTGCCGATGGCATGCGACAGGGGGCCCACTCGGCAGATGGAATGAGCCGTAACCAGCATAGCCTCTCGTAATGGATGACTGATCAATACCTCAAAGCTTTATGGAAGCTCCGTTGCGACATCGGTAATGCCGGTGATTTCAGTGCAGCGCTGCTAGTTGCCATCGATTCGGAAGCATTCGTCCTCGTTTCAAACTGAAGTTGGGATCCAATGACCCGGAGGGAGATACGCAGCCCCTTCTTTTTCAACGCATCCACTAAGCTCTGTATTTGAATAGTAAACTTTGTGGCAGCATCCAGAAAATGCTCGTAATCAGCGTCGCTCAACGACGCCTGTCCCAAGTCTACTTCGATTGCAATTTCGGTTCGCGCTGTCTGGATCATACCGAGCGCCTCGATGGCACTACAAAACCGCTGCTCTTCAATCTTCCGGTTATCGGGCAATAAAAAGGCAAAAAGAAGAGGCTGAATCTGTATTTGTAACCGTCGTGCATAGACGGCTGGGGTCATGCCAAAGCCAAAGCCATCCGTGCCGAGGAATGGCTCAAGCAGGCACATCTCGTGATGAGCAAACTTGAAAGTGCGTGTCCAATAATAGCACTCTAACATCTCCCGTGCAAGATTGAAGTCCCAGCCTTTTTTGCTCAAACAGGCTGAAACAGGGTCTTCGATCCATCGGTATGAGTATTGGCCGCAAGGTTCTCGAATCAGGTGAGTGAAGCGGTACGTCCTGCCCAAGGCAGCGCGGCGCACAATAACTTCATTGTCATAGCTTCCTTCAAAGCAGAAAATGTATATGCGATTGCGGAGCTCACGTGGCAAACGTGAGAATATGTTCATAACACTGCTGTCTCTACTAGGGGGACTGGCCCTCCTGTCCATGCTTCTGGTAAGTCAGCACCCGCCAGAGGATTCAAATGTTGTCTTGCTCTCACTGTCTTTCAGATTGAATTGGAAGGAAATCGTTATTCGTTGATGCGTGTGACTCGTGCATGTTGTTCCGTCGGAGCATGGTCAGCGATGGTAATATGCTTGCACACCCTTCCTATCGCGGCCGTTGATAGATGCCGTCCTTTCTCTGTGGGCCGGGACAAGCCGTTCAGAATTCACACCACTCCTTCTTCTACGCAGCCCATAGGGAGAGCTGGCGGCGACGCATAATTAAGTAAATTTTGAGAGGTGAGCCTCACGCCAGATCACGGGAAGCACTAACCTGCAAAGAATGCCTTTTCGCGAGTGGTTTTCCAACACATTTGCGCCTAGTCGGAGGCCTGCGACGCAGTAATCCCGATTAGGAAAGCATTGCGCGAAGCACGGATACTACGGAAGCCCGAGAACAAGGCTGATCCTACACAGATTACGCTCTGCTTGACGGTGCGGAATTCACAGTGGCACCGAAAACCCCATCCAAGAGGGCCCGAAACAGTCCAAGACTTTTATCGATGTCTTGACCTTTCATATGGCGTGGTCTGCTCGGTCGCCCCAACCTCGGTACTACGGAGAGAGTATTTTATTTTTGGTCCAAGTGGCCCCAGCATGACAGTGCCAGCCAAGACTGGTTTGCGAATACGATGAATGCTAATGTAAAGTAAGGCCACATGTTTGCGCATACTCAACGTCTTATCCACGCCACCAGCCGCCTGCATGTAGCTAGTAGCATTATCGCAATGTCACGTGCAGTACCCCACAATCATAGGCCCTGGCTTACAGTCTGCAGGAAGCATGCATCCGATCTGTCATCACTCGCCAAACCCTACAACATTGGTTCGATACTGCCTCAAACAATAAGTGTGCATTCTCCTCAAGCACACATCATTGCCCTCTCTGCCCATCTCTCTACGATCCCGACCTTGCCACACCCCCGCGGAACTGAGCATGTACAGCTCGCCCCCTCCCCAGCACGAATGCACACACATACCGATGATTCAAGAGCCAATAAACCCGAAACTCATTGCCAGTGGGCATAAGCACTCGATCTAGTAACATACCGTCTGACACAGCATACCATGGCTGCGCCGTAAGTATGCAGGTGAGCAAGCGCTATTCTAGGTTCCTATTCGGGCCCTTCGGGCACCGCTCCAACAAATGGTCTAATACGAATTTCTTTTGCCGAGCAGACGAGCGGTAATCTAGACTTGATAACGAGAGAAAAAAATCTTACAATGCGGTGGCGTGGCTGCTGGTGGGAACGGTTGGCCGCGGGCGAGATCTACGACTACAAAGTGGCGATCGTCATATTGTGTTATGGTTGTCGATGATGACCATAATGCAGCAGCTATAGGTATGGGTAGGGGGGCTGCTTGTATCAAGCTACCTACCTACCACATCGGCACACCGATGTCTTTTATCTTTATCCGGACCGCGATATACTTTTACCCGATGAGCCCTTGAGCGGTCTCCTGAATTCCATGGATGCTTTCTGCATGTTCCGATCTTTCCCATGACCTTCTGTGCGGCATGGCTGCCGTAACGCAGGCAATGGCTTCGGGAAGGTATGTCGTCTGTATAGCAAGATGCATGCGTACTAAGCGCTTCGGCCCGTGAACCGCCAACTTGGCATCAAGGCTGCTGATCTTTCGCTGGCGAGACGAGTGCGTACGAGCAAGATGGGACTGTTAGAGCGGGCCTCTTGAACCTTTCGCGCTCTCATCATCCCATGATTTCTTGCGCATTGCTCGTATATCCGCTAGGTGGGGCATTTCCCGGTTGCCTTTTGGGTGTATTGTCGATTTCCAATTACCAGCACTTTCTCTGGCCGTCCTACTCTTGTGGCGCTCAGTTCAGCCTATACTGGTTTTTTACCCTCATTTTCATCGCATATCCGCTTTTCAGGCGCCCGTAATCAGCAGTCGGCGACCTCCACGAGCAAATAGGGCGTGGCTGCACAGATGTGTTGGTTCAGCTGATAAGTAAGCCGTGGTGGGGTCATGGGGGCGGAAGGATCGATCTCTTGACCGATAAGATGATCGATTTGTACGGCGACGTTGGATTGTACGAACAAGTCCACATACCAAGGCTGTGAGATTGAGATTTGTGACTACTCAATGACGCAGCGGATTTTTTCATGGATGCCATTGAGTATTCAGAAATAAGGGCCAGAACTTCAATCCATCCACCTAGAGCTACCATTGGTCAGTACTTTGGAATAAAATGAGGGTGTCTAGGTAGAAGTGGACGCCATAGACGCTAAAACTTCTATCCCAAGACAACGAGACGCATTTGGGTACTACACAGCCTTCTCATGGCTTTTTGCTGCACTCCTATTCATCAATGGCGCAAAGCTAAGAACTGCAGACGCGGTTCCTAGACCTCATTGGACTTAAATTCCGGCAGGACCGGCCTCGCGATGGAGACGATACGGCCGTTTCGGCAGTGCCATGTGCTATCCACATGTCCCCGACCCTATCAAGAGCTCAGGATACCATATCCTAATCGTGTTGTTACTGGCGCATCACCAATCCCATCCCAGGCACGCTCAAGGCTGTCGCTGCCGGACATGACTCTTTCACCAGAACGAACTGAAGGCTGAGGGTCCATGATAGTATACCGCGATCCTACGCAGGAGTATTGGGAACCTGGAAGCATAACTGGACAGTACACCCTATTTACCGGATCCTAGGCTAAGGCACTAAACGGCGACTTGAGAAGCCACGACGTAAGGGCCGAGGAGTAGGAAAAGATATACAATATATGGAAAAGTTGCCAGGCTTACTGTGTCAACGATCTGATCGCCCGGTTCCATCAGCACCTAAATCATCCCATTTTACGCCTGTCTTCAATCATCGGTATGATACGTAGGAGCAACAACGATGGTGTGTACATCACCGGTTTAGGCCACCAGTACCCCGAGTATGCAATCGGGCAGGATGATTTTGAGGGATTCCTTCAGCGTCTATACCCTGAGCACGTCTCTTCGCCAACGTCAGTACAGTTCAGAATTCCAAGCACATCTTCTCACGTATACAGCGTGAAAAAGCTTATTAGCTTCAACACAAAGACACAGATCACTTCCCGTCCAACAGTCTTTGACCATACCAAATGGACCCAAAAAGACGCCACACCACCAACTCTCAACTCGATATCCCATGACTTTCGTACCGCAGGCGTCAGTCTCGCTGCATCTGTGTGTGAAAAGGCAATGCATGAAGCCGGAATTGGAGCGCAAGAGATTACACACATTGTTGCCGTGACATGCACCAATTCTGACAATCCGGGCTACGACCTCTTTGTGTGCGAGAAACTCAGGCTGGGGCCAGATGTCCAGCGCATTCTTGTCCAGGGCGTGGGTTGCGCAGGAGGTCTCTCAGCACTGCGAGCAGCCGCCGACATTGCCGCCGCTGCATCGCTCAAGAAACGAAAGGCACGAGTCCTCGTTGTCGCATGCGAAATTTGTAGTCTCTTCTTTCGGGCAGAGATACAAAACATCTTGCAAGGCGGAGATGAGACGCTGCGTATAGCACCCGCATTGTTCTCTGACGCCGCTGCCGCACTGGTAGTGTGCAACGAGCTTGCATTGGCTCCGTCTCAAGCCCCCGTTTACCAATTGAGAGAGTGGGCAAGCATGGTGTCGCCGGGGACATCTAGTTTCATGTCTTATAATTTTGGGAAAAATGGTTGGTACTCCGTGCTCTCTACATGAATACTGTTAAACTGACTCTGATTTCAGGCTTGATAGCTAGCATTACTAAAGATGTTCCCAAAGCAGCAATCAGTGCTATTGCGCCGATTTTCCAACAACTCTGCAACGCATCCAACGCCGCTATTAGTAATATAGTACCGTTGCCTCGGATGCCAGCAGACTTTGATTGGGCAATTCATCCCGGGGGTGCTGCTATATTGCATGGCGCGAAAGACTCGCTCGGTCTTACTGATGACCACATTAGAGCCTCGCTCGACGTCTACAAACGCTATGGCAACTCTTCGAGCGCATCCGTACTCATCGTACTTGACAATATGAGACATTTGGGCCCGGGTAGAGACGACGTGGTTGCCGTTAGTTTTGGGCCAGGGTTGACAGTGGAAATGTGCATGATGACGCGATGCCGCGCCTCAGATCCTGGTATGCCAGTTTATCGACGTCAAAGAGCGTCTTCGTTTTGGGTAGCATTGCACTCGAGATTTTCAAGGAAGTATGCAATGCAACATCGGGGTTGATGGAAAATGTAAGTGAGTTGTTCATACCTAGGAATTACGTCCGCTGAGTTGGATCTTGTACATATCGCTACTTTGCAATAAACAAAAGTAACATGCCAAACGAATCGCCACTCACAACATCACTTTCAACAGCATGAATACAATGTATTCACAGTACTACAACATAAACACACACATGATAGTCCCGAGAGAAAGTCCGATGTTGCATAGAACTTCGTGGAATTGATCCCCACAATTGTGGATCATGATGCGGAATCGGGCCCGGACCTGCGGACAATGCGGAGTCCGGGAGATAGACACTACTGATTGGATCTCCCGCGCAAACCAGTGACGAACGTTGAACTTTGAACAATTCACACACACAACAGGGCGGCATCAAGAAACGTACCTGAACCCCTCTTTTCCCTTCCTTCTTTTCTCCTCTTTTTCCCTTTCAACGTTGAGGGGAAAAAATAAAATAAAATCTAGGAACATGGAAAAGAGCCCAGCAACGAACCCGCCACACGATCCAATATCTGCGGGCCACCACCAATACAAAGCAACTTGCTACGCGGAAAAAACCCCTGCACTTCAACATAGCGCTGGCAAAGATGCGGCGAAGATATCGCAACGAAAATGGTCATCATGGTTCACACAGCGTGGATCCGAGCCCCCTTTTCTCCTCAAATACAGAAGTTCAGACACTTTTATCATTGGGACCGTGACTTTGGCCGTCTTCACCGTAAGTCATCCAATCCCCCCCCTTTTCCCCCAAATATATCACTACCATTACCAACCACTGCTACATGTCAAATCTCAAAATCTCAAACCTTACAACCCATCACACATAGCGCTAGAGCTAATTTAGACATGTCCAAAAAAGGACATGTTTCTCTACGGCGTCATCGTGCCCGTAATCCCCTTTGCCATCTCGTCGCACAGCCACGTGGACGAAGATCGAGTGCAGTACTGGGTCTCAGTGCTCGTGGCCGTGTACGGAGCGTCTCTTCTTGCATGCTCGCCCGTGTGCGGCTGGCTTGCTGACCACGGGTCGTCCCGGCGCATGCCGCTGCTTGTGGGCTTGCTGGTTTTGCTGGGGTCGACCGTGTTGCTGAATCTTGGCAGTTCGATTGGTGTGCTGATTACGGGGCGTGTGTTACAAGGTGCTTCGGCGGCTGTGGTGTAAGGAGACGTTTTTTTTGGTTTTTCGTTTTTATTTCCGTGATTGGTTTGAGAGGGTTAGGTGACTGACCATGGTGTAGGTGGGTTGTTGGGCTTGCGTTGCTGGCTGACACGGTACCCCAGGATCAGCTTGCCACAGCGTCCGGGTGGCTGTCGACGGGCATGTCGCTGGGTATGCTGATATCTCCGCTTCTGGGGGGTGTCGTGTATGATCACGCTGGCTACAATGCTGTTTTCGGCATGAGTTACGCACTAATTGGGCTGGACGTGGTTCTTCGACTGCTCCTTGTGGAAAAGAAGGTGGCAGTAAGATGGGATGCCAGTGCGATAGGACGGCGACCAGTCGAGGCGCATGACAGCCTAGGTGGAGACGCTACACCACAAAGTGAGGGATCAGATGCTTCCGAAGCGCCAGTCCAGTCGGAAGCAAGCCAGCTCGAAATGCAGCGGCAAGGACCGCCTCGACGGCGGCTGCGGGATCGCCTTCCTCCCGTTGTATCACTGCTCTACTCCCGACGCTTGCTTGCCTCGCTATTCTGCGCACTCATTCAGGCGCTCTTGCTGACGGCATTCGACTCGGTTCTCGCCATTCACGCTGCAAAGACGTTCAACTGGACAGCAACGGGTGCGGCGCTGTTGTTCCTTCCCATTGCCATTCCGAGTTTTCTCGCGCCATTGTGGGGCTGGCTGTGCGACAAGTACGGCGGACGATACATTGTCGTCACCGGGTTCTTATGCGGCTGTCCGCCGCTGGTGTGCTTGCGTTTTGTCACGGAGAATACAATCAGGGACAAGGTACTTCTATGTGCATTGTTGGCAATCACAGGGCTCTTCATTGGCATGACGTTTGCGCCTGTCATGGCTGAGATTTCAGCCGTGGCAGAAGCAAAGGAGAGGAAGTTGATTGCAAGCGGACGGCCTGGGTTTGGGAAAGGCGGTGCATTTGCTCAAGCTTATGCATTGTTCAATATGGCGTTTGCTGGAGGCTCTATGGCCGGGCCTTTGCTAGCTGGGTTCATTGTTGAAGCACATGGGTGGGCGACCATGGCAGCGGTACTGGGAGGACTATCTGCCGCGGCTGCAATACCTGGATTTCTGTGGCTAGGCGGTTGGATCGGCGGGAAGCTATAAGTTTCATGGTGGAAAAAAAGGTGCGTGCATTGGATGTGTGTATGAATTGTATAGTATGTCAGAGCATGCTGGTAACATGCATTTGCTGGAGTGGGCTTACTCAGCCTTCAAAAACTTTCCATTATCCTACCCTGCACAGCACTATATCATTCTACCAGGTCAAGTCCGAGGTATAGACTCATGGCTGCGGCGCTCACGTCCGGATAAACATGGGCGCATGTGAATCCGGGGGATTGCTGACAGATTGGGTTGCGGGCCTTTCCCGTCGACCGGCTGGCTCGCATGCAATGGAAGCCATCACACGACCGGTGATGATTGACGTTGAAAAGTGGCATTTGGTCACATGGCGGCTAGTCTGGGGTATACTGGGGAATTGTGGGGTACCTTGCGCCGCCCACCCGCTATACTCTGACTGCTAACCGGCTTTGTTCAGGGTCCAGGCAGACTACACATCTGACCGCCATGCGACAACGGCAAACTACTCAAGGCCTTAGGCTGTGACAGACGACTTCTGCGCTGCTATAGGCCAGGGTACAGATCAGATGACGGAGCGGAAACTAGCCCGCGGCCTTGCGCCAAGCCGAGGCCCACGGCAAATGTACCTCAATGGCGGCCTTGACACTGTCATTCGCGACGTCGAACGCCATGGAACTCCCAAGACTCCGCCTCGCTGGCGATCAGGTCGGAAGCCGAGCGATGATGTGCTCGTATTGACTCGGCACATGTACTACAGCGAAAACCCGATTCTAGCGTACCGATGTGTGTTCGCTCGGCAAAGACAACAACGCACGAGCAAGTGCATGTCAACATCACGTGCCGGCAACCCTGTCTGAACTTGCAGGGCCGTGTGACTGCATCAGCGTGTGAAAGCAGGATCAAGGTATACTACAGTCCACGGACATAGCTGCGTCCGCCGCCAAGTGTCGCTTGCAGGCATCACCTGCTACGTCACCTCCCACTGCTGCCCTGCTCACACTGGGCGAAATCCCCATGTTGTGCCCAAAGAGGCATTTTTCATGGATGCTCCGGCCTTCACTCTCATCATCCGGACCCGTGGCCAATCATGCCGCGAGCACACTGGCTGATTCACACATCTCCACTCCGCACAGACTCGAGTAGCGAGAGACCTGCCTATTCTGCTCTCCAAGACTCTCCCCGCTCACTTGTCATCGTCATGTGCAGTCCACGACTACAGCCATTATAGTTCCCGCGAGCGAACCATGGTCGCTATTGCAACGACCTGGCTGGGTATGTTGGCATTTCTTTGTATGCCTACGCCCGGATTCAGTATAAGAGTGACCTCTATGACCGCGTCTTGACCTCTCTACTCCAGCAACTCATCCTGGCAACACAACCTGAGAGCAACATCACTCTTGCAACATGCTTCTCACCAAACTCGTCTCCACCTTGTCGTTATGCGCCGCTGTCCTGGCTGCTCCTGCGTAAGTGATGCCCTGGTAGCATCACTGCCAAAACAAACATCACATCGTGTCCCTGCTGACTTTCCTTTAGCCAGCAGAAGCGTGCAGTCGGCTTCAACTGGGGATCTGAGAAGATTCGCGGTGTAAACATTGGTGGATGGTTGGTCCTGGAGCCGTAAGTGACATGGGTTGTGTTATGCTTTGTGACATCCGCTGACCTACTTCCACAGCTGGATCACCCCATCAATCTTCGACAATGCAAACAGAGGCCGCCCGCAAAACGATATTGTTGACGGTAAGCTGCATGACCTTCATACTGGAAATGATGCTAATAACGCGCAGAGTACACGTTGGGTGAAAAGCTTGGCAGCCAAAATGCCCTTAACATCCTTCGTAACCACTGGAATACTTTTGTTACCTGGCAAGACTTCAACAAAATCAAGCAGTCTGGCTTCAACGTTGTCCGTATTCCCATTGGTTACTGGGCATACGACACCTTTGGCTCGCCCTACGTCGGCGGAGCAGCTGTCTACATTGATGCTGCCATCGACTGGGCTCGCAGCCTAGGCTTGAAGATTATTATTGACCTTCACGGTGCACCTGGATCCCAGAACGGGTTTGACAACTCTGGCCAACGCATGGATCGCCCCACATGGCAACAGGGCGACACTATCCGAAGGACCCTACAAGTTTTGCGCACAATCTCCCAAAAGTACGCACAAACAAGCTACCAGGACGTCATCATCGGTATCCAACTACTCAACGAGCCCGCACTTTACAATGGCCTTAGTCGTGATGTCCTTGCACAGTTCTACCGCGACGGTTACGGCCAAGTGCGCGAGGTTTCCGACACCCCAGTTATCATTTCCGACGGCTTCACTGCACCAAGCTCCTGGAACGGCTTCCTCACACCCTCAGATGCCAACGCCCAGAATGTAGCCATTGATAACCACCAGTATCAAGTATTCGATTCCAACCTGCTCAAACTGTCGCCCGCCGGACACGCTCAACAGGCCTGCAGGAACACTGGCGCATATGGCGGTGCAGACAAGTGGACCTTTGGTATGTTCAAGAAGATGCCATATAATGAACTCTTACTGACTTATATGTTGTAGTTGGAGAGTGGACTTCCGCCATGACGTAAGCATGACCCTTTCGTACATATGAAAAAAAAGCACATAAAACTGACTGCCGGCAGGGACTGCGCACGTTACTTGAACGGCTACGGCCGTGGTGCCCGCTATGATGGTACCTACCTGGGCAACCCCAAGCTGGGCGAGTGCGGCTGGCGAAACGACCTAGCGCAGTGGCCCGCCTCTTACAAGGACGACTCCAGGCGCTACATCGAGGCCCAGATCCGCGCTTTTGAGTCGACGACCCAGGGCTGGTTCTGGTGGAACTTCAAGACCGAGAGTGCGGCTGAGTGGGATGCTTTCAGGCTTATCGACGCTGGTGTCTTCCCCGCCATTAGAAACGGACAGGTAGAGTACAAGTTTGGTGCCGCCTGCTAGAAACGTGGCTCGACAACTGGCTTGAAACTTTTACTTGTTGCACCTCTAGAAGGGAGCTAGACGAGCTGAACGCAATGACAAAAGGAAAAGTAAAGCAGGCATGTTGCAATTGCATAGATGGAGCCTGGGCTTTTGTCGTCCAGTTCGATTTAACGACTTATGATGATTTTGAATAACGAAGTACACGATAGCAATGAAATTTCCCTTCAAACACTTTTTTGTGCAAGCACAAGATAAAATGCGGGTGAGGGGGTACATACACAATTATGCAATCGTGACCGCGGAAAGTTGACCAGAAGCAAAAAACAAACTAAGCATGGGCTGGGCGCTGCTGTAACACCTGGTGTGGGAAAAAAATCACACAATCAGTGGTACCGCGTCTGCCAGTCAAGCACTTTAGTAGTCATCGTACCACACTTTTTTACCACATGTACTATCCCCACTCCTGACCACGCTCATGCGCGAAAAAAAAAGCTAAGAATCTCCCCACACATACATACACCTCATCATTACACTAGCTTCATCACCTGCAATAATATCTCCGCGTAGACACACACACACACACACATATATACAGCCGAGCAATCGGCCCCAGATTTCGTCTTCCCCAGATCCCCTCCCCCCAGTGTTTTCGCAAATCTACGTGGGGATCGGCAGCAGAACAAGCGCCGAAGGAATAGCCAAGCCACTTCAAGAAACTTGCCCGTTTGCCCCCGTTGCGTGGGTGTTTAAGCCTGAATTGCGGGTGCCCAGCGCTGCAGGCCAAGCGTTTTGTGGCTGCGCGGACATGGGGGGAGGGGGTGGGCTGAAATTTGCCTTTGTGTACAGCTTGTAACCATAGGTAAAGTAGTACCCGACTAGCAGTGCGGGGAAGGAAACGCGGAGGAGGGGAGAGCTGAAGCAGTGTATGCCAATGCTTGCCAAGTCTTTTGTGATTGCAAGGGGAGAAGAGATGGAGTGAGTAGTACGGTGATGGGACCGGTCGGTGTGTGTGTGCATTGCCTGTCCCCCCCCCCCCGGCCAGCCAGGTATATAGGACTTTCACTTTCCTTTTTCCCTTGCTCTTTTTTTTCTTCTTCTTTTCTCTTACACTTACTACTCAATTCCTTAATTCCTTAATACTTCAATTGAGCGAGGGATAATAGGAAGGCGGATAGAATCTTTTGTAGTAGTACTATATACGCAATGGCATCGAAACAACCCCCACCCGTCGTTGTTGAGCCCACAGACGAAAAACCAGCCATTATAGCGCACATTGACGACAAGTCCGAGATCGGGGCTGAGAAACATGCGTCTACCGCTGCGGACTATACGGGTGCGGAGCGCAAGAGTGATCCCGAGGAGATTGCATTGGTGAGGAAGATTGATTGGAGACTTATGGTACGTTCTTGCCCCACCCTCGTATATTACATTGCCTTTGTTTAGCAGAGATGCACTTGTAGTAGAAGAATGAAGAGCTGATAGAAAGGCACGTGTAGCCGACGCTCATGGTCATGTACTTCCTCAACTACGTCGATCGCAACGCCATCGCCCAGGCCCGACTGAATAATCTGGAAGACGATCTGGGCATGACGGGAGTACAGTTTAATACTTGTGTTAGCATGTTAGTTATCCCCCTTCTCCTCCCACACCATATGAATTTAGCAAAAAAAAAACAGGGTCACTGACAGTTTGTAACCAATAGTCTCTTCGTCGGCTACGTCCTCATGCAAATTCCCTCCAACATGCTCATCACGCGCATCAAACCCGGCATCTACATGAGCAGCTGGATGTTCGTCTGGGCCATTGTATCCGCGTGTACGGCGCTCGTGCAGAATTTCGGGGGTTTAGTTGCGTGTCGGTTTTTCCTGGGGATTACTGAGGCGCCGTAAGTCTTCCACTGTCTCTCCCACGTGCATACTTTAGTGTGTACCAGCTTGCTCGTTTTTTTTTCTAACAGTAAGATAGGTTCTACCCGGGAGCCACGTACATGCTTTCGATTTTCTACACGAGGCGGGAAGTAGCAACACGCATTGCATTGTTGTACTGCGCACAGATTCTCGCGACGGGACTGAGCGGGTTGATTGCTGCGGGTGTGTTCCAGATGGATGGGATGAGGGGGATTGCGGGGTGGAGGTGGTTGTTCATTATGTGAGTTTTTCTCCTCCTCTTCATCTTCTCTCCTCCTTTCGTATACGTAGGAAATGAGGTTGTACTAACAAGTCGGCTAGTGAGGGCGCGGTAACAGCTTTCGTAGCCATCTTCGGCTTCTTCATGTTGCCCAGCACGCCACTGACAACCCGCTGGCTGTCGCCTCGCGAGCGCGAACTCGCACATGCACGTATGGAACGTGACCGCATTGGCGATTCCGTGGAGGATGTGAGCATGATGGATGGGCTCAAGCAGGCGTGTAGGGATCCGCGGACGTGGCTTTTCTGCTTGATGCAGAATTTCCATCTCAGTGCTTGCTCGTTTAATTCGTTCTTCCCGACGTAAGTCCCTCTCTTTTCCCCCGAAAACGGGCATTCTTCTAACGAAAATACTCCAGTGTCGTCAAAACCCTCGGCTTCAGCACCACAATCACCCTCGTCCTCACTTGCCCACCTTTCCTCTTTGCTGGCGCAGCCGGCATCGCCACGGGCTGGAGCTCCGGCCGCATGCACGAACGCACTTGGCATATTACCTGCGGCCTGCTCGTCGCAGTCGTAGGTTTCGTCATTGCGGCCAGCACGCTCAACACAGCAGGGCGGTACATTGCATGCTTCATCTTTCCCGTCGGCGCCTACTCTGTCAATTCCGTCATCATTGGATGGGCTTCTTCGACGCTCAGTCAGACAAAGGAGAAGAAGGCTGTAAGTTTTCATCTCTCAACCTTCTCTTTGGAGATGCACCCGATTAACTGATCACAGGTTGTGCTCGCCATGACAAACGTCGGAGGCCAAATCGGCTACATCTACGGTGCCTATCTCTGGCCCGATACGGATAAGCCGCGGTATGGCATTGGATTCGGTGCATCGGCGGGCTTTGCGCTACTGTCTATTTGCTGTGCGTGGATCATCCGCGCTATGCTTATCAAGGAGAATAAGAGATTGAGGCAGTCGACGAATGAGCGGATTATGCTGTACGGGTACTGAGACCGGAAGCTGGATGATTGAAGAGCTAGTGTCACGATTGAATGATTTTCTTCTGGTTTTCTGTATATGAAAGAGTACATGTAATTGGTAAACAGGCAAAACTTTGTCTAAACGACTGTAGTGTGACGAGCACTGTCATCAGCCTATTCTTCGCTAATGATTCGACACAACAAAATCAGATGCCTAAGGTCCCAAATTCTCAATCACCAGCCAAACCAGCTGATCTTGATCTCCCTCCTCAACACTCCTCGTGTCAGCCGCCCCCGCCTTGCCCTTGCGAGTCGCATTCCTAGCTTCGCGCCACTCTTTCCTTGCCTCACGCCACTCCTTTCTCACCGCCAGCTTCTCCTTTCTCAACCCCTTCCTCTTCTCCTTGTACGCCTTCTTCTGCTCCTTCCACTCCTTGCTCTTCTTCGCCTTGCCCTTGCCCTTTGGACCAGAAGCAGCGCGAAGCTCCCTCTTGCGCTGGCGATGCTGCTTCTTTAGTTCGCGACTACGCTTCTTCACCTCACGCATCGCAGCACGCTTGGACTGTTTGGCTGCGAATTTGTTCGCGAGTTTCTGCTTGTCTTGTTCGAGCTTGTTGATAGCAGAGGCACGTTCGCGTGAGATTTCTTCAGGCGTCTTGGTGCCTTTTGCAGCACTTTCTGCAGCCATTTCGTCAATGGAGCGTAGACGTTTGGAAAAGGTGCTTTCGGCGTCGTAGAACTCTTCATCGTCTGAGTCGCTGTCGGAATCAGAGTCGGAGCTGTCTGAGGAGAGCGAGGATGTGTCCGAGTCCGAGTCGTCCACATACTTTTTCTTGCCCTTCCCCTTTTCCCTCTGCGGAGCCGCGTAATCTGTTTGGATCTTGTGATCACCAGGTATGGTACCAGTTTCTTGACCGGATGGAGGCTGATACGATGGCGGTAGATCATTGCGTGCCTGTCCATAGGTCGTAGGCCTAGGAATGCCCTGCTGTCGGGAGTTGCTGCCGCTGGCCGTTCGTCCAATATCCGTACCCAATCTGCTTGCACGCTGACCAAATTGCATGCCCAAATCACCCATCATCTTGCCAAACTCCTCTCCAATCTTCCCAATCTCTTTGCCTACTTCTGCCCATTCTTTTCCGATTGAGTAGTCTCCTTGTCGTGATGGCCCCGCTGCACCACAATGCCCACGACCACGCCTGAAACGCGGCCCATTTCCAGCGGCGCCTAAAGGCCCTCGACCTGGACGCCCAAAGGGAGCATTACCAAAGCCACCAAGCGGTACATTGCCAAATGCACCAAATGGTCCACGTCTCGGTGCGCCAAAAGGCGACCAATTTCCTGCCGGGCCGCCAGATTGCTGGCCATGTCCGTAATGAGCTTCTTCCGATGTTGTCGGGACTGAGTGTGGTGGATCGTCGTATGTGTTCACAGGAGCTGTTTGACGGGAGAAGCGCTCTCCCATTTCGTGCAGCCTGTGAATGTGCTCATTTGGCGATGGCAGCTTCTCGGTATTGAGCGGCTCGATCCATGGAGTCAATCTTTGCGCGCGTAGAGCAGCAGATCTAGGCTCTTCCAAAAGACGGCTAGCAACTGCAGCCCGTTGCCCTGGTCCTGAAGGAATAGGCAGAGTTGCAAGAATCGCTGCTTCACTGCGGAATAACACTCCCAAGCCCCGTGGAGCGAAAAATGCCTCATTAGCTCCTCTGATATACTGACTGACAAGGCTCGAAGATTCATTTCCGTACGTTGATTCGTGTAGTAGATCAGTAGCTGTCGTGTTGGTCGATCTGAGCAGGGCATTGAGACCACGCAGGAAGTTCAAGAATTGGTCTGGGTCAACTCCATGCCCATGTAGTGTTTGGGTGTACGCGCACAGAAACTGCTCATGCTCTCCAGAAGGCCTATCAGAACCTCCCTCGCCAGGGATAGCAATGATCCTATTCAGATGTGGCGCATAGCGTGCAGCGGGATCGGGTTGGTGGCGAGTAAACTCCAGAGCCTGGCTAAGCATAGCAGAAGCCAGGTCGTTGGAAGTCTGAGGTGAACGGAACTCGCTACCCATGCGCCCAACTGGAATGTTCTCTGTGGAGCTGACCTGCTGGACGGGAACACTGGTGGCCTTGTCGCTCCTATGGTTTGCATAGTCTGGAGCATGTTCCTGTTCACTCGCGGGGTCCGTCTGCTCTCCTCTGATTCTGTACTCCCAAATCTCAGGCTCATTTGGTCCTTCGTTACGGGTAATTCGATGGGCCTCGATTTGGTTTGGGTCTACAGGGGCAATGCCATTGCGTGCATCGTGAAAAGCCTGATGCCTCGCGTCATCGTAAGATGGTGGCAGGTCATCATATTGGGGGCCTCCCGGGCTATGTGTAGGCGTAGGGTCAAATTCATTATCTGAAGAATCGGCAACAGATGTAGCGCTTGGAGTAAATACTACGTTCGACTGGGACGATACGGATGGAGGGGATGGGTGTGATGTCAAGTTTGGATCGGCGTGGTAGGAAGGGGGTCCAGCCATGGCGAGTTATGTAATGGTGTTTGCAGGAGCAAGTTTGAGAAGGATGGAGTGTGGGAATGATGAAGCTGGTCCTATACGTTTAATATGCGTGATGTTGGTAGGACATGCACAGCCGTCAAACTGCTGCCTTGAGATGAGGGCACCGTCCAATCGCAACGTGGAAATGGACTCTGATCCCGTGCCGAGCAGTCAATTGAGCAGACAAAGCAATTTGATTTGTTGAGAAGATGGTGTCAACACGAGGCCGCAAAAGCACATGCGCAGCAGCATCGCTTGCACTCGTGTTCATACTATTAGGTGGGCTGTGAAGCGGGGCAGAACGCCACACGGTGGGCTGATGCGTCTAGGTGGCGGTGTACGTAGCCAGAGCTTTGGTCGAACCCCCAGCATGGTCACCGATTGCGATCGCGGCGGGCCGTTGAACAGTGCACGGACACGTACTGTGTACTGCACACGTGCGTGTAATAGTACTGAAAGGTGAAAATTACTTTTCTGTGCGAGCGAGTGAGAGGCCAGAAGATAGGCCGTACGGGATCGTACCGGCCTTATCCTAAAACCTGGTAATGCAATGCCACGGTGTATGACCCCACTCGCGGTGTCCAACATGGCATCACGACATCGATACTCCCAGAATGTTGCTTTGCAAACCTTTGCTTATTCGATTCTCGGCGTCAAACTCACCATATGCGGGCTGCATCCTGCGCATATGACCTGTGGTGAAACGCAGCCAAACGAAGCGTAAAGAAACCAAAATAACGGCAGTACACTGTGCATACTACATACATACCACTGAAACACTACCAATATGAAGAAGAGTGGTACAGTTGCCGTCATAGGACTGGGTGAGATGGTATTCCGCGGACTGTACCAGGAACCTTGCTGACTGGGCTGCCTAGGACCCGCGGGCCTTGTAGCGCTGAAGAATCTCAAGGAGGAAGGGTTCGAAGCTGTCGGATTCGATCGAAATAGCTACATCGGGGGGTTATGGCAGTATTCGACAGAGGAGCAGACGTCGGTGATGGAGACCACCATGGTCAACTTCTCCAAGGAGCGCATGTGCTTCACGGACTTTCCGTTTCCCGACCATATTGCCTCGCATCCTACTGCAGCCCAGGTGCAGCAGTACCTTGTAGCCTACGCCGCCCACTTCCAGCTCGAGGCCTCGATTCGGCTCAATACCCACATTGCCCAGATTACGTTTGACCAAGAACGACAAAAGTGGATCGTGCAGGTCCAGGGGGAGGATACACAATACTTTGACAAGGTAGTCATAGCTACTGGCGGCATGATTAGCAAGGCACACATGCCAACAGTCGAGGGCCTGGACAAGTTTGCTGGCATAAGTATACACTCGCAAGCATTTAAGCGACCAAGCGACTTTGAGGGGAAGAGAGTCATGGTCGTCGGGTTTAGCAACAGCGCGGCGGATACGGCAACGCAACTGGCTGGCATTGCAGATAAAGTTTACATTGCGCACCGTCATGGGGCAAGAGTTGTAGGTCCACCTTGGCATGCCTGGGGCCGAGAAGATCTTTGGACTAACCGTATCATGACAGCTACCACGACACATCAACGGCGTCGCCATAGACCATGCACACAGCCTTCGTCTCTTCAAGTTCCAAAGCCTTATGACCAAGTACTTTCCAAAGTTCAGTGACAAGCCGTTCGATAGGTTGATCAAGAGAATGCAGGATAAGAGTTTCCGTGTTCGCCCCGAGTGGCGCTTCGAGCCAGCGGGCAAGGTACCCATCGTATCCGACAGTCTAGTTCCCTGCCTAGAAGAAGGCAGTGTTTCATCTGTTGCAGGGGTAAAGCGAATTGTGTCGGAGACAAAGGTAGAGCTCGACGACGGAAGCAGCATCGAGGTCGACGTCATAGTATGGTGCACAGGGTACAAGTCGGACTTTAGCATTATTGAACCAAAGTTTGATCCCACGTGTCGTCCACAGCGGTGGCTGGATGCACCCGGGTCAAATGGCAAGTCGCTGTTCCGGCTCTACCACAACGTCTTTTCAGTGGAGAAACCGGATAGTCTGGCGTTCCTAGGCAACGTGCAGATAACACTTGCAAATTTCCAGCAGTTTGACCTGGCCACCATGGCCATTGCGCAGGTTTGGGCAAACAAGTCACAGCTACCCCCTCGCGACGTAATGATTGCTGCAGTCGAAAAGCAGCACGAATGGCTCATTGATCTGGCACGGCGTACCCCAAACGTCTCACCAGGCCACTGCAATATGGGTGTATGGATACGTACCATGGATCGTCTTGCCGGGACAGGAGTCAACGAGTATCTGGGCTACGGGCCCAAGGGATGGGGGTTCCGGCTCCGAGAGCCAAAGTATAGCAACCTCTTGACGGGAGGCATCTGGAGCCCACATATCCACCGTGTTTTCGATGGCAAGAGGAAGCGTTGGGATGGTGCCAAGGAGACAATCATCCAGATCAACGAGAGGATCCGCGAGTCGAAGCGGACAAAGGGGGGAGCTGCTTGAGCCCGCTGAGCTCGCAGATTAGGTAATTTCGTTGGTGCATGAGGCGAAGCTGTATATAGTAAGTAGTAATATGTACATAATAATAGTGAGCTGGCTGTGGTTCTTGTTCGCGAAGATGCTAGGGAGTGCTCGAATGTTCCTTTCTGGACAGCTTCCCCACCATGACGCGATGGTCCGCGGCGAAGGGGGCAGGCAGACAGCGACTTTGATCACAACGCTGAAATGATCTCATACGGTATAACTCTTCCAACACTGCCATCAAGATAAGACACGACACAACACGACACGACTTTGTATTCGTTCGCATAACTAGTGGGATTCTGACAGGCGTGGCGGTCATTACACAAGGTCGCGGCTTGGCCAATCACAGCACAGACTGTTGGGCAACGCATCTGGTGCACAGCGCAACAGACATATCATTTCGATTTGTTTCCACGCGCAACCCCGCAAAACATTGAAACACGTCAATTTCCCCTCCCAAGACTGATAGTCGCTTCTTGTCTATCGCCTGTCCGAAGAAAAAAACACCATCGCCGACCGATACACACGAATAGTCGAATTGCCTAAGAAACACGCAACAACCATATCCAACATGGCGACCCAGACACTGCACGGCTCCTGTGCATGCGGACGGAACCGCTATGTAATTGAGATACCAGCGCAACAAGTGCGCCAAGCTGAGCTGAGATACGACAACACTCCAGCATCGCGTAAGTACTAGATGCATGCCCGCCACACGCGGGGATGCTCCGAACCATCACGGTGCTGTCGCTAACAAAGCATAACAACTACAGGATACCATGCTGCCAACCCTCTCACTCTCTGGCTGCGCGTGCCCTTGCCATGGTATACGTCGGCTACATTCGCCCAATTCCCCGACGAGACACGATTGAGTATCAAGCGCAACTTCGAGTCTCCCTTTGCGTCCCACACCCGCCGTCAGTTCTGCGGATACTGCGGCACACAGCTGTCGTCGTGGAATGAGCGCACGCGCGATGAGGCCGAGCACATCTCCCTGACTGTCGGCAGCTTGTTGGACGAGGACCAGGAGCTGCTGGGCGACCTCGGCTTCATCCCCAGCAGTGACAGTAGCGACGACGAGGGCATGCCATCCGCTGCCCCCTCTCGTCCAACTTCTTCGCGCACCGTCGTCCGCTCGGGTCCCCAGTCTCGCGGTGCTCCCTGGTTTGAGGAGATTGTACGCAACACTCGACTTGGACGCTTCAAGCAGCAGCGCGGTGCACACACGGACAGCGGCGTTCACGTCGAATGGGAAGTCACTGAATGGACTGAAGGCGACGGCCTCGATCTCGACGACGAGGGCAGCGCCACACCCAACAAGCGCAAGATTGGCGACATCGACGACGCTGAAGACGCGGAGATGCGCACCGCGTAAATCTTACCTTCTTTCATTTTCACGTACGGTATGACTTCGACTTAACATTCACAACGACGATAGATTTGGCGCCACTCACGCCTCACGGGACGAGACAATTAGTAATCATTGGTCCTCTAGCAGGGCGACATGGGCTTGGAGTTTGCAGGCGCGTTTCTTTTGTGTATACCATTATGTGAATACAGTATGGCGCATGTCACTTCGCCTTGTTTGTAACATGACCGTTTCCTTCTCAGCTGCATCAATCCATTCACTTTCCTTCATTCCAATTCTTTGCATGCACACCTCATCTCTTGGGTCCAATTTTATCGCACTGCCAATATGTCTTCACTTCTCTTTTGGCATCTAGGCTTTTGGCATTGGGCATGCCGTCTTGGAAAGCCAATCAAACCCATCCGAGCGTAGAGGGACGCGCGGGGGTGGCTCGGCACGGATGTCTCTCGCTAGCGCACAGCGACTCGCAACTTCATTGCCAACGCGGAATATCATCGCATAGAGACGAGTGGACGCTCCGACTCTTGTGGAAAGAGATCTTATAGGTTGGCAAGATGGCTTCGTTGTCCAGGCGCTTCGTTGTCGAGCATTCGCAGTGGGAGGCCTTGCTAATATATCATGAACATTACTTATCTCGCCTTACCTCATTGTGTTATTCGACCAGCCTCTGCATCGGAAAAGGAGCGCTTCCATACTCCCGGGTATGGAGCCCAAGTCCCGTTCATTGGCCCCCATATGGTTCGTACCTGCAATACACAAGGGTTGATTATCTACACCCTGGGATCGACTATCTGCACCCTGCAATGTTCCCGGCATAGTCCGTTTTCTTATCAGTCCCGAGCAACATAACACGATTAGTCTCACCAACCCGCATGCGTCGTTCCACTCCCTGGCTTCAATGCCGGCATAGATTTTTCTCTAGCATGGATGTGCTCCTCGGGTATCGTCCTAACCTGGCCGCTTTTTCTGCCGTCATTCTTGGAGCATGCAAGCATTGTATGGGGCGTAGATGCAACAGCATCTAGCTGCTGCCGCTGCTACTATCCGATCGCTTAGCATATGTATTTACGTGAAGGGGTCATAAGTCTTTTGCAATCTCATAGATAGACGCGTCCGGATCCACTGTCTCTAGTGCCGTCGGTGAATATCGAAGAGCACAAGGACGAACCTTTTGCTTTTTTCCCTTCATTCTACACAGTCCTTGCTGTCCGCCGGCCGACCATCAGCATGGATTCGGAGAGGAAATTGTCATCAGAGAAGCCAGTATCAGTGGATGTAGATGAGGCAGCAGGTGTGACTGAGGTGTTGAACGCCTCAGGACACAAGCAAGAACTTGAGCGCAACTTTAGTTTACTCAATCTCTGCGCCATTGGTATCACCACTGGCAATGTTTGGGCTGCATTGGGAGGCTCCATTGTATGTCGATCCTATCTCCCTGTTCTAAATGCTCCAAACCCTCGAATTCCGCTGACTTGCCTTAGGTCATTGCGCTCTACAATGGCGGTCCTGCTGGTGTCATTTACGAATTTATCACTGTATCGTGCTTCTACTTCATGATTGCGGCATGCATTGCAGAGATGGCATCCGCTATTCCTTCTTCTGCCGGCGTATACCACTGGGCAAGCGTAACAGGCGGGGCGAAATTCGGCAAGGTTATAGGTTTCTATGCTGGATGGTACGTACAGTGGAAAACACCAGATGGGAGAGAAGTTAACTCGCGCCAGGTGGAATGTTTTGGGCTGGATCTTTGGCACAGCATCCATAACCTCAATTCTCTCAACCCAGATCATTTCCATGTACGGCCTATTCCACCCGGGCTATGCCTATGAACGCTGGCACGTCTTTATCGTGTATCTCATCATGACCTGGATTTCCTGCGCCATCGTCATGTTCGCAAATCGCGCCCTCCCAAGCCTGACCAACATCGGCCTCTTCTTCATCCTCATGGGCGTCTTTATCACCATCATGGTATGCGCAATCATGCCGAGTCAAACGGGCAAAGGCTACGCGAGCAGTGAGTTTGTATGGCAACAATGGTCGAATCAGACAGGTTGGAGCAGTGACGGCTTCGTCTTTTGTGCAGGGATGCTAAACGGAGCTTTTGCCGTTGGCACACCGTGAGTACACCAGCCTACTTACACTTCCACGACATACTAACAATCATCTCACAGCGACTGCGTATCCCATCTCGCCGAAGAGCTTCCCCGACCACGTACCAACATCCCCAAAGCGATCCTCGCCCAATACGCCGTCGGCTTCACAACCGCCTTCCTCTACCTCATCACCATCTTCTACTCCGTAAACGACCTCGACACCCTCTTCTCAAACCCCTGGCCCTTCCCCCTCGCCGAACTCTACCGCCAAGCCACAAACTCGCACGGCGGCTCCCTCGGCCTCCTCATCGTCATCTTCCTCCCCACCTTCTGCACAAACATTGGCTGCTACATCACCAGCGGCCGCATGCTCTGGACCCTCGGCCGCGACGACGCCACACCCTTCAGCCACTGGATCGGCAAAGTCGACGCCAAATGGGAGAACCCGTTCAACGCAACGCTGACGTGCGGTCTCATCAATACCGTCTTGGGTTGCATCTATATTGGTAGCAGCACCGCCTTCAACGCTTTCGTCGGCTCCTTCAGCATCCTCTGCTCCCTCTCCTACCTCGCCTTCATCGTACCTAACATGCTTTCCCGCCGCAAACGCGTAGTCAAGGGTCCCTTTACAATGTCCGACCCCATCTTCTACCCCGTAGCCTTTCTCGCGAGCTCCTATATGGTTGTTTGGATCCCGATTTATTGTTTCCCGTCGGCAAGGCCGTTTGATTATACAACCATGAATTATACGAGTGCTCTGACGGGCGGTGTGACGATTTTGCTGGGCGGATGGTATCTGTGGATTAGGAATAAGGGGTATGTGGGGCCGAGACGGTTGGTGGAGAGTTTGGAGAATGGGGAGGTGCCGGGGGCGGTGGAGGAGGAGAAGATGTGATGGGGGGGATTGGAATGGGGGTAGGGGTAGGGTGGAATGGGAGAGTTTTTGTTCTTGATAGTACTTTGTAGCCGTTGCTTCAATGTGATTGTTGATTATTGTACAAAGGGTTAATACGGCTTTCAGATCCAGCGGCTGGTGATTTGTCTATTACTGGGCATGTAAGCAAGGAGTTCATAGACTGGGAATGTGGTCCTAAAATATTTGGGCAGAGAGGAGCTGGGTGATGCCATACGACGCACAAGAGCAGTGTAGTTGGCATAACCTCTGTAAAGTAAAGTTTCGGTCCATTATCCTAGACTATAGCTCCAGCTTGTATCTGCCGACGGACTTTGTAGGAACATCTTTGGACCCCACCGCACCGATGTATTTGCTGACGAAAAAAATGTAATCATGTCGCCAATACTATTCCATCTAAACTACCATGCATCTAGAAGAATTTGTTGGCTGATTTGTTTCTGTTTTCTAAAGAAAGCAAGAGGAGCATTACCTATAGCTTGGATATCTCTGACCGTACGTGAGGGAGTTGCTACGATGATGAGTAGCTAAGCATCTAGGGATATTTTGAAAAGTAGGGCTTTTCTGGCGGGTATTTGATAGTTTATTGGTATCTCGGATGAATGTTAGAGATGTAGGTAGGTAAAAAAAAATAGGGTAAATGAATAATGACAGAGAAGGTGTATTAGAATGGGGTTTATGTGGAATGTATGGATAGAATTACGGGATGGTGTTGAGTATAGACAACGAGAGTATCTTGGACTAGCATAACACAATTTGTATAAAGATTTCTTGGAGGATCGGGGCTAGTGTCACTGTTGGATTACGTCTACGTACTAACCACGATGAACTTAGATGATACTCTATCCCATCTACCAACACATGAGATCTACACGATTCTAGCAAATGAAGCTCCAAAAATCTACAACCCATACACATCATCATCGAAAAACACCAACACAGCTTCACTCCCCCTCACACTAACAACTCCATCCTCCACAACCTCAATCTCCATCTCCCCCACCACCTTCCCTTGCGGAAACGACTGCCCCGCCCACGTCGTCACCTTACTATCCTTACTATCCACAAACGGCGCCGTCATCCTCTTCACCCTCACAACCCCCTCCCCCTCCCCCTCCAGCACACCCCCCAACCCCACCTTGACCGTAAAATCCCCCGTAGAATTAGCATAGTAGGGATTCATATTCACAAGCGCAACCTTCGCCACCCTATCACCCACATAAAACGCATAACCCGCAAACCTCTCCCCACTCACCCCCTCAGGCACTTCCAACGCCCTAACCCTCGTCCCCTCGACCGCAAACGCCTCCGCCATGAACAACTGAGCCAGAAAAGACGGCAGCGTCCGCGCGGGGCCCCTCAACTCGCTATCCCTCGGATAAAGCATCGAATACGTGCTGAAGCCCGGACTCCCATTCTTACCGGGCGTATTAACCTGCTCGTTGGACTGCAGCGCGAGCGTAGCGCCCTGGTGCAAGAAGGTGGCCGTCGCATTGCGCGTTGCATACAGCAATTCAGAGTCTACGACCCACAGGGCCTGCGCGAATGTATCGGTCACGTTTGGTGCGCCCGAGCAGGAAATAGAGTTGAATTCGCCGATGCTCCAGGTGCTGTTTGCGGCGAGGGCGGCGAGGGCCGACGGGTAGATTTCAGTGTCGCAGTAGTGGGTTAGCGCCGTGTGGTTGAGGATGTTGCTGATGGTGGCGAGGCGCGCGCGGGCTGGGTCGCACGTCGAGAAGGCGTACGAGTGGATCGAGTAGGTCGAGACTTGGTGGCCTGAGTTTATGCCTGCGGGGATGAGGGCCGCGGGGCGCACTTCGAGGCCTGAGTTGTCGGTTGTGGCGGAGGAGGCCCACCAGCGGGATTGGGGGAGGAGCGGGGAGGAGGTGCTGGTGTTGACGGCGGTGTCGATGCTGGCGGTGTATTCTTTCCATTGCTTTACGTAGGCTTGGGTGGACAGGTTCCAGCGGTTCTTGTTGTAGTTTGTGGGCTCGTTGCCGAGTTCGAGGTAGGCGACTTTGTCGGGTTGGTATGTCAGTGAGGCGACGGCTAGACCTGTGGCGATGTCGAGACTTTCGTTGCCAAAGTTGAGGGTAGATACGAATTTTGTTCCTTCGGGGAAATTGGACCAGCTCTTGTAGTACCCGGGTCCAACAGTTGTCCGCCATACTCCACCAGCTGGGCTAGTCGTACGCACCACGTCATCCCCGTTAGGATCAAATATCATACTGTCCATGGTGATGCCACCAGGCCGTATGACTGGATGCCCTCCATGCTCATGGATTCTGTCCAGTGCCTTGAACGTAAGCTGATTCGGATTGGTAGCATTTCCGAAAAAGTCGACCCAGAATGCCGGCTCAAAGGAGAATGAAGCAAAAGAATTTGTGTGGGGAATTGAAGCCCCTGCCGCGGTCTCTGGGACAATCAAGCTCACAGTCTGTGTATTGTCCTTGGTGGGCAATGCGTAGGCAGTGGTTACTGCGAATGAGACAGCGGCGATCCTCAGGTAGGCCATGGCGGAAATGCGTAGTAAACTTGAATCACGCTGTCCTTGTCACTGCGACAATGTAGTAGCAAAGACATTAATGGCAATTGATATAAGTACTTTCTACTTTGTATACAAAAAAAAAAGACAGAACGTCACAGCAATACCATACTCGTGTTGTTTACCGAAACGGGCCATGTCATTCCGACGGCCGTGAAATACCCCATTACGCCGGCGTGGACACGGAAAAATTAGTAGCGGATTTAAGGTGAGGAAGCGATGCTGTGGGGGATCCCGCGGGGAAGGCTAGTGGATCGTCACGGCTCGCCTTTTTTTCGCGGGGAAACAGATATGATCATGCCATCGGGTAGGTAGCTGGATTCAGCATCGTCATCTTGGCAACAATGCCAGTTTGTCTGGAACCTGTACGCACTGGTGAAAAATGACACCCTAAGATGTGACGTAGCCATAAAGACTACATACGCCCTAGTGCTGGTCCTCCGCTAATCCAAAACGACATTTCCTCCGTCTGCACAGCAAAATGCCGCATCCCTGATCCGTTAGATGTGCATTGCATTGATGTATGTCGCAGGACAGTGCCGAATACGGGATTTCATCGACACCTGATGAGCCTTATACCATGTTGCTGCATTGGCGCTATTACTAATAGTTGCTCTAGAATACAATCGCCTTCACGTGTGCGTGCGCATCTATGATACTGATTTCCGGAGATCGTTCCGGAGATCGTTCCGACCGCACGCTTGACATGCGAACGAATAATTCTATTGCCGATGATCCAATAACCATGTGTAGAGCGCTGTTGATCGCTAGTCAATGTCTATGTCTATTCCCAAGTTTACTTTGTTCCCTGTGCGCCATGAGGAGCCCCAGTTCTTCTCTTCATCATAACCTCTCCCATTGCATTTCTCACTTCCCTCTCTTGATGTACCACGTTCTGTACCATGTACTTCTTTAGCGCTTCCCTTAGCTCGCTCTTTGCCCTTTCATTATCCCTGTAGGGCACGCTTTCTAATTCCAAGAGCCTGTTCACGTCCTTGTTGCTCTCGGCGACAAATTGCCCTAGGCGGTCAAGCTGCTTGTGTATCGCATCATCGCTATTATTGGTAGGCTTTGAATGCTGCGGATCGTCGCGGTAGAGTGGCATAAGGAGAGCGAGGAATTGGGTGAGAGATATAGCAGTCTTTTTCATAACGGCAATGACTTGGAACGGGAGATATGCGGGTCGGAGGTTGGTGGACGTAACAAGCGGGTTTAGGTACTTGGTGAGCAACGCAGGGTGATCGGGACGCAGAGCAGTGCGCACTTCAAAAGTTGCGACAGCGAGAAGACCCACGTAGCGCCAGTGTGCACCATTCCTTAGGAAGCCAAGGGCATTTGCGCCCATCAAGAAAATAAGCATGCCGATGTAGGTTATGTACGTAGACACCAGTGACCTGTCAATATACTCCTTGATAGTCAAACAGTCTTGGCACTGTCTGAGGATATCTGGGCCAAAGCGGTCATATGCGAAGCGCTTCACAGGATCGAGAATGATATCCCGCGCGTGCTTTAAATGCACATAGTAGTTGTTGGCGAGTTCCGGGTCTACATTTGGTCCAATCTTATCCGGGTGATATTTGATGGTCAACCTCCTGAAGCGCGAGTTTATGCCACCTTCGTCAACATCGATGGGTACGCCGAGATCGTTGTACGCATTGCTGGAACGCTGCAGGTTGAAATCGGCTTCGTAGATGGTAAAGGCAAAGTATGCCGCATAAACAGCTATGAGGATATGGCGGCGATGTTTGTTGAAGCGTGGGGTGCCGGGTTGTGGTTTAGGGTCACCGGCACGAATGAAGATGCCGTAAAGGACCGTCTGTATCCATCCTGCAGCCTATGTCGCGTTAGATGCTGTTCCATCTGGAGTCAAACGGGTTGGACTAACAAGGGGTATGAGAAACTGCCACACTAGCAAGGGTAGGATCGCATCGAGCGATAGAGCGTCCCCGGCCATTCTCTGGTTACAAGTTGAGTGACATGAAGCAGGAAGAATGCGCACGACATAGAAAGACAGGTGGCACTGGCGTCGATCGGAACGGTTCCGAACCAAACTATGCAGGGGCACGTGCGCGTGGCAAACACAACACCGCAAAGTGACAATCAGACAGAGCAGTACCATTCGTCATTGACGAAAATGATTTGACAAGATTATCTTATAAACACCACGATCATAATTCACCGTTGGAAAAAAAAATCAATAAGGGAAAACTTTGGTATTCAGGTACGTATTCGACGTTTAGTCGATCTATGGTATAATGCAATGCGACGCAAACAATTGCAACATATTAAAAAGAAAAAGCCTACATGCTAGAAAGCACGCAGCTCTCAACAACTGTCTGCATAAAGAATCCTGAAGCCCGGAATTGGTTGGCGACTCAGCGCCGGGTATATTTTCCACCAGACATAACGCATATATGTATCGGCTTGCCGATTTTCATAGCGCACGCAGCGCGCTCACTCGCATTCATTGCGACCAGCGCTCACATACTCGCTTCAGTAGAAATGAGACTTTTTACGCTTGTCCACTAGTCTGAGGCATAAGCTCCTCATCCTGTCGGCGCTTCTCCTTGAGAGATCCCGCAGCAGATCGGTTCTCGACATCACTATCGGAAATGTCATACTGGCGGACAGCCTCGGCGATCTGGGCTTCATCCATCTTGGGCAGCTGCTTGGCGGCATGGACATAGCTGATCTTCTCCGTAAAGCCCTTGGCGAAGATGAGGTCAATCTCTTCAAGGGATCGTCCGGCAGTCTCGGGGTAGAAGAAGTAAATGATGGGGATAAAGGAAGCGTTAAGCACAGCGAAGAAGAGGTAGGTGCCCCAACCAATGCTGGTGATGAGCACAGGAGTGATCATGACGATGAAGAAGTTCCACAACCAGTTGTTGATGGTGGAGAAAGCGTTGGCCTTCTGGCGGGTCTTGAGAGGGTTGATCTCGGCAGGGTACAGCCAGGGCAGAGGCAACCAGGTGACACCGAAGAATGCAATGTAGACGAAGAGACCGACAGCGGCACCGGGGGCAGAGACGGTCTTGTCAATCAAGCAGGCAAAGGTGAGGACCATGGCAAGCATCTGACCGACAGTACCGATGAGATAAAGCTTGCGGCGACCTACGCGCTCAACGAAGAAGAAAGAGGTCGAAGCGAAGGCGGCGTAGACAACCATGTTGACACCTCCCAAAAGAAGAGCAAGGTTGTGGTCGGTGCCCAAAGCGTCCTGGCAGAGAATGGGGAAGTAGTAGATGACGGCATTGCATCCAGACAGTTGTTGCATGAATTGTCCAGAGGCACCGAGAAGCGCACGGCGGAAGTGCTGCGTCTTTCCTCCAGTGAGGAGGGCCTTGGTGGGAACCTTGCCACCGCCACCAGAAGCGTTGACGGCATCACGAATGATCTGCATCTGGATGAGAACCTCTGGGTCGTCACGAGGAACGCCATTCAGACCGGCCAAAACAGTGGCGGCTTCATCTTCGCGGTGGTGGTTAAGCAGCCAGCGAGGGGATTCGGGAAGCGAGGTCATCATGATGATGACAACAAAGGCGAAGACACACTGGAAAGCAATGGGGAATCTCCATGTGAAGTCGTCGGGGCCGTAAAGACAACCATAGTCGATCCAGTAGGCGATTAGCGTACCAATGGCAACCATGGAGCCTTCGATACAGATGACCTTTCCGCGGTTCTTGGCCTTGCAGCACCTGATGGGTGGTTAGAGTCTGAGTGCAGAAAGATGAGAAAAAAAAAACATGGGACACAACTTACTCGGCCTGGTAGGTAGGAATAGTCGAAGTGTTGATACCGTTTCCAATACCTGTAATGCATCGTCCGACAATGAACTGGGCAGTGGCACCGCCATTAGGAGGGACGCAGGCGATTTGGATAATGACACCAATGACCATGACAAAGGCACCGAGGAAGATGCTCTTGCGGCGACCGAGCTTGTCTCCAAAGACGAAGATGAAGCAAGCACCGAGGAAACAACCGACAGCATAGATGGAGACGACGAAACCTTCGTAGGTAGAGTCACCCTTGACCTGGGGGAAGGCGCTTTGGAAGGCCGGGGCCGAGATGATACCACTCATGACACCCTGATCATAACCAAAGAGCAGAAAGTCGGTTACGGCGACAATGGTGACGAGGACCTGAAGCATGCGACCGGACTGGCCCCAGTAGGTGGGCACACCATGTTCGCTCTCTTTGATACGTGGAGGCATGTTTGCGGTGTATCGATGGGCAGGTGGAGGAAGGTGAGGAGATGCTGGGGAGGTGGGCAAGCTGGGGAGAGAGGGTAGAGGTTTAAATGATGATGCCCAAGAGTAGTAGCAGGGTCCTCGGCAAAAACGTGGTGCAGCGTGTAGGGCCGTGGTCCACTAAAAAGCGACGCTACGACGATGCTGTCTGACGCGTGGAGAAGACTAGATAACGGATTTTTTCAACATGTTGGCCTTGGCTGTTGTTGTAATAACGCCAGGCGTGCAGGCTGGCGGAAGAGGCGCAAATAAACTGTGGAGATGCAAGGAGCCTAACAGGGTCTGTCTGTGGAGCCAGACTGGCTGGGGCCAATCTTGGAGAAGAGCGGAGGACGCTTGCGGTGCAACAAGCGCGCTCGGCACAGGCAGCTTCTTGTCTTAGGCCCGAGGTTGCCTCCACATTACGTCACGGGCACAAGCATCGGGAGGGTGGGTGAGTAGGGATGCGAAGTGAAGACGGGCAGCGGGCGGAGGGAAGACATGGGCCAAGAAGCCGTTTGCAGGCAGACGGCCATGCCGAGTCGTCGGTTGTAGCCATACACATGGTCGCGGGGAGGTTGATGGGCTAGCAGTACGAGTAGGCGTAGGTGTGTACATGGACTACCAAGACGCAGGGACTAGGGGATGCTCGTCACCAGTCGTTCATGTCATGGGGGGGGGCAGGCGTTTAGAGCAACGACGCCACAGGCACGCACACATACTCTCTCTCTCTCTCAGATGCAGACTCGGGCAACATGCCGCAAGGGAGGAAGTAGCGTCCTGAGATTTTTCTGCTTAGAGGCACAGCGGCCATGTGCATGTCAACATGCGTGCGCCTGACGTCATGCATCGGCGGAAGGCAGTCTTCACATGCAGGGTCTGACCAACCGTGCGCATGCGGCTCTGCAGCTTCTTCGCCTTGGCCGCTGATCTTGACTAACCAGGCCAACAATTGTGGGCCAAGAACGCACCATGGCTGCAGCCGTGACGAGCAACGCTGCCATGCACACGGGCGGATGCGCTGCCCAAGACGTGTGTGACGGACACTGCAGCACCACCACTAACCCCCTCGGGCTCAATCCGCTGCGCTGACGACTGCCGGCCGGGAATTTGTCGTGCCTTTCGGGGAGCCCTGTTCAGGCGGCTCGTCGTTTGTGTGCTTGGAGTAGGCATAGTACGTGTAGGTCTCGTTAGTATCATGTTGATGAGCGGTCGCCAGTTTTTTTTCCCCGATCCCCAGACTCGCACCCCAAGTTTGTTTTTTTCAAACAACGTCACTGCGAGGCAGCATATTTCGTCAGAGTATGAAGGTGAAGATAAAGAAATAGCGCTCATCCTGCCAATGCGGGATAAGTTGCCAATGGCAAATGCTTAGCTGACGGTTGATGAGCGTGTCGGCCCAGCGGTTTGCGGGGGTGAGGCTTCGACAAGCATATGCTGATCCGGCCCGTCCCAAACAGGAAGGTCCGGATCGCTTGGCGCGCTCCCATCTCAACTGCAGCATGCACAGCATGCACCCTCGAGGATAGCGACGCATGCAGACGCGCTGCACAATAAACAGAACAACAAGGAAAGCAGCAGGCGCGCATATGAGCGCACATGAATACCAAAGGCTCCAACCATACAGTCACATGCCGCCCATCTACCCCGTCTTCCCCACGGCCCGGCAGCACAACTCGGCTCCGTTGCCGTCTCCATTTCCCCATCAACACTCTGCCGCAGGCAACAGACATGTCCCCCAACAATACCACCCACACGGAACACACGGCTCTCATCTCTCGTGCTAACACACGCCAAATACACCTAACAAAGCAGGAACCCACTTGGGCTGCCTCCACGAGCCGCTGCGCACACGTGTTCCTGCCAAGCATCATACCATTCTCGAGTACGAGGACCGCAAACATGTAATCTGCAATGTCGGTGCTTCCGCGTCTTGCAGAATGCAGAATGTCCTTCTGATCATCACAATCACGCTTGCTTTTGCATGACAGGCCGGCCCGCGGCATTGGACATCAGGGTCGGTCCAGTGCCCGCCAATCACCACCGCCCCATACACTGCGCTATTAGCCCCCTTCTACCAGCTTCCTCGTTCCAATACCACTCGCATGTCCTTCTGACACCCTGTGCCAGGACACTGGAACTGGGGAGAACCACCATCGATGCACGCGAAGCCGGTTTGCGCTCCATCTCCGCCAATCTCCAACCTTTGTCGTTAGCACTCGATGCGAGAGCTAGGGTAGACTACTATCTGACCCACGTCAGTTCCCCTCTTGCACTCTCGGCACTGGCATTGCGCCGCGCCTACAGTATACATATATGCGGCCCATTCAACCCACTCAATTCCATCCCCGGCTTTTCATGTGCTCGCTATATTTCGCGCAATCCCAAGCCCAACCCCCCGGTTCCCAAGACTTTGGCAGCGTCCGGTAAATCCATCCGGCGTACAGAGCCTTCTGTGTGTGGAGCACCCACAGTCTCCACATTCTGCTACTCTGGCAGTCATGTGTCCCACCATCGTACTTGCCAAGTTGTGCTCCACTATGCATATCACCCTCCATCGTAACCGGAAAAAAAACGGTCGGTTGCCCGCCAACCGACAACTGCTACTTTTGAGGGTCTCACAATCTCCTCATACTTTTTGTAGCCAGTTTTGCATATACCTTGCTAAGTAGCTACCTTCCCCGTATTGCCAACACGCCCTATGTTGCACTCATATCGCTCCAAGAAGCCTCTTCCCAGTTCTAATCTATACAATCTCCATATTAACCATGGCGCTCAGGTTCCGCTACCACATCTTCCCAGTACCATTCCTCGCTCTGGAACACACCAAGTTGGAGGAGCGTCTCTCATCTCACAGCCACCTCACCACTGCACTTGGCCCTATAGTGTTTTTCCTCGTCGCCAAGACCCCGTTGTCAAAGCATCACGGCCAGAGTGTTCATACGTCCAGCATGGTCATGCCTTCGCCCATACCGCTAGCATTCGCTTCTCCTCTAACTACTATCTGTCGGAATGACCTCCATCGAATAGCATCTGCCACATCTCATCCTTGCGACCTCGTATCCTTAGTCAGTCGGCGCATAAGAAGACTCCTGATTACATGCATCTTAGACCTTTCTTTTTTTTACATTTCGTTGCTTTTTGGGCTGGAACCAGGATTAGCCCAACTATAATCCGTCACGCTCATCTCATAGCAAACACGGCGCTTTACATGCTAAACTGAAGCTCAAACTAGTCTGCCATATAAATGCCCTAGATGCATTGCACAGGACTCTACTTCTTTGTTTCTTGTGTGCATAAATACTAGCCTTGTCAAACACTGTCGGTATAATGTACAAAGAAGGGACTTCGAATAGTTATGCCAGGCGCCGGCGTTTGGACTTGACGAGATTAATCAGGTCGCAAGCGCAGCGACTAGTTTAGAACGCGGGGAAGGTTTGTCGTACGATGATTAGTAGGTGCCAAGAAGATACAGAATGCTGACAGCTGGGCAGTCACTACGCTGTAGCCTCCTATAGCGTGTGTAGGGTGACCGTGCAACACTGCGATCGACACATCTTTTTGTCATCTAGCGTAACTTATTCCTTAGACAGCCCATTACGCTCTTGTTTAGTTTCCACGTGGTTGAGGTGGTACGAGGCGCCCTAAAAGTTACTTCTCATGTCTTTTCTGCCTTGGTCAAGATGCAGCAAAATACGAACTCGAATCCTTCTCCCAAGGAGTCTAGTCCATGCCTTTACACTACATGTCACACCAGAATTCTGCCATTGCCGTCGGAGAATTTATTCCATTTACCGAACCGAACAGCAACCAAGACATGTTGGGTACATGACTCGAGAGCAGCCACTCACAAGCCACCTCAACTTCTTTGTTAGTCTCAGAAGTGAGTCTAGCAAAAATCACAAACTCGTACTGGACCAGGTGCAATTGTCCGGTTGCAAACGGGCCTTTACCGTAGCGTCGACCAAATGCCAAGATTTGCTTGGTGAACCCAAGCCGGCCGTGCAGACGCATCCGGTGACAGAATGCGATGTTGAGCGTAGATCCAGTGAAATCGCACGACGTCTCAGGTGTCAACGCATGAAACCTCAGACGGCCGGCTACGGAAGTTTTCTCTTCTCCATCTTATTTCTCCTCCACTCGAGACGAAACTTGTTCTGTTTGCGTCATGTGCGTGTGTGTGTGTGTGTTTTTTTGTTCATGGCATACCACGAGCTTACGACGTCGGGCGAGCAAGCTCAACCTAGACATGCAATTCATGGTCAACACTATCTATCCGCCAACCCGAGAGTGAGCAGTGGGGAGGTAAGGACTGGACTGAGTAGCGGGAGCACGGCAACCGCGGGATTAACATCAAGGTCCACTCGTTTGTGGCACCGGTCCGGCCCATGTTCTACAGGGATACCCGGAGAAGGCTCGAAGTTTGGACATGTATTTGAGTTTTTGTGCTCGAATATAAATGTTTTTACCGGTGAATTTTGGTCAAGAAGCCATTCCATTGGCCCATGAGGCGGTCGGAAATGCGGTTGTAGTGATATAACACCATGAATGCTACACCAAGTCTGAAGGGCAGATTCCAACACTATGCCTTGTCGTCCAGGGGGATGCTTGCGTAGATGGCTGATACCAAGAAGCGTAGCAAGAAGGTGCAAAGAAAATGGGCTTGCCCAGCACAACCGCAGGAGCCAATGGCTAGCAAACTTCGGGTGAGATATCGGCAGTACCTGGATGTCTTGCAGGGTGTTTGCGTTTGAGACTCTGGCTGTGGCTGATTTTAGGTGATTACCTTGGGCCCCGGCGCCCGGGATAAGTATGTCGGGCTTCGGGGCCAGCATGAAGCCCGCACAAGCTGTCACACGTACTGAACAGGCCGTGAACGACACCAGAATGCGCTCAAGAGCAGCCTCACCGCCCATTCGCGCCCAGCTGCCATCCATCGGAATGGAGAGTCCGATGAGTGTTTCGGCGGCGCGGCGATCGATGCGTGCCGCCAACACCATGCGCTCCGTGCATCAGCTGCGTACATGGATTGCCTGTTGTATACTGCCTCTGCCGCCGTCGTACATACGTGTCGCTGATATGAGGCCACAAGTCGGGTGAGAGATGGGAAAGAAGGTTGAGTGCAAGAGGGGGGGAAGACCAAAGCCACAGGCTGACATTCGGACCTTAGCGCCATCAACGCATAGGGTCCGGATTGGCAAATGCGGGTCCAATCGGTTCTTTGAAGAACTTTGTATGGCTCCGTTGCAAGCCACGACCAGTCGTCGACACGGAGAACGCCAGATAGGCACTCGACGTGTGCGCCTCGTTCAACTCCAGAAGCCTGTCGCCCTAGCTGCATAACGTCTGCCATCCTGAAACGCTGTCTTTTGCTACGGGGCGCCGCGGGGTATTCTTAGTCCCGCACGCCCTCGAGCCTTCAAAACCACACTGACGCACTTCCCCCAACTCACAGAGCACACAAAGCTCGCTCTGCCGCCCGTCATCTTTTCGCCAGCCTCTGGATGACTATGCAGCACCTGCCCCGGATTCTCAATCGACTCTGGCTGCGACTCAATGGCGAACAGCAAGTAAGTAGCAGTAGTGACTGCGCAATACTTGCACAACCCCCCCGGCAAACTAACTGGCCGTGCCCAGGTATGAATATGTGCGCTTGTTTGAGCAACCCGACATCCTCCTGGCCAACACATGGATCGTCGTGCGAATCGACGGCCGTGGCTTTTCAAAGTATGTCCTTAATCTATTCATCTTCCTTTTCTCCGTTGCAGCTGTATCTTTTCTCGTGCTGCTAGTAGTTTGCGTCGGCCAGCGTATGCAGGTACCCGTCATCTGGTGCATGGACGGATAATGTTGCCTCAGGCCATCCTCTCGGCTATTATTTGCAACACCAAGCAGTTCTCGCTGATACTATGCCACTAGGTTCACGACCAAATATAACTTCACCAAACCAAATGATAAGAATGGCATCGATGTCATGAACGCCGCGGCTAAGGCTGTCATGCAAGAAATACCCGACCTTGTCATTGCATTCGGCAATAGCGACGAGTACAGGTGCGTCCTCCCCGCCTCATTGGCCTGCGCTGCGTTTGAGGGAGATTGAGGGCTCCCGTAGGGCTTAAGCCCGCTCGCCTCTTCTTTCTCTACACAGCCAACGTCCGCGTTTCAAAAGTCGGTTCAGCTGACGTAGGCCGTAGTTTCGTCTTTCATAAGGACTGTACCTTATTTGAGCGACGAGCAAGGTATGCAAGCACCACTATTGGCCCCATGGCATTTTGCCGCTATTTCCCATTCCGTTGCTGACCCGTCTGTAGCAAGTTGACTACGACAATCGTCTCGACTTTTACTTCTTACTATATCTATTCTTGGGCCAAATACTTCCCGCAAAAGCCACTTACGCCCCCACTGCCCTCTTTTGACGGCCGTGCCGTCTGTTACCCAAGTGACACCAATCTCCGCGACTACATGAGCTGGCGCCAAGTTGATTGTAAGTAACACGCCACACGGTTGTTCCTACCATATGCAGTCTGGCCCCTGTAATCTCTCAAAATTCATTGCAAATGTTCCAGTGGGTCTAATGGACATCCAGGTCACATCAACAATCTATACAATACCACATTCTGGGCTCTTGTTCAGCAGGGTGGTATGGGTCCTCGTGAAGCTGAAGAAAGACTAAAAGGGACGGTATCATCCGATAAGAACGAAATTCTGTTCAAGGAATTTGGAATCAACTACAACAACGAGCCAAACTGCTTCAGGAAGGGGACCGTGCTATACCGAGACGTAAGTCATGCTAAACTCTAGTCGACGTTTTGAATAATGGCACCTGACATTGGCAGTTCTTCCCCCCGATATCGCCTGAGGAGTTGCCAACCCCCATGTTTTCGGAGTTCCCTACACCGCCCCTCGCTCAACCAAAACCTAGGCGGGTGTCGAAAGACGAATTGTCTAAATCTATCGAGAAGGCTGTAACTACTTTGCCAGAGTTGGATACTTCTGTGGCATTACCAGATTCCTGCTCGCGTCCAACGTTTCTCTCAACTACATCGACCCCCTCGCCCCCACCATCGCCGCCACACATGTCGAGGGCAGCATTTCCCAACCCGCTTCGCTCCAACCCTGTCAGCACTCGAAGTAGCGCCAATGTTCCCGACTCTTCTTTCCCGCTTTCGCCACCATCAACTGCCACCTGGGCTAGCAAACCACAGTCCAATGGCAAGCAACCACTACCCTCGCTAACACCTCTACCTCTTTCTCCGCCAACGCTGAAGCCAAGCACCAAGCCTCCGATGTCTCTGAATGCACCAAACCCAACCACACGCACAAACTTCTCGCCGACGACACCGCAGCATGACTTTCCCGCAGATTTCCCCATAGCAGGATACCGCCACAAAACCTCCTTGTCAGTTAACCAGGGCATCTCACACTCTGCTTCGGCTTCCCTTACGACAGCACAACTACCACAAGATCAGCATCCCGGACTTAAGCGACGCTCACCTAGCCAGCCATCGCTCCCAACCTACTTTGACACGGTTGCCAGAAGCCAGACAGGGCCGCCCTTCATACCTTTGCGTATGTCAAGCATCCCTGCCAACAACAAGCCAAGGAAATTGTCACTGCCTGTTCATCGATCATCTAGCACATTGCGAGCCACCAGAGGCACAGATGAGAAAGAGAACGGGACGAGTACTAGCGAGACAGTTTCTACACCGCTCCGCAGAGTCAGCCCGCCAATGCAAAAGAATAAGGCCCTACCAAGTCCACCGATGAGCGCAGAAGAGGAGATACGGACAAGAGAGAAGGTCATAGCCAGCAGCCCAAAGCATGACTGGAACAACTACTCCATGGCCTACAATGCCACAGAGCAACCCATACGGCGAGCCAGCGACTCTGAGAGTCAAACCGGCCGAGCCTGGACCAGCGAGCAGGCTCCACACCCAGGCATCCCCGAACTCCACGCCATCTCCACCCAACTGCCCCCCTCGGCCTCCAGCACCACAAGGTCCCCCCTCACATCCGCATCCCTCCAATACCCCCACCCAACCCCAGACATGCACACCCTCATCTCCTCCACCTCCTCCATCATCGCCGCCCCTCCACCCCCAAAGTCCCAACCCTACGCCACAACCCAGCCCTTCCCCAGCAGCAGCAACACCACAATGCCCCTCCGCACCAACTTACCTCCTGCCCTCACCAAGCCCAAAACAAAGGATTCGGTTTCTTCCCCGAAACAACCGAATGATTCTCAGAAACGCAGACACCCAGAGGTGAAGCGCAAGGAAGGCAAGGGTAGTTCAACTGCTGGTACTACTGGCGCGGGGGATGAAGGCCGCCCAGTCAACATGAGTCGTTCGCAACGCGACAAAGATCGCAAGAAGAGGAGTAAAGCAGCGATTCTCATGGAACATGTGGATATCATCAAGGATGACTTTTGGGACAGACGGCCTTGGGTTTTGAGTGGCAAGACCGAGTGATGGAAATTTCAATGTTTACAGAATTATTCTTTTCCCGCTCTCTTTCTTTTTTTTCCCACACTTTCTCGGTTGTTCGATGATGGGTTTGGGGGGATTTTCGGTCGTTGGTGGGGCTGGGGGAGGGGGGGGTTTTTTTTTCTTCCCCCCTCCCCCCTCCCTCTTTTCTTTCTCTCTCTCTCTCTCTCTCTCTCTCTCTCGTTTTGGGACTTGCTGGCTTGCCACATCCTTAGTTTGCGCACCTTTTCCCCCCTACTCATCTTCTTTTCTTGGGGGGAAGGGGGTAAAGGAAGAGATTTATACGGATGAAAAAAAACCTGATATCTGGAGATTTTCTTTCTTTTTTTCGGGAAAGAGTGGGGGGCGAGGGCATAAAGTATAACATTGTATCACTGGTATGAAACGAATTGTTTTTATGCGTATGTTTTGAATGATTGAACGGCTTTTTTTTTCTTTGTGTTATTTTATGGACGAGGAGGGGAGAGGAGGGTTTGCTGGTATGAATAGTTTTTCGATGTGTAACAACATGTGTATGATTTTTGTGATTGAATATCCCGTGCTTTTCTAATGCTGGTATGTCTAAGGTGCGATATAAGTCTTTTCGCGCGTATTTTCCCCTCCCCCCTCTCTTTTGTCTTTGTGTCTATGCGCACTTGAATGTGCGGGTTCGCCTTTTTGCGCGGATTTGGTACTTGGTGTGTTGCGCGAATTGTCTTCCGCTTCCGCTTCTTCTTCTCGACGTGCAGTTTTGACCCGGTGCGTTCGCGGCATGAAGCTGGCTGCTCATGTGCTGTTTTTGTGCGTAGCGAGCTAGGCTGGGACGGAAGCCTTCAAAGCTTTATCTCATCTGATACGCGATGTACTTCATCATGCTATACACGTATGGACCGAGCACATTTTTTGATACTGTCTCTGGTGTCCGGGCTGATTGTTTTGCCTGCACGTCTACTGCTTTGTGCGCTCCTTGTCACTCTTCTTCTGCTTCTTCTTGTCCGTTTTTTCCTCCTTCTTCTCCTTTGTTATATCCTTTTCGGCTTTCTTCTGTATCCGACGGAGGACGTATTGCTCGAGTGTCTGGCCCTTTTCAGCAGCGCGAGTCTCGTAATCTGCTTTCTCGGCGGGTTTAAGCTTTGCAAGCTTTTTGGTTACGACATCTTGGCTATTGTCTCTTGATTTTGATTTTGAAACCTTTTCCGACGAATCTTTTGACTTCTTGCTCTTTTTGCTCGCAGACGCTTCCTTCTCTTCCCGCTTGCGCTTGTTCTTCTTGTCTGATGTCTTTGCGGGCGCCTCGCTTTCAGAGGCAGAGGTCGGAGGGGTGCTGGTGCCGGACGAGGAATTCGAGGCTTCAGTGGTAATCGCGGATGTGTCTTCGATGGTGCCTTCTATTTGCTCGCCCTTGACAAAGAAACCGTATAAGCCACCGCGGTTGATGCCCTTGGTGCGGATCTGGTCGAGCGTGCTCTGCGCAGAGAATTAGCTGGAGAACTTCGCTTTTGGATCGCCAAGACAGGCAATGTTCAGGCGCATACATCTTTGCCAGTCCCGATGCTTTGCAGGCTCTGGTCAAACGCTCGCATCCACCACTGGTCGTCTGTTGTATGCGCCGCCTTCTTTTTGCCAAGTCCCAATTGATCATTCTTGTGCGCGATAAGAAGCGGCTTCTTGATACCGCGCCCGGTCGTGTCGAGAGAGTGGCCGGAGCCTTGCCAGCCCTGCTTGCGCAGGTATGCCTCGGCGTTCATTGCTGCTGAGGGTGAAAAGGAACACGGGAGAGTTCGCGCCAGGAAATTTTGGTGGGGAAATTCTGGGCGTTAGCGCGCAATGCAATGCGGACCCCCGAACCGCATCGTCTAGTACTAGTTTAGTTTCCAGTCTTCGTCTTACGTGCTTGTTCTGATATCAACGCCAATTCCTTTTTTCAAGACTACAAACATATGCAACAGATTTTCGATGCTTCGTATGCTGATATTCTAAGCCCTGCATCTCCATTTTTCAATCCCCCCTGTTCTCTTCTACAGCCCTCTACATATTCGTAACATGTCGATGAATATGTCAAAACACATTAGAGCGAGGCCATTCAAGAGCTTGGGTACCCCGCTGGCATTCACAACTAGTTTTTTGATCAGTTGGCTATCATGCAGCTCAGAGACTTTTGTCGTTTTATCAATTCTGCGATGTCTGCGCAGTTGCGGTGTTTACGCCGCATTCTCATGCACAATCTTTTGACACGAACAGATTAGATCAGATCGTATCTTCTTCGAGTTACCTTCCATATCTTTACTTTCACTGCATATCACTTTTCCTTCATACTGCCTAGCCCTTTCACCACTGTAGCCCCGCTAAGCCGAAGGGGGGCTCCTTCCTCCATCACGTCATGCCTAACACCATACATTCTGAAAATCTGTCTCCAGGCACACGTGGTTTCCCTTTCGCATCTTCTTGAATCTCTTTCTGCATAACCTGCCACTTTGACAATTACCCCAATTCGTTGTTATCAGTCCAGAGCACATTGCCATCATGAAGTGCTCACAAGCATTGTGGCTCTTCTCTGCGATAGCTAATGCGGCTGTAACTCAACAGAGAGCTTTGCTTCGTTACCCTGGCATTCAGTTCTCTTCGGACAGAAAGCTATCGATCACAGTCTTCAGTGATCTTCACTTTGGTGAACGTAAGTCACTACATCTACTCGCGTCTGTAACTGGCAGCTGCTTAATATATTACAGCTTCATATGTGCGAAATCGCCAATATGCAGATCTCAAAACCATGGGAGTCATGAGCTCTATTCTGGACAACGAAAGGCCCGACTTTGTAGTCCTCAATGGCGACCTTGTTTCTTGTGAATGGGTCGCCCCTGCCGACGCCAACAAGCTCATCGATCAAATTGTGGCGCCTCTGGTTGACCGCAATCTACCTTTCGGCGCGACATTTGGTAACCATGACGCTTCAAAGACATGCAGCACACTCTCCATGTCGGAGCACATGTGGTGGGACGTCAAAGGCAAGAACGGTCGAAAGCTATCATTCACGACGCAGTCTGTAGTTGGCCAGGTCGATAAGGTGGGCTGGAGCAACTACTTTGTGCCTGTCTATAGCTCCACGGATGGCGGCGATCTCAAGATGTTGCTCTGGTTCTTCGATAGCAAGGGTGGTCGTAAGTATCAGCCGACTGGCGAAGACGTTGGGGTTCCAAGTTGGGTAGACGAAAAGGTAAGTTATCCCTGCAACATACGAGACGGTACTGACGTTACAGGTTATCGACTGGTTCCGTAAGACTAACACTGCTTTCCGCCAGCAATACGGTCGCGCGATTCCAAGCATGGCTTTTGTACATATCCCAGTATTCGCGACAAGGGCATTCCAGGAGAAACACCACACGCGCACTGCCAATCCTGGCATCAACGAAGAGCGCGTCGGATATCAGGGCGACGTTTGTGACCACCAAGGCAATAATTGCAAATACAGTGGCGCTGATATACCTTTTATGAAGGCGCTTGTCGAGACTGAGGGACTCATGGCGGTATTTTCAGGCCACGACCATGGTGTTGACTGGTGCATGAAATGATCCAAGAATCTTCCCAATACCACTCCAAGCAATGGGAATGGGCTTAACATATGCTTCAACCGACACTCTGGTTACGGTGGATACTCTGATTGGACACGTGGAGCGCGTCAAATTGTCGTAGGGGAAGACATGTTAGGCAAGAACATTGTCGACACTTGGATCCGTTTGGAGAATGGGAAAGTCTCAGGAAGAGTAACTCTCAACAACACTTTTGGAACTGATCAGTACTCGGCGGCGGACATGTCAAAGACTTCGGCTCCTTAGTTCAAGCCCAGGCCCCCCACGGCGTGGCCCGAAACGTGGGATCATCAGCAAGTCAAACTTCAACTCTTGATCTGCACTAGCATAGGTACTAAATGTGCTTTTTAAAAAAAACGGGTGACTAACGCCACCACGTTATGAAGCGATCATCAGGGAAGAACAAGGTTCAACAAACAGTAATGTTCGCGGGGCTCAGGCTTATATACTTAGACTATGCATATTTTCCTGGAGGACGGGTGCTTGCGTGATATATGTTCTTGCGACTGGAACTCATACCTGCATAAGCATAGGTAGCGACTTCGTATTAATGTTTAACTCTGTTTGCTGATACCCCTCGTTGCTTGAATGTGTGCTGTCAAAGTACATATCGGATACTGTGGTATTGGCGAGAGTGCGCCGGCCGGATTAACCGTTTCTAAAGTTATCTATCTCGGCATGGTCATCTTGAACACTAAGACTAGCAGTCATACAATCGTGTAGCCCATACATTGGTGACTGACATGCGTGTACATCTATTGGTGGAGGCTATGCGTCACCCCTTTCGAGACAGCAGTGCGAGGCTAACATGGATTCATGACATCATAGCCTAGTGACAAAACTACTCCTCTAGTTTCCCGACCACGCCCGCAACATCGGCCGACGGACCAAGCGCGCATCTAACACTGTTAAGTTTGGGCAAGCATGGCGACAAGACTTGAACATTTTCTCCTTTTGGCTGCTGTACCGCTTATTACGCCCTGAGCCCTGCGCCTCAGGCCCCCTGCTTTACCTTTCTTCCGTGTTTATTTACTCCAATGATACCCTAGGTCTTACCCGGTATCACCACTTCACACCCACAATGTCTTTCCTCCAACGTCAAACGACGCGCATCACTGGTACCGAGAATGGCGAGCGCCGGCACAGCTTCCTCAACATTTCATCGGAAGGCAAAGTACCAAACGCGAAGAAGCCTCGCTCCCGACCGCCCACATCACTACGCGACCATCTTCCCTTTCCAAACTCAGCACTATGCCCCGCTTCAGGGCCATACTCCATTGGCAGCATGGAGATTGAAGTCCCTGTCGAATCTCCTCGATCTATATCCAATATCAAGCGAAATGGCAGGCATCTTTTGCAGTTAGAAACCGTGCTATTCACACTATACTACCCGGCATCAATCGGAAATGGATCTGGCATTGCACCGGGAGGGGAGAAGAAATGGAGTCGGGAGACGTGGCTCCCAAGACCAAGAATAGAGACGGCCAAGGGATATTCGCGATTCGCAGGGATACCAAACGTTGTGGGTATTGGAGTGTCTGGTGCCACCACGATGCTCACAAAGCTGCGTGCATATCGGAACAGTCCCCCTGCCACACACTGGCCCCCTGAGGGAAATTCGAAGAAGAATGGATACAAGATCAAGAACCAACAAGGCCACCCGCCTGAAGGCATGAGTGGAGAGCCAACGTTCCCTCTGCTAATGTTCAGCCACGGTCTGGGTGGTTCGAGAACTGCATACAGTAGTCTGTGCTCTGAGTTTGCAAGCTACGGTTTTGTCGTATGTGCTGTGGAACACCGGGATGGTAGTGGACCTCGTACCTTTGTAAACCATAAGAAGCGAGGGCAGGAAGAAAATGATGCACGTGATCAAAGCAGGCAAAGTGGCCCTATGCAAGATGGGCATGAGGAAGGCGAGAAGGGCTCCGACAAGTTTCACCAACTAGACCATACGGAGGAAGAGATTGCACAGGGCTATCACCACGTGGTTCGTACTTTTTTATCTCCTCTTGTAGCTAGGCAGAAGCAACGGCAACGGACTAACGATTCCAGGACTATATCTTCCCGAAAAATAACCCCAAAGACACCTCACCAAACAACGTAAACGGTGTTGACAGTGAGCTGCGTAGCGCTCAAATCGAAATGCGTCTTTGCGAACTCGAAGAAGCATATCGTGTACTGAAGATTATCTGCGCTGGCGACGGTAATCAAATTGCAGAGCAGAATCTACGGGGAAAGGGTTATATAGGCGGCTCATCGAGAGGCCTGAACGGAGTTGACTGGTCTCAGTGGAAAAATCGTTTCTCTGTAGACAAGATGACCATGGCTGGTCATAGCTTTGGAGCGGCGACGGTGGTCGAAGTCCTCAGACATACAAATCGATTCACAAGCGTCCAGGCCGGTATCATCTATGACATCTGGGGGTATGTTACCTCCTATCCCACATTTAAAGAGTGCTGCTAATACGACTAAAGTGCTCCTATCAAGCCACCGTCGGATGATCCTAAACATCGAATACACCTTCCACTGCTTGGTATTGCTAGCGAAGCATTCATGTACTGGGAAAAGAATTGGAATGCATCGATGTCTCTCATGGAAGAAGCCAGTGAGCATGGAGCACCAGCATATTTGCTAACCGTTCGAGGCTCTGTACATATTAACCAAAGCGACTTCTCAATCTTGTACAGACACTTGACATCCTTTTTTATGAAGGCTACCGTCAATCCAGAAAGAGCAATTGACCTCAATGTGGGAACAAGCCTCGAATTCCTACGGCTCGTGGCGCCTGACAGTGGCGGAGGAAAATCCATTATAAACCGTTGCATGACTGACGAGCATATACTTCAAACACCATTGATGGAAGAGACACCGAACGAAAACCGGCCGGATGATGAATGGATAGCGGCTCGTTTGCGTGTGGACAATCCATTCAGGAAACGCCTTGCTTCTGGCCTTCAGAGAAAGTTCAAGCGCAACCTCCGGGAAAGTGCTGGCGAAGGATACACGACTTCGGATGAAATGTGGTGTTTCTTCAAACCAACAGACGAAGGATTGCAGAAGTGGATCGATAAAGAAGACAAAGGCGAAAAGCGCATCGATGAAGACCATGCCACTGTGCTCAATAGAGAACGACAGAGTAGTGCCATGTCGATACCGGATGATCCTAGTCAAGACGCATCGCTGAGTGATGCTGAGAAAGACGACAAGTCCTTGCAAAGCGAAGGCATCGCCGGCTCTAAAGATACTTCAAGCTCACAAACACACCGAGATTGCTCTCCACAGTTTGTACGCAACAAGTACCACAACGACGAGCAGGCTAATAGTGGGGATAGTGGGACCGGGAGGGTCTCGACCACTGCAGGATCGACGGAAGAAGCGCTTGCCAAGGCTTGAGCCAATAGGACCCTCGATTCAGATATGGGCCGGGTCGTTCGTTGGCGTACCCAGAGCTGGAGTCATGGTTCAACAGTTTCAAAATCGTGCATTTGGACAGGACAATGTTCAGGGGGGCATAGAAGAGACTACATCTGGCTGTGTTGGCTTAAAAGAATTACAGGTTATGGAAATAATGCCATGCTTAGGCTATGCTAATTGCTAATCGAGCTGAGTACATGACTGCTTATGATCCATAAAAATGCCGGGATACTTGCTGAATCAACCCCCTTGGAATTCCTGAGATGGGGCTATGGTCGTCGTGTCAAAGCACAAGGTTGGGCCCTGACATGCGTCTTCGGATAGTAAGCCTCATGAACCAAGTTTCAAGCGGGGGACGCTACTAGATCCTAGAAGATCGATATCTGCCACAGAACACTTCTAATTCAGGAGCAGAAGCATGGCATTCTCAGGATACTCGGTGCACATTGACATCGCTGGTCTACGTGGGCATGCTTGGCCTGTGCTAACGCGGGGGTTTACTATTCAGTATTAATCGCGTTTGCAACTCCTTGGACCAACACCACCCCGTCTACGACAACTTGAAGTTCAACTTTATCGACCTGACACCTCCAGTTTCAGAACCCAGTGGTCAGCAAAGTGTAAGCGTACCTGCTCGATCAAGCGACGACACGGACCCTTTGGCGAAAACATTGCCTCGTATATGCAATCGCCGACTGCATCAGGAGTCACACAGCAACCGCTTGGTCAGCGTGCAGAAAGGGCATGCGCTAGGACAGTGAGGCGACGGGCCGTTGATCAGCCTTGAACATTCTCCGCTACTTCCGCTGCACCGGCGGCATTCGGGACCACCTTTGCTTTTCCAAGGAAGCTGGCTGGCTGGCGCCACGCGTGAACCCTGAGGCAAAGGATTCCAACAACCGGTTATTTATCTGTCTACCACGACCGTCTCCTGTCATTACAAGCTTTCTCCATCGTGCTGAGATTACTTTTATCCAGAATCACCTACGTTCTCACAAAATCATTGTTTGCCCGTCACGTGGTGGATACTGGGGGTGATCACGATACGCCAATATCGGCTAAGCCCGCCTCCGCACCGATCTTGCACGTCAGTGGCCGGATCGACCCTGTCGCATCCTCACCTCTGGGTTTCTGTTCACTTCGCGTTATCGCGAGAAAAAGAGTAGGAAATCATGACGAGCTCTGAGTCAGAAGAACATGTGCAACAGTCGCGAAAACGCTCGCGCACAAGCAGCAGCGGCGGCGACAACGGGGCTGGAAAGAAGACGAGGGGACGGCCCCGTGTGGATACCCAGGATGCCACGGCAGCGGATGTGAGTGGATACTCTCCCCTTTACCGCGAACTGATATGGACTCTGCGCAATGAGGGCTGGTTCAAAGAGCGCATCAACGCTTGCGGCTGAAGATCTCGAGCTGTTGATGTGGACAAGGATCTCAGACCTGCGCGTTCGAGCCTCTGCTGGTTGATTGCGGATCATCTGTCGATTTTGAAAGCCGCTGGCTGAAAGTCATCTTACTCCGAGCTTTTGCTTTTTGCTCAAGGGCAACTCAATATGCACATTGTCGCTGACAAAGGGGCTAGCGGCGAAGAACGCAAATTCGACTTGCACAGCGCGCATACCGCCAGCGGAAAGAGACCACTATTGCCTCATTGAAAAAGCAAACAACGCAACTCCATTCTATCATTGAGCAGATGAACAACAGTTTTCATCGGCTCACTGAATCAACGCTGAAGTCAGGCTTGTTACAGCTGAATCCTGATCTAGCCCAAGAATTTAAACTCGTTAAAGAGACGTTTTCGAGTTTGACCAGAACAGCGAGTGAGAGTCAGCGTCAAGTAGATGAGGATGTCGAGCAAGGAGCTGAAGGGACAGGCCCGTGCAAACCGCCTGAGCCTGAACCTGAACCTGAACCTGAGCATGTTGGCTGGGGGTATTTTGCTGTCTCGCAGCAGCCCAACAAGGTATGTAGCGCTTGTGATGAAACCCCGCGACCGGCCATGATTCTACATCCCCTTGCAATATCCGTAGCCTGGCTAACGGTGTTGCTCAGGATCAGGCGCCACAAAACCTCACAATGCCAGACGGTTACTCTTCACACTTCAGTACTATGGCCGACCAATCGGCTCCCAGCATCATCAGTCACAGTCAATATATTTTTGGCGATCAATCAGGACAGACCCATCACGTCTCACAGCCGGTGTCCGAATCATTACCTGCTGGCATAGCAGCACACCAGGAATTGCCGTTTGGCCTGGTTCCCGTCCATGACCAACAACAGACATCGTACGAAACATCAAACTTCCATACCTACCCCAACAACATGGCAGCATCCATTATGGCTCCTGCAACAACCAGCTTACCAATACCCTCTCTGTCAGCCCCAGATCTGTCGATGCAGACCCTAAGTCCCGTGTGGACCTACAATTATAACGAATCGACTGTTGGCAGGAGGCTGGCCAGAGCAGCAGTAGAGACAGGATTCGCAGTGCTCACTCATCTCAACTACTCACCTGCGGTACGTATGCGGATCGTATGCCGGCTAGTTGAGTTGCTGCAGGCTCTTGCGGCAGCCTTTTATCATCACTCTCTTCTCCATTGAACTGACTATGAGGTTTAGGTTATCAACTATATCTTTAGACTTAACTTTCCACACTATAATGTCGAACAAATAAAGCAACGTTTTCAACAAATCATGTCGAAGACGGTTATTGAGGATCTGGACTGGTTTGAGGCGCCTTTCGCCCCCCTTGGAGGTGCAGGGACCCACTATCCACGACGAGATGCAGCAGGCAACATTATATCAAGAAAGGGTTTCTGGGGACCAGAGTGGATCGGGCCGAGAGAGAAAAAAATGGAAGGGTGGGGGAATGGAGAAGGCAGAGCAGCTCAGTACCTAAGTGAAGTGGACCTTGCTGGTTTCGAAGGCGAATGGTTTGATGCCCATGACGTACAGGGATATTTGGAGGAGCACTATGCGTGCAAGTTTAACCCCTCAAGTTCTTTTGCAGAGTGCTTGATTGATATCGAAGACGAAGGTCGAACAAACTCGTTGGCCAATATGTCACAACAGGCACAACCGAACGAAGGAGCTACCGCAAACAATGGATTCGGCATCGATACGTCCTTTGGCGGCACTCCGGCGCCCAAGTATGCGGGTGGTTTCACCCAGCTTGTCAACCACGACATTTCATTTGATCAGACGCTAGGACTGGATCTCGCGCCTGGATTCGACTACGGCTTCGCGAATAACACAAATTTTGGTACTGGGCCAGGGCTATGCGCCATGGGCGATGATTTGGACGGCTTGCAAGTAGTGAAGCAGAGGAAGAGATGCGCGTGGATTGACGTCTCGCGGCTAATTTTCGGTAAGCGCACACAATGCCTGGTTTTTCTTTTCGAGTTTGTGATGCGCAATCGACCAAACGTGGGTAAATTGCTTTGCTAACGATTATGACAGAGATAGTCAAGAATGCAGTCTGCCTTGGGCGTGGACCAGGATTCAGGCGCAAAGACGTCGACCGGGCGGTACGGGAGGCTTTGATTAAAGAGAGCTGATGATCAGTACTAGAGGACAGGGGTTAACACGCGAAACAATTGGGCTTAGATTTACTTCTTTGGTGGCATCCTGGGGAGCGCGTTTGGAAGAAAACTTGATTGCAGGATGGTATATAGCAATATGAGTGTTTGTATGCTTGTGTGGATATGTGCGGGAGTATGAGTGGCCAATTGTGTTCAGGTCTGCCGTCGCAATTTCCGGGCGTTGGTTTGGCAACTGCAATGCGTATGTAGGTAGATTGGGATGTTAGAGTAGCTGAAAGCAAGGTCACGTGCGGCGCTAGAGTAGCTTGGGGCGCTAAGGAATCGCGCCCTCAGCGATTGCCGGGGCACCGTTCACTATCACTCATACACCCCACGACCACGAAAGCTGAGGGCACCCGATCACGTCGCATAAAGGCTTCCGTCTGGGCAAACAATAGCCATAGATCACCCCTAATAGCGCAGAAGCGTTCTCGAGTGTGGCACCCACTTGCGGCCTCAAGTGCTGACGTCGCCTGCCTCGTTCCTGCAAGCCTTCGCGACCTCTTGTCCAGCCTCCACAGCCCAAAGCATATACTAGATAGCTGAGACCAAACACAAACAGCCGCAGTAATGTCGAACTCTGTCGTGGTTAGTATTCCCTGGGCTATGCACGCGTGCGCGCGCGAGCGAATGGTGCGAGGGTAAAGGCAGGCTTGCTAACAGCGACCACCAGGGCGGAGTCTACCAGCAGATCATGGAGAAAGTCATCCAAGCATCGCAGAATGACTTTGAGGAGTCCGGCGTCGACCAAAGCACTCTGGAAGAGATGAAGCAGGTACGTTGCAACCTGGCCAGTATCTTGGCTGTCGCGCCTTTCCTTGCCTCGGTCGCAGCATGGCAGCCATCGCGCCTCTATCCCCGCGCCACGGCGGCCGTGGTTTCCCCCCCAGTTGAACTTTATCGGATATCTGGTCGCATCGTTTCTTCTGCTCGCTGCGACAATGGCGCGATGGCTGCCTGGCTTTGGGGGGTGATGGGCGGCTGAAAGCGGGGCTGAGTTGCCGGTCGGTCTGGCAGCTTTCGGGGGCGACTCAGTATTTGGGTCGCCTTCTTATAGCCCCTGCACAGCTCCCCCACCCGCCAAGCTCCGGGCATCCTTTCCTGAACCGGCATAGCTCATCATGTGACGGCCCTCTAAGCATTCTGCCCTCAATCATGCTTTTATTACCATCAGCCACTGACCATGCATAGGGTTGGCAAGAGAGATTGTCGGCGCTCAAGATTGCCCATCTGCCATGGGACCCTGCCCCAGAGCCTATCCGCCAGCCGGCTACACTGCCTTCTAACGGCAAGGTCGATAATGAGATCCCGCCATCCGCTGGGCCAGTAAACGCCGAGGGGGGGTATCAGCAACCTGTTCCCAACTACCCACAGGCTCAACCTGCGACCAATGGATACAATGGCGGTTATGACCAAAATTCACAATTGGCGCAACAGCGGGCTGCTGTTCTGATCCAGCAACGCGTGCAGCAGCAAGGCAATGTACACCAGCAAAACTATCCCAATATGCCCCAACAGGGCCATTTGCCCCAGATGCCAATGCAAGGTCAGCAGCAGCGCATGATGGCTCCTCAACAGCAGCAACATCATCAACAACAACAACAGCAACAGCAACAGCAAATGTCCCACCAGCAAACGCAACAACAGCAAATGCAGCAGCAACGGCCTCCGCATCAAACCCAGATGTACCCATCGCAGACGGATGGCCCGGATGATGCTCTGGCGGACTGGGAGGCGTTCAAGGCTGCGCGTGCTGCTTCAGCTGTAGAGCGCATGGCAGCCGATGACTTTATGCGTGCTCGTGTTGATGCCATGGCGATGCGCCAGGATAGTGGTTTAATGGTGCCTCTGGATTCGATGCCGAAAGGCAAGAAGCGAAAGGCTGCTGTTCGCGTCCTACAAGCCGAAGATGTTGCAGCTTCAACTAGTACCCCCCCGCCTGCTCGTTTTGATGGCGACGACGACGTCAAGCTGGAGGAGGATCCCGACGATGCCATCAACTCTGACCTCGACGATTCAGAGGACGAGCTGAATGACGGTGACAATAGCGACGATGACATGGTAGACTACATGCTGTGCACCTATGACAAGGTCCAGCGTGTCAAGAACAAGTGGAAGTGCACTCTCAAGGACGGCATCCTCACCACGAACAAGAAGGAGTAAGTCTAGTCCCTACAGAAATTCGCTTATCCGTTGCAAGCATATTGACAGGCGATAGGTATCTCTTTCACAAGGCAAATGGTGAATTCGAATGGTAGATGAAACTACCAGCAAACCACACTAATACCTGTGGTAGCTGAACTCGAGTTCTGAACTCCCCTTCCTTCAGCGCGCACACAAACGGCACAGCACACGTCCCCACCCAAGACGCAAAAAGCCCCCTCACACAATATGGACAACTACCATTTGTACACTACCAAGACATGAATCAACTTCCCGTTACTCTCTCTCTCTCCCTTTTCGTTTTCTTTCCTAATGACCGTTATTCTGGCGTCTTCAAAAAAACCAAACGCCCGGTAGCCTGAACGGCAACAAACATACTCAGAATGGATACCTTTATTTTTTTTTCACGCCGCCCCGGTCAACCTTGCTCTTCTTTCCTTTTTTTTTCAGAATATTCCGCGAAAAAAAACCACGCGTATACATATGAACAAAAATTTCATCCTCAAAGGAAAAGAAAAGATAAGAACAATTCTATCTCAAACATTGGGAATGGCAAAATCCCGACGTTTATCACTTGGTCCATTGATTAGGGTTTCCACAGATTGATGTCTCCCTTTTGCTTTTCCAGTTGCTTTTTCGATTGAAGAAGTGGGGAGGGGAATTGTTGCCAAAAAGTGATGGATAGAAGAAGAAGGTGAAGCTGAAGAAGAGGAGTAAGTTCCTACTGGTTGGCTCTCTGGAATTCTACAGCACAGGCGTCGTCTGCTTTCTTTTTCCTCTGAGGTTTTTTTTTCTCTCATAGTTTTCTTTCGGTATGAATGTCCCATAGGTGGATGTTCATTTCTGGGTTTATTTTCATTGCTTGAGCTCTAGTATCAAATGGGAGATGGAGGAAGAGCAAAGGGCGGGGTTCTCGGGATGATAATGCAGTTCAGTAATCCATTCATGAACTCTACAAACGCTTTTCGGATGAGTAGATTGAGATATGAAGTCAAAGCTGTGCATTGAGGTCTTCGTTTTTAGGGCTTCCTCTATCCAGTTTGATATGGGTACGAACGTGTAGCTACTTAATCTGACAAACAAAGAGACCAGTAGCTGTAGACGAATTCAAAATGAGCATATACTCAAGACTTGATTCTCATTATATTTGATGTATATTCCATCTTCTTTACAGCGTATCATGGTCACTCGTTTCATCACCCGCAGATGCATTCTGCATTATCGTCTCGTCAATATGTCCCGCCTCCACCTCGTCGCCATCTTCATCCATGAGCGGCACGAAGCGGAAATCCACAAACCCGTTTTTGCCAGCTGCAAGTGATCCTGCACCGCCGGCACCTGGACCAGGAGCGGGACTCTCAACTTCAATCATGAATTGCAGACTCAGCACACCCTGCGTGTCTGCGCGTATGCTGACTTTGCTAGCGACGCTCATTGCGCGTGCAGCCTTTTGTATCAAGCTAAACTTGTAGCTTGAGCGGAAGACGGTGTCGGGGTCACTCAGTTGAAACCTCTCGAGGAGGTTTGTTGGAGGGGCCGCGGCCGTGTCACTGGCCGCGTTGAGATTTGTGGATGCTGGGGTGCGGTATGCAGAGGGTTGAGGCTGGTTGTTGAATTCGACGCGTGCGGAGCCGAGTGTGCCCGATGACGAGAGGGCGAAGAAGGGCTTCCCACGCACGGTCTTGGCGTACATGGTTAGCTTTTCTGGGCTCGTGGAGGATAGTTCTTGGATCGCGTCGTAGAGCCAGCTGCCTCGCATGATGACCTTGAGCATGAGGGCATCGCGGTCAAAGGGGATCTCGTCGGAGTATTCAGGCTTGTAGGTTGTCAAGTCGCATTGGGTGCGTATACTCAGTTCCGTTAATGTGACTGCTAGCGGAGAACCCTCGCCCTGGTAACTAATTCGACACATGTTATTCATGCCGTTCATTATGTTGTTGCCTGTAAAGGCAGTGCTGGTGGGGTAAGGCGCGTCGCGGGCCCATGGTGGTTTGGAATTGGCGGGGTCGGTGAGGCCGAATATTTGCAGTGTCTCGAGAAGGGCAGGTAGCGATATTTGGAAGACGGGTGTAGGTTCGGATGCATCGTCAGAGTCGTTGAAGGTGTAAGTTGTAAAGAGGGACTTGTCAAGGAAGGCGGACGCTATTGTTTGGTTAGTTTAGAAACGGCACAGATGAACAGGTACATCCGTACGTACCTTCCATGACACTTGCTTCATCGACGGCAAGCTTGAGACCTATGTCGCTAATCTGGACATGCGCTTTGTTGGAAAAGGCGATGCAGCGCAGCAGCTGGTACAGCTGACGTGCCGAACTTGACACGGCCGTGAGAACGGGCTGATCCTGGTCATCCATTCTACTGTAGTGTGATTGCACCTGAGGAAATAGTTATGGGGGTGGTAAAGCTGTGGTCGAAACGATAGTGTAATAGTGTATGACGCATGCAGATTCGAGCGTCTTGAACTTTTTATTGGTATTCCATAAATTGTACACATAAGAGGTCCCTTCCCAACGCCGGATGGATATAACACGAAAACTAGACGTATACGCCGACTGCGCAAATCATGTACACAGCGCCGAAGCTGCTCACGGTCAGTAGGGCGGAGGCGTATCGATACTGGAGGCCACGTACCCGAATGCCAGTGATGCCGGGACTCCGAGAATTGGCAGGTTGACGAGCGATCGGTCTGTAAGGATATGTGTGAGTGACTGTGGAGTGAATACAAGAGCGGACGTATTAGGCATACTCAAGCCAAAGATGGTGGTCAGGACGAGGGCTACGCATGCTGTTAGTATAGCTCTATGCGAGCACCAGAAGGGTCCGGGGCGCAACATACATGCAGCCAGCAGTGCAAAGCCGACAGTGAATTGCGTGTCCTTTCCGATGGTAGGATGAAAGGGCTGGGAAGCAGCAGCCTCCCAGACATCTAGAAGCGGGCTCGACATTTGTGCAGTATTGGCAATTGGAAGTTGATTCGGGAGTCTCTCGTGAAGCTGCTGCCGTGGCCTCTGGACGGCGGTGTTCTCTGGCCGCCGCGTGCTGTGATTGGTTGTCGGCCTGTCGGTCAATGCGGAAGGCGCGACTTGCCCTGACGTTTGCTCAGTCAACCACCAGGGCAGCGGAAGGCGCGACCAGACACGAGAAGGCGCTTAACACCGCAGAAGGCGCTCAACACCACATCATGGCGGGCGCAACTGAAGACAGTAAGTGCGCAGCTTCTTCACCCCCTGAGTCCTCCTTGTCCGCGCCCACTCGGCCTTGCACGCCTGTCGCGCACCTAGCATGCCGTCTCCCCGCAACAACATCCCGCATCTGCGCGACCTCTTGGGCTATCCCACCTCTCCCCCATCCTCACCACTCCCCATATCCACTCTCGCTTCACGTGACTCTTCTTCGGGTGTACCCTTGAACCTGCAAAAAGCTGACCCCTCGTCCCACCCAGCCAAGCGCAAAGCGACCACCGATCCTCCCAACACCTCACCCAAGCGCATAAAGCATAGCCCACCTACACCTGAACAGACCGACGACGCCCCCGCGCCCCCAGTCAAAAGGATAGTACCCTTTCCGGAAAAGCCTGCGGTTATCGAGGAGCGCAATGGCGAGATTGAGTTCAGAGTCGTCAACAACGATGGCCGGAGGGAAAGCACAATCATCTTGACAGGCTTGAAGTGTATCTTCCAGAAACAGTTGCCCAAGATGCCCAAGGACTACATTGCTCGTCTCGTCTACGATCGAACGCACTTGAGTATAGCTATTGTGAAACACCCACTTGAAGTGGTAGGGTGCGTGGCCACCTGTTGCTTCCCGTTTGTGTAGTATCAAACGCTGACTATCATGTACCACAGAGGCATAACCTACCGCCCCTTTGACAAGGGCCAATTCGCCGAAATCGTCTTTTGCGCCATCTCATCGGACCAGCAGGTCAAGGGCTACGGCGCCCATCTTATGTCGCATCTGAAGGACTACGTCAAAGCTACATCTAAAGTCATGCACTTCCTCACCTACGCCGACAACTACGCCATTGGATACTTCAAGAAACAGGGCTTCACCAAGGAAATCACACTGGAAAAGTCGCGATGGATGGGTTACATCAAAGACTACGAGGGCGGTACCATTATGCAATGCAGCATGGTCCCCAAGATCCGCTACCTCGAATCCGGTCGCATGCTCCTCAAGCAAAAAGAGTGCGCAAATGCAAAAATAATGGCCGTAAGCAAGAGCTACGAAATCCACTCGCCGCCAGCCCAATGGACAAAGGGAGAACTTAAACCCATCGACCCCCTCACCATCCCCGCAATCAAAGACTCCGGTTGGTCCCCCGTCATGGACGAACTCGCCCGCGCCCCGCGTCACGGACCCAACTACAACGCCCTCCTCCACCTCCTCAACGACATGCAAAACAACAGTAACGCCTGGCCCTTCCAGCAACCCGTCAACAAAGACGAGGTTCTGGATTACTACGATGTCATCAAGGAGCCCATGGACCTTGCTACTATGGAAGAGAAGCACGAAAAAGATCTTTATCCTAACCCAGAGGACTTTATCAGAGATGCTAAGCTTATCTTTGATAATTGTCGCAAGTACAATAATGAGAGTACGCCGTATGCTAAGGCTGCGAATCGACTTGAGCGTTACATGTGGCAGCGTATACGTGATATACCGGAGTGGTCGGTATGTATTACTATTCTTATTGCTACTTCGAGGGATGGCATGTTTACTAACGTGTTCGCAGCATTTGGAAGGGGAGATGACGGGAAAATGAGAGGGGACGTTCTTTTTTTCAATCAGTCGCTTACAGGAGTTGGGTGAGAAAAGGATAGGGGATATGTTGTGTATTACTTTCAGCGGCATTGGGCATGGTGTACGGTGTATTGGTGTTGTAGATTGAACTCGGCTTGTATATACCCCCTTGTCGTATGCTATTCTATCGTACTAGTATGTTTTTGTGTCTTGAGGTGTAGAAATCAGTCATGTGTACCACCCCTTTACGCATGTAATGCGTTGCTGAGTGACTAGTCGTTCAAAAGGCTCAACCAGCTATTTAACTAATCTCCCGTGCGACGAATCCAGAGTGGTTTCGTAGGGAAAAGGCCAT